AACTAAACGGAAACAGGGTGATAAATGAAACTTACACAGAGGATGTATCACATCCAATGTGGTTGAGGCAACAGGGACTTTTTTAGAATGACTTCATGTTAATCAAATGTGAGAAAACGAGATTACTGTGTAGACTTCAGAAATAGCTTAGATATGAACTCTTTTTCTGTTTCCAGAGAGAGAAAAGTCATGTACTAGGCCTACGTGTTTCATGTCACTAAACAGCAGCATCCTTACCCTACAGAAAAGAAAAAAAAGAACTCATCTTGAAGAGCATAGGCCTATGTGTCCTGTTTGAAGTGGTTATGGGGATGGGAATCACCTTGTTCGTTCAAAGCTCGAGTCTCATCCCCATCTACAGTAGCTCCTTGAATGTGTGTGCTTGTGAATGTGTTGGTGGGTTTTGCAGAGAGGGGGCAGGAAGTATATAATTTTGCGGTGAACGCAGTCAGCCCACCTATTACCACCCCCCTCAACCCTAAATCTGTGCTTTGCTTTGTGGTTGAGCTACCAAAATAAGACGGTACACATCACAAGCATCATAAGCGCACCTTATCTTTTTCTGTGAGCTTGTGATAAAGCAACCATTTCCAGCCTGACATAAGAGCTTCAAAAAAAAAAGTAAAAGAAAAAAAAGAAAGTTGTTAGATAGTCTGCAATTGCATATATAATGCTGTATTTCACATATTCTTGGACTGCAATAATCTTCTAATACTTTGAAATGCACTACGTTTATGTCACAAAAATGCTCTTAAAGGATAAGAAGAAACACACTCAAACTTCAGTTGTAGTATACATCATGACAGTAAGATTTCTCTTGGTTTCATTTTCCCTTTTTTTCCTAGAATTGCTTTCTAAATGCTACATAAAACTTAGTAGAAGACCAGGTTTTGGTGTACTGTAGAGCACTAAGAAATTACACAATACATTAAACAATGTCTGTGGTTATTGGCAATCTAAATAAGTACCATTAAAATACAACTAAGCAATTAATAATTCTGAGATTTATCCATGTAGATTATACATTTATCACTGTGGGCTGAAGAAAGTGCTACAGGAGGTAACTTCGACTTTGCTCAGCAAGCTATTTTCCGCTTCTCAACCCAGTTTTCTTAATGAGAGCAGAGCCCGACTTTTCTTTTACCCATTTGTGAAACAATGGCTAAAGTCATCAATTTAACAGCGTGCTGAACTCATAATGTCAGCAGGGAGGTGTGTTTTGACAGGAATTATTTTTTACATCTGTTTAACCTGGTGGTTTAACTGTTAATTGACTTTAAATGTATGTATATTTAACATGAACTCATTTACAGTTATTTTGTAATAAAGATGCAGTTCTGTTGTATATACAGAAATATTTCTAAGAAAAATTGCCCTGGTGTTGACCCTATGTGTACCATAGCAGTGGAGTTAATGTACCGGTACATTTTGTCCCCCCTAAAATATTGCTTTAAATTATTAAAAGTGTAGACTTAAGTGCTTTTCTTTAACATATTTACTGGAAATAGCGCTTAATTGAAACATTTTCAATAGATTTAGCTCTAACGTTGCACGGTTACATTTGTACGCTTCTGTCTGTGTAGTCTATTCAAACGTTTCAGATGATACAGGTTGCAGGAGTCAGTCTGTGGTTGAACTTGCAACAGCACATGCAACCTGTAAACCAGAGGTGAGCAAACTGGCAGGAAGGCTTCCCCAGTCTGATTGTTGCTGGTGTAACACTGCCGTGCAATGAGGGATGAAAAAGTCCAAATTTGGCATCTTGCCTGCGGTGTATTCAGTTACCAGTAAATAAAGACTACCTTCTGGGTTGATTTCAGAGTCAAAGTGACAGGCAGCAATTTTAAGCCCTGTTTCTCCCCCTGCCTCTATTCATAACCGGTAATCCAGGCAGGTCTGGCTCCATTAACCTCTTCCACAGTGTCCGCTGACTGCACAATGACCTCACCTCTTCACCTAATAAATTCAAACATCTTTTATGTCTTTTTTTTCCTTTTGTGTTACTGCAAAGTAAAATGTTTAAGCATTGTGACAGCTGCTTTGGCTGGGGCCTCCTTCCTGTTCATCTGATTATTAGATTGTCATTGCCATCTAGTGGTTAACTGAACAAACTTCCATATCGAGTCTCCAGCTGAGCGTGTCTGTCTATTTGAGGCCTCTGCAAATTCTGCTCCAATTCTGAACCCTGATGATTTGGAAAAGAGAGTTAAAATGTAAACACTCCCAGATTTTCCATAGTTCCTTTTTAGCCCTAAAAGTAAATGACATTACAACAGGTGCAAATCCAGCAAGCTGACATCTCTGTAAGACCGGCTCTGTAAGTCTCTTCTGTATGTCTGCATGGTGCAGAAGAGCCACTGGAAACTTCAGGGACACTAATGAAAACAAATGAGACCGAACAGCACGGAAAGCCAGGGGGGAGCAGCAGTACAGCTGTGAACCACCCTCATTAAAGCGAACGCTCATTTAGTTCATTTTGAGAGCAGCAGAGAATTAAGCGTCCCCACTTTTACAAGCTTAACCTTGGCTGTGAGTGTGCCTCTGCTGAGAGGTACAGGATTAGGAGCGCAGATCCAGGAGCAGCAGCGGGAGAATTTGAGACGGGAGGAGGACAGTTTTCATTAACTCACGTAGCAAGTTGTTTTATTCCACAGGAGTCTTGAGTGTGTGGAGTCACGATGCCTCTAATCCTTAGATGGCAAGTCCAAGTGTTTGTCTGAATCCCCGGGGTAAAATCCAAGAATAAAGTGATGCACGGAAAATCCATCCTGATGATCCATCCAAAGTAAAGTTAAAACATGCATATGATAGGTGGATTTTAGTGAAATTACACAAAAAAAGCACAATATCAGTGGTTGCTGATCACACTTAAATTCTGAAATACTTTTAAGTTCTCAATTGTTTTTATTTTCTGCCAATGAAATACATATTTTACATACTCTACATACTGAAATTAATATTTCATGGCAGTTTACTTCACAGTGTGCCCTGTCACTGATCTCTGGACGACTACAACTTACTGATCAGCAAAAGAAAACCTGCACCTCAGTTGTGTAATGGATATAGAGTCAAATAGGATAGCTCAGCGGGAGGAAGTACAGGGTCAAAAAGAATCATTTAGAACCAAACTGCTAAAAAAAATCAAATATGTAGATATACTGCAGTTGGTTTTTCTAACACTTTTGTCCAAATTTTCTTTAAGGTGTGTGGGAATGAGTTAAGGACATTTCATGTTAATGCTTTTGTGAGAAAGTGTGAAAACTGCTTAAATTAATGTATTAAAACTTGGTGGACAGGTGCAATTGCTTTATCGTTTTACTCAAAACATAAAATGTTATGCCAGATTCTGAAAAAAAATTAACTTGATCAGGGATGGTTAGTTAACAATTAACTGTTATAATTTAACATAGAATTTTATCTAAATTGAAATTGAAACTACCTTAAAACAGCCACTGACTGCTTGTAAGTAGACAAATGAGTGTCACATCACATAGGCTGATATCTAAACCCATTTTATTCTTACATCCAGATGTACATCACCATCACTTTCTTGTCAACATCCTGAGATTACCATCAATATCATCCTCAAGATCAGCATTTGAACTGCATTAGCAGCTATTTTTTTCCTTTTTAAAAGCTAAAGCTACGATAAATAAAAAATAAAACATTTGGTCCTTAAATATATAGTCTAGGCAACATGGTATCAGGGCTTAAGACAGATGTCTTGTTGCTACCCACAGAAAACATGAAACATCACTAGAATGGTGCTGAAATAGAGTAACTGGGCAACAGAGAGAGGAGAGTGCCAGCCGAACATGAGGCTGATGGCGGCTGAGAGCAAAGTGTCAGGCAAACCGATAGAAAGGGAGGGCGCCTGCAAGCGTCAAAGAAACAGTTAGCAACCAGAGCTGTTAAATCAGATGAAAGGCAGCTAGACAGACAAGGAATGAAAGACAAAGAGTCCGAGGGGTGAGAAAGCATACAACAGACCCAAAGAGAGGCACGTATTTACAACATGGGGGCTGCGGTGGAACAAAATCCTGTGAGCCACAGTGCACAGCAGAGCAGTACGGTGTGTCACACACACACACACATAAAAACACAATTTACAGAAGCTGTCAAAGTAAACATAAAAGTCTGAAAATGTTGTACTGTTAAAGAACTAAACACCACACACCTGGGACAACAAATCTATCAGTGGACTGCTTCTTAGTGTTCAAATTCAGGAGTACCAACTTTACAGTGTTATTTAAAAGCTAATTACTCTTACTGAAATGAAAATATTACACTTTGGTGAAGAATGGGCGGCAAGAGGGAGTCAGAGCTGGAAACCAGGACGAATCTGCTCTATTGTCTGCCTTTTGACATCACAATGGACCGTCTTCCCAACAGCAAAACGGATTATTATTTTGTCACATTTAGAATCATCGTCAGGCTGAATAAAATGCTTCATTAGTATTGCTGTTTATCATATTTTAACTCCAACCTTTTGCTTCCACCTAGCTTTTCTGTGTAATTCCCATGCAGCTTATTTCCACTTCAGCCCCCCTGCTTGCTCTGACAATCACTACCACAGGTACGTATGTATACATTTGGATGTGCCACCCACTCAAGAGACTCATGAAGTCCTTCTTCCTAATTGATGTCTTGGCTGAAAGTCACACGAACACCAAATATTCTAAGACAATCACATCCTAGAGTAAATGCAAAGAAGATATTTCTGTCCACGTGAAGCCATCAGCCGTCTGAAGCCAACTCTGAATAAAACCCGCGTATACGTGGTTCTGCCTCTCAGCACCGGCTGCAACACAAAGTCAATGTTCTTCCCCTTCTTTCTTACATGTTGGCAGGCAGTTTGTGCCTCAGTCCCTCTGAGTCTTTTCTGGTCAGTGACAGCTGAGGGTCCTTTTTCCCACCTTTAGGGGAGGTGGACTTGGCCGTGGTGGCTGCGTGTGCTGTCTGGTTGGCAGTAGGAGTGGTTGTTTGAGAGGTCTGGACGGGAGCAGAGGGGGTGTTAAGTTTTTGGGAGTGGGTGGTGGTCGTTGTGGCGCTTTGTTTTAGGGTGGCGGTGTTGGGGGAGGGAGGGTTAGTGGAGCACACATGTGAGAGCTGGGTGGATGAGGATGAGGTTGCTGATGGGATTTGTTTGGGGGAATGGCTCGAGCCTGATATGGGGCTTTGAGTGAGGACGGGGGAGGTCTGCTTCACAGGATGCACTGAGAAAGTCACTTTAGTTGTAGAGATGGTACTAGCAGGTGCTGGGGCAGGGGTAGCAGTTTGGGTCAGCGTCAGGGGGGAGGCTTGTTTCGCAACTTGGCTTAAAGCTGGGCCTCTGACTGAGACAGAGGGCTGGAGACAAGTTGTTGGACTCTGGGATTTACTCAGGGGGGTGCTAGATGTGACACAGACAGGAGATGGGGAGGCTGTAGCTGTAAGTGTCTGGGTAAGAGTAACTGGCGTAATAGTTGAAGTAGCAGTTTGGGAGGGAGTAGAAGGTCGAGTACGGCTCGTCTGAGTGGGAGTTGGTATTGGTGAAGGGGTTGGAGTCAGGGCAGGACTGGGGCCAGATCGTGGAGAAGCTGAAGGTGGTGTGTTGGATGCCTTTGCTCTAGGGCTCTGGGGATGTGGTGGGGAAGACGAGAGCAAAGAGGACGGGGGAGAAGAGGACGTAAGTGATGGCTTTGGCCCATGAGGTTGTGATAGAGGAATTGGGGTAGAAACCGAGGAGGGCGGTGGTGTAGAGGATGGAGAAGGAGAGGAAGAGCGAGGAGAGGATGTAGGAATGGGTTTAAGACGGAGAGTTGACTGTGGGCTTGCTCCGGCTGAAGGCGGTGAGGGGCAGGGAGGAGGGGAGGAGGAGCGAGAGGGGGTTGATGGGACTGGCTTTGGGCGAGGTGTCTGGGATAGGACAGCTGGAGGTGACAGGGGAGTGAGTGCTGGTGATGGAGTGGCAGAGGATAGAGGAGTCTGCTTTGGAGGGGAGGACGATGGGAAAGAAGCCATAGAGGGCATGTGCGTAGCAGTGGGCATAGAGGCAGGCTGGGCTGTAGACTGTGTGTGTGTGGCTGTGTTGGCAGAGATAGCCTGCGTTACTACGGGCTGAACTGGAAAGGTAGCTTGTGCTTGAACAGTAAATGGTATATTTGTCACCAGCTGTACCGGAGGGTTAGAGGTGAGCATACCTGCACTGCTTCCTCTCGCTAATTGCCCTGCCAGGAAAGGAGTCGGCAGCAAATTCCCCCCAGAAGCCTTCCGGTGGAGGGGAGGGTGAGGCTGCACACCAACCCAGGAACGATGAGGCAGAGTGGGCTGCGAGGCGGACAGCAGCCTGGCCTCCTGGGTCAGTCTGCCTAGTGCTGGCAGACCTTGATAGCTATTCCCACTATGACGTAACAGAGCCTCTTTAGCACCCTGCTGACTGATATTACCCTCTGATGGCCCGCTGGAGGAGGCTGCTGGGTTTGAGGGTACCACCTTGTAGAGTGGTGAAGCTGGCCCCACCCCTGTTGGTGTTGCTAGTGCTCCAGCAGTCACTGAGGGGAGATCAGCCTGAAAGCGAGGGCTGTAATGGAGAGTCCTTCCTTGCTGGACAGAAGCCGGGACAGTGGAGGCTGGAGTGGGTGGTGTTTTAGCAATTGGAGGCGATGTCACCCCTCCTGGAGGGCCCATGGTTGAGGGGGAGGCAGGAAACCCTCCCCTTGGGGACAAACCACTCATTCCCCCCATTGTCATCATTCCAATCAGAGAGCTCACAGAGGGGCGGAGGGGTTGCAATACAGGAGCACGAGGAGGAGAAAGAGGAAAGGAGGAGGAGGGAGAGGGGGAGATCAGGGGGGAGGGCAGGTAAAAAGTTCCTGCAAGAGCATGCTGCTGCTGGAGCTGCTGGAGCTGTTGCTGCTGTTGCTGCTGCTGGTGCATGAGAGCGATGGCTACATTACTGGTGGCGGCTGCAGTCTGCAGGGGAGCGTGGACCAGCGGCGCCCAGATGACAGGACGTGGCCGGGGGGACACCGTGCCACTCCCTCCCATCACTGCGCTCCTTCCTGCAGCGGCGGCTGCGATGGCGTCCTGCATGGCAGGCATGCTGTCATGTTTGACAATCTGCTGCACCAGCATGCTGTCACAGGAGCCCAGAGCCCCTGCTGTAAGACCCCCCCCAGCTCCTGGACCCCCTCCACCCCGGCCTCCACCGCGACCCATGCTGCCACCCAGAGAACCACCTTGGGAAGACTTCCGCAAAAGCATAGAGTTCTTTCTACCTGTAGAGGAGAAAAAGAAGGAAATAAGCCAAAAATGCCTTACTGACCCGATCAGCTTGGATGAATTTAAAAAAAAAGAATAAAGTTTGTAAAATGTGGAGCTGAAATGGCAGAGACTTTACAAAGAATTTCAGAGATTCACAGAAAATTTGCCGACAGATTATTTGCTCTTATGAATGGTTTCTGAACCATTCACCTGATGTCCATCCAGACAAAAGACCAGAGAATTAAGAAGACTTGGATAAATATGCAATTATATGAAACTGTCAAGCTGAATGAATAACTGTACAAATGAGTGCCAGGCAAATGCGGCAGGTCCACACATTACCGATGCGATCTAAACGGTCCACGGCAACTGTTTCAAAGGCACGCCTCATCATGGGGTGCTCCTCCAGAACTTCGTTAAAGCTGTCCACACTGAGCGAGTACAAGCGGCAGTACGTGTCCGCACGCACGCTGGCCGTCCTCCGTCCACGCGTCAACAAACAGATCTCTGATTATGGGAGGGGACACCATGGCAGAGGGAGAACAAAGAAAGAACACAAGTGAATCTGCAAGACTAACCTCAAACGAAACACCTGCATAACACCTATCAGGGATTGAAAAGCCGTCATTGTTTATTTCCTCCTGAAATGATTACCTTTTAACGCCTCTATCAACAAAGTGCACTCACCTCCAAAATAAGACCCATCGCTCAGCTTGGTTTCCTTGTTTCCCCGTGTCAGCACACTGACCCGTCCGTGCTGGATGAAATACATCCTGCGTCCAACAGTACCTTCACGGATGATGAAGTCAAACGGCTGAAACACCTCAAAGCGAAGCTTGGTCAGCACAGCGGTCACAAAATTGGGGTCGGCATTGGCGAACAGTGGCATGTTTGCCACCAGGCTCCGGCAGTTAAAACTGACTATCTCCTAAATGAAAAGGATGATTAAGACAGAGGAGAATAAAAGTCTCAGAGAGTGGCTGGAGACATGGGCACATTGGCTGTGTATTCATTGTGAATTCATTACCTCCTTTAGTGGCTCACTAAGTTCTCCCAGGATGTTCTCCTCATCAAACATCTTCCCCTGGAAGCGATGCTCATAATACTCATGGATCTTTTGCCGCATATCAGCAGGGAGCTTATGGAAGGACATATACTGCTCCACTTGCTTATACTGCAACAAGATAAACAGAAAAACCACAATGGCTTTGGGGAAAGTTTTGTATATCATGCTTTCCCTGCCAGCCAGACTGCAGTTATTTTAGCTGGAAAGCGAGCTAGTCTCTATTTGTCATCTAGATCCCAACCTTTGTCATGCTCTAAAGAAAGTGACTTGTCTGTTAGATTAATTTTTGGTTACATTTTAATATCCTCGTCTCATCTACCTATTCATAACTAAGTCAATCATTTAAACTGAGAATGTTAAAACTTAGAGCCATCATCTTCATCATCTCTGCTGGGTGTTACTTCCACACACTTAAGGATGATCTACTGCTCCGGTGCATAAGAAAAAAAAGTGTGCATAGTCTACAAATACTATTTCATTATTTATTTCATGTTCAAACTGAGGGCAGTTAAAAGGCCATTTATAACTGTTCACCAAGTTTCACACATTAATCACCAGGGAAATATATTCAGAATTTGTGCTGATTCTCAATTAGTGTGACGAAAGTGGTGGACGAAAGTCACCTTCTCCTGATACTGTCGGCGTGAGGAGTCCAGTGACTGTATGAGGGCGGTGGCGTGGCCGATGAACATGGCGTAGCAGGTGGCACCCACAATCATACTGAGCATGGTGAGCCAGACATCAGTCATGCCCTCTGGAGCCTGAGCACCATACCCAATGCACAACATGTGGCTCATGGCTTTGAAAAGGGCATAAGAGTACTGTACACCCCATGTGTCGTTCTGTTAGTGGGATACAGACAGAAATAAGTTCAAAATGGTAATTACAGGGGTGCTGTTATATTGAGCAGTTCTTTATTTGATCATGTTGAGGGAGGCACTTCCACTATCTGCAGCACAATCGTCTCAGAAAATATACCTGAGGCCACAACAACAAACGGAACAGCGAGTTCGGTATTGGAACAAAATTCTGGGAAAATGAAGAGCATAGAAACCACATGGACACAAAGAAAGGAACTCTAAACACAATCAAAACGTGCCTATGCGTGTGTCCGCCTGCTACTTAGTGTCTATATGAGTTCAATTACCCCAAGCTTCTAATGGTCTGAGAGATGAGGAAAGTCTCTGGGGAAAATCCCAGCATCAGTCTGCTTAGCAACCATCACTCATGGCAACCAGAGGGACATGAGTCAGCTGTTCATACCACCATGTATCTGCATCCATGGCACAAGTTTTCCATTGTTTGCGTGCATGCGCAACTCCACCTGATCTCTGCTGAGCTTTTTTAATTAGACAATCGTCTTCATCTTTGTAATGACGATAGTCTATCCTATTCCAGCTGGACATGTCGCTGCATGAGCCAATTAACACAGATAAGGAGAAAAGCTTGTCATATCTCATAAACACAGCTACACTCTGTGAACACACACAGTGAAAACCAGCTCCTCTCAGAGTCTGCGTTTTATCTGAAATGAATAATCTGCATACTGTTCCAACCAGCCCAGATTAGCACATTATGCGGCTCATTCTAAATGTCCTCATTTCTCTTTCCACCTGATGATAAAATCATCTGTTTCTACAAACTAAGAATAACGCTCGAATCAAGACTCTCACACAGAGACTCACCACCATCAGGTTCTTGGAAACCCAGCAGTCAGGAGGGAAGTCCTGCAGCATGGGAACCAGAAACTGGAGACAGCCATCCCAGTGGCACAGCAGCAGCATCATACCAATCAGGTTCACTATCCTCACCATGGCACTTGCAAGGTCGTAGGTCATGTGGAAGATCTGAGGGCAGAATGCGTGTGGATTTAACCTCACATGCTGGGGACATGTTGTCTTCTTATTGTACATCTAAAATGGAGGTTCCTTAACCTTCAAAACAAGCTATATCAAAAGAAAGTGCCTTGTGATGGGTCTGTTTTTGGTCTGTTTCCCTTGTCTGTGCCTCTCACCTCCTCCCACTGGTGGATGTAGCGAATGAGTCTGGACAGGCGGAGCAGCCGAAGCAGGCTCAGGATTTTAGTGAAGCGGACTATGCGCAGTGCCCTCGCCGTCCTGTAGACCTCCGAATCTAGACTGTCCACCATCAGGAAGATGTAGTCCACTGGAATAGATGACACAAAGTCCACGAGGAACCAGCTCTTCAGATATTTCTGGCGGATGGCCCTGAGTTAGAGGAAGATGGAAGACCGATGACACGCCGCATTTGGCAGTCTAGCTTTGGAAATGTGAGTCAAATATTTGTCTGGCATGAGACACCCCTCATAAATATTCATCTAGAACACACTGGGGCCTGAACAAAGCTGAGCCACGTCACCTTTTCAGATCTCACGTTTGAATTTGTTTGAACAGAAACCCAACAGATGGCCAAAGGAGCTCATTTAAATTTCTGGAAGCGGGGTGGCTGTGCTGATATTTCAGACAACCCACAAATGTAGTACTCCAACACATGGATGCACACACAAACACTCCTCCAAACCTTGGGTCAAGTAATATCTCTGTGCTGTCTTCCTTGACGATGCCTGTTCTGAAGTTGAGAACCAAATCAACCATAAAGAGCGTGTCAGAGACCACATTGAAGATGATCCATGAGGCTGTGTTCTCATCCCGAAAGAAGGTTATTCCCACTGGCAGGACGATAAGGTTGCCCATCATCAACACCAACATCAAGAGGTCCCAGTAAAATCTGAAAAGATAAAATGCAGAGCAATTTGTCTTTTTTAATACAACTTAAAGGCATTGAGTTACAAGTTATTGTAAAAAAACAAGCATTGTGTGACACAGGCTTGATCATGCTTTTGGAAATTAGCCTTTCAGAAGCCACAAGTTTTTTTTTATCATCATATAAATATAAGATATGTATATACAGATTCCTGTTCTGTATTTTTGTTCATAGCTTTCCACCTAAGTGTTAAAACTAGGAGGTGACCCAGTGCAGCTTGTAAATTGAGTCTAGTACTAATGCCGGTAAATAATTCCCTCATGCAATTATCCCATCAAAACAGAGTTTGACTTGAGTGGAAAAGGAAAAAACATCAGTCACCTTGGGAGATCGGACATCTCTCAAGGTATTTTATGCAGGAACATTACTTTGCAAAGTAGAGGTTCACAAAAAATCCAGGAAATCTCTTATGTCACTTAGATGTTGAAAGTGAGTCAATTATACCACAAGACCCTGTCTAATTATTGGGAGATTATTGCTATCTCTTATTCGACTAATCCCTTCATCCATCACCTTTTCCTGCTGTTATTCTGGAGCTGTCCCTCCCATTCATACATACTGTCTATTTTCACTCAAGCTCTGTGGTTGACTGCACCTAGTGCTAATTTAGTAACACAAACCCGTGGTGTTGTCCTACCACCAGACTGATGAAGCTTAAGCATGCATGACTCATCACTCCGCCATGCACACAATCTCAGACTTTGTCACTTATACTGACAGATTAAACACTTCACAAATACCCTGGCAGTAAATACAGGGATTATTTACAGCAGCACACAAACAAACCGGGGTTGCTTGTAGCAGACATGGAGATTGATTCCTGGCCTTGAGACCACGGCATGTCAATTCTGATCATCTGGAACAAAGCGGCCAATCGCCTCAGGCTGTATTTGTTACCGATGTATGTCAGCTGTTGAGATTATGTGAATATTTTGGGGTTTTAGAGAGCTGCTTTGACAAAATATGTCAGCTCAATTTTTTCCTACATTTTCTTACATTTTAAAGCATCAAAAAGTAGGAAAGTCATGAGCAGCACAGCGCTACCTGGATGCAAGGCCATCAGGCCTACTGGGTGAAGATGCTCCAACACCTGCATGAAAAATCACCTATTTCACTTTAGTCATTTTCAAACAGAAGAAGTTTGATCCTGCAGTTGTGGCTATAGAAGTACAGAAGCTGCAACAGTTTCATTTGGCGTTCCTTTACCTTACACAGTTTACAGCAGTTTTTCTTGCTGTGTACTGTAACACCTGAATCTGTGTGATGATGCTCTTAAAATGAAATGTTGCTGTTTTCTCTCAATTTAAGATCCAATTTAAGCTTGAATTCAGCAAAAATGAGAAAACAAAGAAACAACCAGATGTCAGTTCCCTAAACAGAAATTAATTTGTCATTTCAAGACGTAGATGCAGATTCCTCAATTTGAAACAACACTGTATGTGTATTTGGACTGCCTGCATGCACCTGTGTGTGTGGTGTACACGCATCAGGAACACACACACACTCACACACACGCTTATACACACACTCACAAACATAGGAATTGCAAATGCAATCAAAGCTCTCTATATCCTCATCAGTATTCCATTTTGAACATGAACAGGTGCTGGAGGATAACTGACCTGCATCTACCTGCTCAGCTGTTGTCAAACCAAACACTAATTTTACTGTAATCGAGGCCAAGTGTCTCCTTAGCGGTGTGTGATTGGCTCCCTGTTTGTAGTTGGCCAGATGTCAGCTCTCTGCAAGTTTCCACCCATCATGCTGCCAGACGAGCAGACAAACGAGCACAGCAGCGTCTGGCAACTTGATGTCACTATGTGTATGTGTAAAGCTTGAAACTATAGGAATTCCCTCGCCTCCCTTTGATTTTACATTCTTATTAGCACAGGGGCTGCAAGTCTTTTTGTAATGAGATGCAGAGAGTGAGAGCTTATCAGCAGTGTTGGTAATGACAGACTCGCCACACACACTCACACCAGCATGCACATTACTATGCACATGCTAAAATTGTCCCTGTGCTCGCGATTGACGCCAAAAAAACAAATGAGGCTGGCTAATCGGTGTTCTCCTCTCTGTTAGTTTGACACACCAAATTCCTCCTCAGATGTCACTCACCTCAACAGGTACTTAAAGGAAAAGTTAGAAGAATAAATGACATATAATGCATAATTTAGTACATATTTTCTCATATAGAAAAAATTCAGGTGTCATCCTGGAAAGGAAAAATCAGGACTATTAACATCTTTAGGTATCAATAAGCAAACAAAAGGCAGAGAGTCGGATATCCATCCTCCTGTCATGTATCCGTCCTTTCAGTCCATGCTGACTTCCTCTGGTGTTTCACCTTTGAGCAGGACTATGGAGTGATCATTGCATTGGCAGACAATACAAAATGCCTTTATATGTGTGTCTGTGTGTGCTTGATGAGACAAAAGTGGGCCAGGTGCCTAGGGGATCAAGTCTGTCTGGAGAATATGAATGCTTTCACTCCCTCACTGCCCACTGCAAATTGAAGATAGTGTAGATTACGCAGGGTCTCCGATCATCGAGAAACAGCCCCGTCTGAATAAGAAGTTGATACAGACTAACAGACATGGCTTTTGACCTAATCGTGTATTATGGGTGGCCCATATTTGCATCTCCAATTTGCATTTTACTGATCTCAATGCCATGTGACAGCGGTTTATTCTGTAAACAGTGGAAGTAAGTATTCAAAATGTTTACCCTTCTTGCCTTCTTGCCATGAACTCCGTACGTTTCAATATCTTTTTCAATAAGCATCTTCCCCTCAGCGTCTGTTTCATCCCCAGAGACATGCAGACAGTATTGTCTAACTCTAACCCCATCACTTCCAATGCACACTGTGCCTAAAGCAAAAAGGCTTTTATATTTAGCCTCTTACATGTCTTCCTCCTCTTCCAGTTGTCCTCCCCATTTCAGCTAACCAGAGAGGAGGTTTCGGTGGCAGGAATGCTTTGTTTGTTTTCCTTCTTCCCTTTCTTAGCCTCAAAACTAAAAGCTTCAAGCATAAAAATTTAAGATTTTTTTCTTTTGATTAATATATCTTCCAGAGAAATATAAACCCTGCAAATGGCATGAACAAAGAACAGAGCAACAGTCTGCAGGCAGGGGAGTTGGCGTGTTAGTGGCTCCTACCTGAAGTCACTGTAAGGGTGTATGATCCACGATCCCGCTGATTTGAGTCTTTCCTGCTCGAGAGCCACGGCTTTGTGAGATCCGAACATGCGGAGGCTGAACTTGTTGACCCCCGGTTGAAGCATGGCCCCGAACTGTCTCTGGATGAAGGTGCTCTGGTTGGAGGTGCTGTAGTCCTCGCCGTCGAGCCCCATGCCGAACGCGCCCAGCCCGGACAGACCCATCATCTCCGGGGTGCCCGCCGCCGTGGTGCTGCAGGCGGTCGTGGTGGTCTCCGCGCCGGTGGCCACCACCATGACTCCGGTCCCGGTGGAGGAGGAGGTGGAGGCCAGGGCGGCGCGGGATGCGGCAAAGCCCACTGAGCGCGGGGCAGGGTGGGCCGTGGAGGCTGACGGTGGAGGAGGAGGGGGCGGTAGGGGCACCGGGGTGGTCGGGGTACCTGTTGGGCGGAAGGGGAGTCCGTCCCTTGTGGAAGAACTCATGATGGAGAGGCGACGCCCCCTTCCGCCCGAGGAAGCGCTGTCTGCCCCGAAGGAGCCCCTGTCCCCCTCCAGCGAGGCCTGGGACAGCCGGTACCCCGGGGAGGGCAGGCTGCCCTTACTGCGCCGCTTCGAGTCCCCCCCGCTGCGCCTGGGCAGGGTGTCACCCCCAGACCCCCCCGCGCTGCCAGGGGCACCCACACCTCCAACCACCCCATCCATCCCAACTCAGGGAGGAGGGGGGGAGGAGGAAGAGAGGAGCGTGACAGTAACCTGTAGGCTGACTCCCGCCCCCTCAGCAAGGCTTCTGTTTAGTGCTGTCCCCCTGTCAAGACGATCCTACATACGTGAGAACATCTTCTCACTTATCTCAAATAGAAGAGGCTAAAGAACAGTGTCCCTTGTCTCGGTTCATTCTCCAGGGGGTGACATCTCACTCCTCGCCCGTCTGTCCGGTGATGTGGCCACGCTTACCTCAGTGCCCTTGGAAATGGCCCCATACAGACAGTAAATCCTCCAGTCTGACCCCGTGACGCCAGCAGTCTGACTTTTTCCTATTTTCTTAAAGAGTCTCGTTTGTCCTACAGATGTTTCTGCACCATTCCTCCTTCCTCGTCCTTGAAGAGCGTCTCTCCGCCCGAGGCCCTCCCTCTCCTCCCTAAAGCCGCCCTCAACGCTCCGCCGCCGGTCATGCTGGCACCGGTGCGCCGGTCTGTTGTAGATTACAGCGCTCGACGCTCATTGGCCGTCGCCGTACAGTTGTACAGCTGTTGTGTCCTTACTGCTTACCTAATTGTAACCTTTTCAAACAAATGTCATCATGTAAGACATGTTCGAGTCGGCAAGCAGGTGGAAAAGATAATAACCATCCTTAGACGAATGACAAAGGGCGGTTGATCCTGTATAAGAATGAGACGGTTGTCAATGGACGGATTGGATGTAGATTATGGGCACACACGGGCACTCACACTCCGACGCGCACTGATTCATTCTGACACGGCGTCCAGAAACGCGCACACGGAAAAACGGAGCGTCACGGACAAACGAGGCGGAGAGGAAGAAGTGAAATTATCCACAAATCTAGCCCATGCTGTCACACAATCCCCGACGCGCTGTCATGTTCAGTATCCTAGAGAAAAAGCCACCTTCATGATGATGGAGGGCGCACCGACACTCGGTCTGCCCGTGACGGAAGCGCTCAGACAGACAGAGAACACACTATAACCCCGGCATGACGTCTGAAATACCGTCTTTTCTCATCAGCCGTCGCTGTAAGCATTCCCACTTCGGCAGACTTTGAATGGCATTGTGTCCTGATTTTAGGCGGTGTTCCCTTTGTGGCACCGAAGAGAGATAAAAAAGCGTCTACATCAAGAGAAAAGCTGCTCAAGGTAAAAGTGCGCGCTCAAACGAATCCAAAGTCTCTTCGGAAAAATAATTATAAAATAAAAACAACTTGTTGATCGTTGAAGATCCTTCGCGTATTGTTCCGAGCGAGCGAAAGCCACTTTCCCCCTGATATCACTTTGTGTCCCTAACTCACTCTCAGAGGTCGGGCAGAAACGACCAAAGGGGCGCACAGTGCATGCAAATGAAATATTAAATAAATAAATGTGCATTTAAAGGTCTAGTTCTAATCGGCCTGTTGCCATGGTATCTGCATCCCCATCATCCGTCCCCGAAGGCCGCGTGCCCGGCCAGCCCAAGACGCACAGCATCCCCCTCAGGTACTGGTCCAGCGTCACTCCCGATCAGCGCAGGGGTGCGTCATGTGGACAGTAATGATGAAACTTTATCGTAATGTTGTCAATGGTGATGGAAAACGGCCAAAAAGAAGACGATGACGAGGAGCAAACACATACATTTGTAGGTCTTACGTGTTGTAGGCTAAGAATGGAATATTGAGCCAACCTTTCTAAAAACCCGAGATTACTGAGTATAGAAACATTTTATGCAAAAAAATGATAACCTAATGATATTCGAGACTTATTTGAACAGGCAAAAAAAACAAAAACGTGATAAAGGCTAAATTCTAAATCTTACTCAGAAAAAGAGGAAAACACCTATGATGATCTTTAGCTATTAAGTGGAGATGCAATGAATGCCGTGCACATTTCAGGCTTAAGTAATTTTAAAATACATAAAAAACAATAAACCTGGGCCAAATGTAAAAAGTGTGAAATTGTTTTTTTGTTTTAAAGAAAAAGAAAAAAAGGCTGGGAAACAACACAAAAGCAAGTCAGTGATTTGAAAATGATCTATATTCTGCATCTAATTAGAACACAACTTCAACAAATAAAACTGTGGGAAGTTTAGGAAGTCATGTTGCTGCAAACATGGAGCTGGACATTGGTGGTTAACACAGCACAGGGTGGTGCATCAGCACACACAGATAACTTGCATGGCTGTGAAGGCACACTAAAACCTGCATAATATAGCCCAAAGATTTGGTGCAGCACACAATATCTTCAAAGACATCATTAGATCCGTTTTATCTGAGCAGGAGTCTAGCAGTTATCTTGATTTCAAGGAAACATTGAGCTAATTCTGACTACAGATCAGTGGACACAAATTGCTGAGAAACTAAAATTCAATATCAAGCAAGAAGGGAAAACATTTAGCTTTTGATGACAACAGTGGGTGGTTTCCCCAGGTCCCATTTTTCCAAAGTGTTTACAGATTGTTATTAAAGAAGGATGCAGTAGAGATGTTCCTGTTCTCAAAATCCTCTGAAACATGTCAATATCCCATTGAAAGAGGGCAGACGTTTAGCTGAAAGTCGAATTTTGTGGAAATCTTCGTTTCTGTCGCATACATATCTAGTTTTAAAGTTGTTTTTATGCTACCCTGGAAGATGATATGTCCCACATAGTGGACGGGGTTGAGAAGACAAAATGTCCGTAAGTGCAAACCATCTCAGTGACTAAATGAAAATATGCCATGAGAGTGTTTTAAAAAAAATAGTTATTAGTCTTATAACTAACAGACATAGAGAGTGGCCTTTAAAGCAGAAGTAGAACAGAATAATATTCAGGGCACATGGGCATTGGAGAGCAAAAACAACAGAAGGAGGAAGAAGAAGGGCAAAGTTACCACAAGAAGGATTATCAGCCATGAGAACGATCCACACAGGGACGGATAATTACTTTATGTGAACAATATGCAGAGGTGGCTTTTGGGTCATCACAGTGGACAAAGACACTGTCCTTCAACAATGGCCCCCCAAAATTGTGCAACCACTGAGATAAGCTTGCGACCGTGAGCAGGAATGAAATTCTAATCTTCAAATTCAACAAAGACAACGGTAGAGGCAATAATCCCTTTCAGTATCGGACATGGAAAGAGTGGACAGCTCAATTAGTGAACTTCAATTCCAGCAGGCACAGAAGCACAGCTAGAATTCATTTTAGTTGGAGGGAGTCATCATATTTTTATTGGACAAATTCAACATTCATGAGATCAGCTGTCCTGAAATGATTAAGGAGCTGGTTCTCAGGCTTTCATCGTCCTCATCCAGGACACGATGCAGGGGCTCAAACAGGGGCTGGCAGATTTAGAGTCCGGTGAAGTCACATTATTACGGGACATTCGCTGCCCTCATGATGTTGGTGTGACCGGAGCCTGGGATCCAGCCTGTCACCACAATCACCATGTCACCTGACTTGAAGAATCCTCTTGCTTTCCCTGTGGTGTACCAAGAAGGATGTGTGAGTAATATGTTTTTCTTTTATTCAGGCTTAGAAGAGAATCAAAGCGGGCAGTTTACCTATGTCCATGCCAAAGTTCACCCTGTTGTCAACATCATCAGCCCAGACAGGAGCAGGCAGAGGGTGAAAGAGGACAGGAAACACGCCTCTCAGCAGCTGGGACTGACGGGCAACCTGAAGGAGGAAACAGAGGTTTGCCCCCATAAAGAAAAATTAAAACAAATTTGCTCATTCATTTTGATAGTTTTCTTTCTTTTCCTGTTTTTCACATTCAAGAGGGAGATGGACATCAGCAAGTTTGCAGTGTGATGAGGTCTGAAATTGAGTGTCTGGATTTTAGATCTCTTCTTCGTTTAACTTTGCAAACTTTTGGAACACAACAGGCTTTGAATTTATCCTTTGTAAATGTCACATTCAACATTTTACTTCAACTTCTTGACCTTCCTCTAACTTTATACACAAGGTTCGAACATTGTTTTAATCAGAATTGTATTCTATTATGATGCTTGACTTGTTATCACGCTCAAGGTTATGGTTTTGTTGAGGTAGGTTAAGTTATTTCATGCAGGTTTTGGCTGTGTTTTGTACAGTGAACACTTGGTCTTCATTCATAATTAATGCAAAAGGCTTCTTAGAGCGTTAATGATGAACTTTTGCCCTGACATGATTTAAGTTTAGTCTTAAGTAGAAATGAGTGTAAAACTTCAAAATGTGCTGCTTTGGATTTGAGCTGACCTCTCACCTTCACGTGGAGTGCGTATTGATGGGATCTAATTGGAATTAACTCTGCACTATTCAAAGGTTAAATTGTGTTGTCAAAGCTTTCAAAGCTTTTTTCTGCAGAAATATGACAAGAAAAAATCACTAGAGCACCATTCGGACATGCAAAAGTCCCACTTATGTCAGTTTTATAATGTTTTAGATGGATTTTATAGAAAAAGATTAGGAAATTGTAAAAGGGTTCAAAGTTTTACTGGCTCGAGATGTTACAACCTTGTAAAATTCTGTAACAAATTTAGCCTCAGGACAAAACCCTCTGCGTAGAACTATAGTAAATCAGACTTCTTTTTCACTATCTATAACAACAGAAAGTGAAAACAAATACTGCCTGTATAGCAGATCAGCCAATTTGGGGTATGACTCATCATCAATTAAGTTGTTTTTAAAGCGTGACAAATGCACCAGTATTCTTCAGATGGCTCTGCCATTTAGTGGAAGGGACTGGACTGTACCTGAGGGGTTCTAGTGACTGCAATGATCGGACAGCGAGGCCGGTATCTGGACAGGAGATGTGCCGACCTGGAAAGAGGGCACGAAATATAATGATGGATGAGGAGAGAATGTAAATGAGCACTGGAGAGCAGCATTTTCATGGATGATTGGCAAAATGAGGGTTAAAAATACTTTGGCTTCACTGCTCCTTGGCATGGATTGTCAAAACCTGTTACACAGCTGCATGTTCACTCAGAATTTTATTAGCATTTATGCAATTGATGTGTCACTAAAGCATGAACACTGTTGACTGTCTGGGTATTTCTGAACCAGTACTGTATTGATTAATGTGCTGATTAATGTTTGCATGTGTTGTTCCAAGTGTACCTACATGAGTGTGTGTAGACAAATCTTTGCTGTGTCAAAACAGAAGGTTTTAGCACCTACAGGTGTTAAACAGAAATTTGTGCCACAAACAAGATAAAGCATGATAAACTCGGGATGCAAAAAATGGAAGAAGAATCTATTAAAATATTCAGTCTGTATCTTTGCTGTCAGATTTAACACCAAAGCAGCAGCCTAAAAGGAGCTGCGTGTGTTTGCACGGAAGACAAAGAAAATGTTTGCCCAAACAGGAATTACCTAACGTCTCCATCTATTTGAGAGTACAGACAAATATGACAAGGACGACTCAGCCTTTTTAGCCAAAATTCAATTATCATCTAATGCATTTAAAAAAAGATGTATCTTAATTTAATTTATTGTCTCCCTCGGCCGAGCCAGTTTGTCAAATTTATTCAGCACGGCATCATATCAAAGGATGACATATGTTATGAAGAAATCCAACACTTGCATTCCAGACTGTATTTGGTGACCAAAAAATGAAATGACAGCTTATTGGTCAACATACTATACTTGATCAAAAGAATGAGGAGGTACATGTGTCATTTTTGTGTGGAGGATCTATCAATGGGAATTTACCAGCTAGATGATTTTTTACTGTGACAGGAAGCTCGATTCTGCTGAAATAGACCACTACCATCGCAGGATGATACTGTCACAGTGGAGGATTTGCAGTCCAAATGTTGGATCAAAACAGCCCAAATGTCTACAAGCGGATTTACTGGAGATAAAAAGACGAGCTGCCTTCAGTGCAGACAGTTCTTCCCACAATGCACCTTGCAACTGTCTCTTCAGCACTGCACTTTTGGCATCATCACGGTTTGGCAGTTGTTCTGCATATGCAGGCTCAGATTAACATCACCACAAACCCAAAACCAATGCCATTTTGGGAAAGCTCTGGTCCAGTTTTTAGTTCTGTTTAAGTTCTATTTTCTTGCCCTCAGCACATCATCTTCAAGAAGCTATGGCTCACATGCTGACTAGCAACTCTAGTGCAACCAGAGCACTGATCTCATTCATTTGAGACTCAAATAAACTTTTAATCCAGCTACCAACCGTCCACTGAGCAGACCAGTGCATGGGCTCTTGTCTGAAGACAGCATGGGGTTTGCTCACCTGCCACTGCTAGTGAGGACTATGATGGCCCCGGCGCAGCATTTGAAGGATGACTCCACAGCTCCGATGGCAGTGACTTCAGTGGGGTCAGAGGACAGAGGAGTGAGCCGGCGCAACTCCTCGAACAGCTGGTGGTGGAAAATGGCCGCCTCCGCCTCCCTGCAGATCTGACACAAAACCGACAGAGGCACCGAGCAGGGGTGAGGAATGGAGTTTTATCAGGGGGGCATTTAGTCAGACGGAACAAACCAGATGGCGTCCCTGCACAGAGAAACACACACCGAGTGCATCATTGCAACTGCCTCCAGAGGGAACAGTCCCTTAGCCGTCTCCCCAGATAGCATTACACAGTCGGCTCCATCCAGCACCGCGTTGGCTACATCACTGCTCTCTGCTCTGGTTGGACGCGGGTGGGACACCATGCTCTCCAGCATCTTAAAACACATCAAATCACGGTCATCCAAAGTATCTGTGAGGAATGCACACAATCAATTCATAATTATCTGTCCATTTGGGGAGATAAGCCAGAGAGAAAGGTGTGGGCTTTTGTTAAAGGAATGATCGATGGCACAGCAGTCTGATAATTAATGTCCGGGATCACTGGCAGTGTGCTAGACACGCACTGTCACGAGTCAATAAGAAATAAGAGCTGGAGAGTGACAGAGCCTGCTCTCTGAGCACTGGATCAGATATATTTGCGGCAGTGAGGAGGCTTCAGATAAAGCTGATCAGTGTCTACATGTAGGTGCTGCTCGTAAGCTCAGGCCGCCGGTAGAAAACCTGCCATAACGCTGGGGTGGCATAAACAACACACAGCACTATGTGTCAACATGGCTGCAGGAGAGAACGTGCACGTGTGTCTGTGACTGTGCGTGGTGGCGTAAAAAAAGAGAGCGGGCTATGTAGGAGAGCACAGTTAATGCACGGCCATTAGGTGCTAATGGGAGTTGACACGGCCCAGTAGGACGTCTCACTGGATGAAAATGCATTTAAGAGGTCACATTTGGAAATTCGGTCAGCTCTGGATCTCTCTGTGTTGCTGCACTCGTGCACGTGCTCTGACCTGTGTGGCGCAGATGACCGGCTTCCCCGCAGAGTTGCATCGGCCAATCATCATCTTCTGGGCGATGAAGACTTTTTCAGCAGGGATCTCAATCCCCAGGTCGCCCCTGGCAACCATCACGCCATCACTTTCAGCAAGAATCTCCTCAAAACTGTCACAAAGATCAGAGTTTTCAGCAGGTGAAAGATTGAAAGTTCAGAGATGCAGAGGACAACAGGAGAGGCTCAAATGAGTTTTTTTTTTAAAAACTGCCTTTTGAGCCCAGAAAATATATAAAAAATCATTTAATTAAATTCTTACATCCTGATCTATTAGGAAGCAGATGCAAATTTAAGAAAATGTGTGTACGAGATGTAAAACAGCACTCAAACAGCATCATACAGATGTGAAACTGAATCCTTTTTATTTAATGTAAAAAAAAACAAAAAAACAACCTCTATAGTAAAACAGCTATTTAACAGTGAACAGCCGGTGAGCAGAAGGAGAAAGCGTGGAAGCATGAGATAAGTGTTGGAAGTGTGAGAGCAGTAATATGAACTGTGTCTGATATTTTAATTGGCAGCGATAACTTGCGCACACAGCCACAGGGGTCGCTTATCAAACATGTGTCAAATCCGGACCTGACAAATGTTGGTTCTTAACTCACAGCTGGCAGTCTGCAGGAGGGGCAGACCACCATCGGGCTAGATTTATGCGTCCTGTCACAGCCTCATTATGAGACTCTGCCATCAGCCACCTCAGGGCTTGAAATAACGACGCCTAAACTGCTTAAACTGAGAGGTGTTTCCCTCCACTCACTTGTGAACTCCTTGCCGGCTCTCCACCTTGCTGATCACTTTGATATCTTGACCCTGAGGCCCCAGAGCTCGACGCACATCCTTCACGTCCTGGGCAGAACGGATGAAGCTGGCGAACACTATGTCGACACCGTGAGCCACCCCGAACCTCAGGTCAGCCTCGTCCCGCTCGCTGACGGCCTGCAGGCCGATCAGGTCGCAGCCGGGGAGGTTGACGCCTTTACGGCTGCAGAGCACCCCGCCCGCCTCCACCACAGCCTCCACCCAATCAGAGCCTGCCGAGACCAGGAGAGCAGAAAGGTATAGCAGGCAGGTTATCAGTAGTAATCCGGGTAACAGAAAACAGGTTGTGAGGTATACACAATGGTAGCCCATTTAAGTTAAGTTCTTAAATGTCAATCAGAAAGGTGTACGTACTTTATCAATTTCTCTGTTGTAGAATACTAAGCCAGACTTTACTTTAAAGGATCATTTGCATCTTTCATAGGAAGGTTCCGTTAAATCGCAAGATTAATACAATATGTTTGATTAAAACAGGTTTATTTACACCAACCCTCAGCATGTTACCTATTTCCAACACTCTGAGTGCAATGAGGCCGTCGTCAATGTAGATCTTCGCTCTCTTCTCCAGGACTTGTGGCAGGTTGGGATAGTCCACCCAGATCATTTTCCCGTCTGTCTTGTCTTTGTCACTCTCGGCTGTCACCACTCGCACATGGCTTCCTTTCACCAGCTCCACCTCCTCCTCCACTTTCTACCACACACAGAAATGTCACACACTGTCAGGGAGAGACATTTTCAAGAACGAGCAGCTCCTCCAGCATTATTCTGTCAACACCCACGTCCATGGATGGGCTTCGCGTATTAGCAGATGCATTTGTAGTTTCATTTAAAGGAACCTGCCTGGTTTAAAGGCTGGCATGGGTCTGGGCTTTCACAAGCTAATTCAGGATTGAAAAGCTTTAAACAGATATTTGGATGAGCACTATGATCAAGCATGATCAAGTGAAGAACATACATGACGAACATAAACGTACTAAAAACATACTTTCAGATGTCGACATAGAAAAGAGTTAAAGGTACAATAACATGCTCCGGCAGAGCTACTCAACTGATCTGCGAGGAGACGCTGGATAGACAGCTCAGTTTTTAGACCGCGTGTCATGCAGAGCATTTTGTGAGCTAATCAAGATTTGGAGAGGGTAGGAACGACTCGGAGGCATTTATTCAATAAAGCAGATGGCATCCAACAGCAACCCAGCAAACAAAACAATAAGATGATGATAAAAAATGCAAAGCGGCTCGTGCCCGCAGCTGCTGTTTTTCTAACAGAAGTAACAACGTGTAACTAATGACGCGTTTCACACAGAGTTATCGGCATCCCTCGCCCTTACTGGTGTGTCAGACTGTTCGGGAGATGGGGCTAGACAATATTCACCCCTTTCACTAATCCCGTGCGGATCTCTGGACCCTTGGTGTCCAAAGCGATGGCCACAGATCGATAATACAAGGGGTCAGAGGTTATGCTCTCCACTGCTTCTCTGATGTTTTTGATGGTCTCGCCGTGGTACTGAAAAGGAGAGACAGAGTCCGTGAAGAAGTGTCGGTTTGTCTGAACCGGAACACGCATGCATACATGTGTGTTGCACATACTTCATGAGAGCCATGAGAGAAATTAAGACGAGCAATATTCATCCCAGCCTTGACCATCTCCTGGAGTTTAGGGACTGATCGGGAGGCAGGACCTGAGAGATGACAAACATGACACCCTGAAGAGAAGAATTCTACTCGTTTAGGGAAATATGTCTAATTTTTCATGGCTTCGGTCTGTGGGATTAGTAGCGGTGGCTTTTTACTTTGTGACTGTTTTAATGTTATAATTGAAGCGTCAGATTATTATTTTTTTAAGCATCATTTTTAACTTTTTGCCCACATAGTTGGATATCAATCTATATTAATTTCTGAAATCACTGATACTAAAATACAAAAAAAATACATGTGACGTGACTGACATTTTGCCAATTAGCCTAATTAGAAATGATCCATAGTGGGTAATCTTTAGGCTTTTACAACTTCAAACAATCTAATAATTTAATATATGACTTTTGTACTGCTTAAGTAAAAAACAGTCTGTTGTCAGATGATAAAATGTATTCATTTTGTCGCCACGTCCAAACCTTTTTTTGGATGAAGGATTGTTTGTCTGCCTGAAATAAAAATTCTGAAATAGCTTTTGCTCCCTGCGGTTCCTTGATATGTGGCTGCTTTATTTGTAAATCATGAAATGATTGCTGGTTGCATCCTCGGATTCAAATAAATGGCATTTGTCAGTCCATCAACCTGTCACTGTGAACACAAGCTACTCCACTTAATTCCTGTTCTTACAAGCCATAAAAAACAACCTAAGAGACAAACCTCCAGATGTCTCATATGCAGTTTTCTATATAATATTTTCTTCTGTTCACGGGTGTTTTTCTGCACAGAAAGATGTCCCTAAAAGCTTTAATGTTTCACCGCAGACAATCAAACCCTGCGAGCACCACAGGCCACACAGGACCTGGCTCTCTGACAAATAGCCGATGACGGCGTGCAACAGTTGCCAGAAAACAAACTTCAAACTGAGACTCATTGTCTGCAGCGGCTGCCACACTCACCGATGGTGCAGATAATGCTGGTGTTTCTGGCTGTGATGGGCTCCTGGTTGATATCCAGCAGACAGAGATGCTCCAGGAAGGTGTCAGCCATGCTGGCATCAAGCTGCTGGTGCTGAATGAAAGAGTCTGGCATTTTCATCACATCCGAGTAGCGCCTGATGCAAGCTGCAGAGAAAAGAGAAGAAAGAAAACCAAGTCAGTGGGGTGAAGTCTCACGCCGCACCACAAACAAAATAAGGAAAATGCTGTTTTTACGATGGTGGATTGTAAATGTGCTGACAGATATCTGAACAAAGGAACAAAACACTAACCAGGAACTGCCCGCAAAGGCCACACAAAATGACAGCATGACATTCAGGATTCTCATAAGCTAACAGCAGGAAAGAAACACCCCCCATCACTCTGCAAATATGTCCTGGCCAATTCTTGTAAGATATTTTAAAACACTCAGGAGAGCTGATCACATGAGAAGAACGATTTTACGCTGACATTTGCTGCAAATGGAGATAGCAGCTCTCCAGACAGCCGACTTTCATTACAGACAGGTTGTTTTTGGATGTCACATCGTGCTTAGCAAAATACTCTCTCATGTCTGTTAGAGCAGAAAGTAAGATAAAATAAGACATCACGCTCTCCCACAGAGGAAAATCCGACTAGTAAGAGACCGTGGTTACTTTCTTTTTGTCAGCTGAGGAACTAAGTGCTGTCTCTCACTACGTTTTAAGCACTGGCTGCTGGGAAGCGTGTTTCCAGTGATCTACGGCAGCCACCTGGTCATTTTAAATCTATGAATGTGCTGAACCACCGCCACACTGATGACTTTTTGATAGGGGTTCAAGTCACTGAAGAGACACTGTTTAACGCTTGAGCACAAACCTTCATACTGATCGGCCATAATATCATGACCAGTGAAGCAGGTATCTTCTTGTCATGAGGTGATTTCACACATGCATTCTGTCACTTTCATGGAAGCTACTTTAATAAATTCCGACAACATGAACATCTCTGCACACTGCACATCACAAGTGTACCACGGAGAGCACAGCATGGTTAACAGTTATAGAGTCTCAAAATGTACACCCATCTATCAGGCTACATAAATCAGACAGGATTGCATACCTAGGTTTACTGGCTTTATACTGCTATGACCCTCTCATCGAAATCTCACAAAACAATGGGCGCCTTCATCTTATGTGCTCCGTGGCCCTGTATCCTGATGTAATCCCAGCTTCTTAATAAGCTTGAACATGTGGGTGAAGGATCTTATTGTTCTGCAACACTTATGCGACAGATAAAGGATATTTCTTCATAATGGAAATGTGTCGTGACACATCCAGCAGAAGCAGAGCAACATGAGCATTCAAGCACAGTCACAGCGTTTCTTTCCTGACAAGCACAAGCTCAAAAAGAAAAATCTGGCACTGAATTAACACCCAGCTTTTCCAAGGCAACCGCTGCTGGTGGCTGCAATAAAATAGGTGTGAAGAGGTGTAAGAGCGAACACATATAGCTGTGTCCAAAACATGATTAATAAATCTGAAGAATTCTTCAGTGGCTAGGTCAGAATTATTTGTGGTTGCAACTCCTCTCATGTTCAGATCTTTCATCTATAGTTTGAGTAGTAATATGGACGAAAACAGCAGGAAAATGTATCATTTTGTCTCACTGTGTTGACATTTCTACCTTTAAAAAAGGAGACTTTTCCACCAGTTACAACCCAAAATATTCAAACTTAAACTGACATGACAGCATATAGTGATCATTTTCAGCATCCTGTTTCAGTGACTCCAGTTGCTAAATGAGGCTTCAAACCAGGAAGGGTGGGCCATTCATTCAAAGCCTCGCAGAGCTTGACCACTGGCTTTCATCCCAAACAATAGAGACCAATCTGAAGGATGTCACAGACGGTTAAGCCTGCAATTTTTGCCCGGGGAGGACAGCATAAAGTCAGCGTGCGGCCTGGCAGACAAGGTCAGCCCAAACAAAAAAAGGGTGGAAATGTGAGGATGGTGACGGGTGGCACAGAGGAGGGGTCAGGTGAAGAAAAGAGAGTGGAAACTGAAGTATTTTATCTGTGGTTTTGTTATGACTTCCCCACACTTTTTTTGTTTTAGGATTCACCTGAAGACCTCAGTGCAGTGAAGGGACATACAGTCATTTCCAAGAGCAAAGGCTGACAAACTCCCCAGTGTGGGGGGGTGACTGAGAGTTCTGCAGATTACACTCCTCCACCCTGTGGATTCAATATCTGTCAGCTTTTCCTCTTTCACTTTTCCCTCTCCCCGCTCCTCTTCGTGACCCAGTTCTGCCGCACTGCTGCACACATGATCACAGGTCCCACTGAGATCCTCCTCTGAGACATCTCTTCCTGTGCACATGTACCAGCACACACTCTCTTACCTGTTCCTGGAAGCCTGCCTATAAATAAAGTACACTTCAGGTCAAAGACTCTCGAGTTGTGAAATATCAGTCCATGCGTGACTGATAATAAGAGGGAGGGAACCTGGGGATGGCCGTGGCCACAACGTGGCAGGAATAAGCTATTTGCATTTCTCGACCAAACGCGGGTCAGCTTGTGTGTTCGTGCACAGTCAGTTGACACAAGATAGGAGAGCCAATTTCTGCCCAACTAACTGAGGTTAAAAAGCATTTAACAAATTAACTTTTAAAGATGGGGCAACACAACAATAAGAGGTATCAGAATGACCTGATGTTAGTCAGTTTTTAGAAAATGATATTGTGATTCTCTGTAAAGGTAAAAATAACATCAACTACACACAAAGCTCCCACATTAACCATGTGAAATAATCATATAATGTTATTTGGGGATTTAAAATTACATCATAGAGGTATGGGGAGGCATAAACTGTTCCAAAGCAACAACACAAAGGTAAACCATTGCTCAACTTACCCATTTTAAGTCTCACTCTACTAAACAATCCAAATCCACCACGTATGTTTGAAAACTGACCGAAGCCCACTGTCTGCTTCCCTGCTTATGTGTCACTTGGTGTCCAGTCACCTGGTCAAACCCATTTTGTTGATTTTTACCCTGCGACCCCCCTTACTGCCCACCCCAGTCTCTCCTCCCACATTTGGTAAAAAGTGGTCTGGCCTCACTGGGTCAACATGATGCTAAAAATGGAAAAACCTTCTGTTCAGATCAGCCCTGACACAAGACTTTGTCCCAAAGTACAAAAGTGGGGTTACATAACGTTAACACAGTGTTTTCCCATTTCCCTTAAACAGCTGCATTTCATGTTTTTTTGTACACTGATCTGTATTTCAAAGAAAATGATCACTACTGCAGATCACAAAAAACACATTTGTAATCTTTAGGCACTCTCCTTTCTTCCACAACTGAATACAAATTACACAACTACATATTATGGTTTAGAGTAAGCCATCATAACTGACTACTTTGTAGTTAAAATCAACACTTGTGAGAAAAACAAATGTACATAAATTGTACATTTTTACTCTCTTTAATTTAAGGTATTTCTTCACTTGAGGATAAAAAACATTTTCAGCACAAATAAAGTGAGTTTAATATGTCTAACCCTGACTTTTCTAAATTACTGTATCATGGAGGATTTTGTTGCTGCAATGCCAGATAAGGACTTGTTTTGTGTTATTTAGGAGAAATAAAAAAGTCCTGAGGAATGCACACTGAAACTAATTTTTTTTAAGAGTTAAAAAATACAGATTCTTCGGAGGAGAGAGTGAAAAGTACTTTTACTGCATGCTTTTGCATCTGAGAATAATCACGTGGAGTGGTTGTCTAATCATATTTGATTATATTAAAAGATTTCCACCACAACACAGATAATTTGTCAATGAATAGTAATAATCCATTTAAGTGGTCAGAGTGGCCTACCGCACTTATTAGTCATAGAGCCAAAAGCTTGTATTGTGCTGGAGGAGGATTGACTCAAATCAGTTGACTGACTCATAAAAATTAAATAAACAAATGGTAATAATTTCACACAAGGGTTAGTTATTAGAAAACAGGAAGTGGGACATTTCTGATGAATTGTTTTTACTTAATGTGTACTGGATCTACAGGTTTTATATTCCAGCAGCATATAGCTGTCTCCTAGAGACACTCCTTTCCCCAAAAAAGGAAATCTGTGAGTATGGCGTCAGCATTGCTCGTTTAATAAATTTTTAGAAGTTTTCAAGCTGCGCTGCCGTGTCTTTTCCGTGTGCCGTCACGCACAAATGAAGGCGTAAATCTTTAGCTAAAAGTGCAAACAGACCTTTGCTCCCGGGCTGATTGCTGAAAATCTAAGCAGCAGTCCACGGCCTGTGAAGCACACACCTCACATGAGACTGCAAACGCTGCACGTGAAATTACCAAACGCACCAAAGGTCACTTTTACGCATCCAGACCAAAGTTCAGTTTGTCATATCAAATAAAATGACTACAAATTTAAAAAATGGGTGAAACTCCAGGAGCCATGCTGCAGGATAACCACAAGAAAGCTTTTACAATTTAATCCAGATGTTATTCTTTTGGGAGGGGGGGGGGGTGATAAGATGTGCTTTAAATTATCAAAGCAAACAAGTGACAAAAGGTAAACGGAGAGAAATCAATATCTGCGGAAAAGCAGCTAAAAGTAAATATTTAGTTACAAAACAGCATGATACTAAAATAAGACAGCAAATATTGCTCCACACAAAACAGACACGCTTTGTAGAGTAAGATAGTGAAATTAAGAAAGGAAATTTGACCAACCTGTTGATCTCTGCAAGGTGCAGGTCAATAATGAAAGGTGAGAAGAAACCAGCAGGACTTTAGGAAACCAGCGGGTTGGGTTGGTTTTAGCGACATCTATTGGACAGAAGTGGTGCCGGTGCTTTTAAAAGGCTCAGTCTTCAGTGAAGAGCAGACAGGAGGTGGAAATAATACTTTATTTAACCCAATCAAGGCAAAATACAAAGTATGAGGGTGCACAACTTTTTCTAAACTCTGTGATAAAATGTTTCAGTTAAAGATGGCACAATCTTTGGTTTTTGTGTCAAATTTTGCTGAAAGTGATCTTCGGTTGAGTCTCGGGCTGGAGGATGAGGGTAACGGTGGTTCTGAGGTCCTCTGAGGAGGGCACGCTGAGATGGAAGCTCAGCAGGATCTGGACAGAGGGAGGAGGACGGAGGGAGGCAGAGAGGAGAAGCAACGAGGGAATCAAGACCAGGTGTTGCAGTAAAAGCAGTAGTTGTCTTTTTGCGAGGAAATGTGTGTTTTACTCAAGCATTTTCATTTCATCTTACTCTAAAGTTTTATTTCAGAACAAATCAAAGCAAAAGGCTGTTTTATGATTTTTGCATTTGACTTAGTTATTAAAAAGGTGTCGTCAACTTTTATCTCAACAGCAGATTCTCTCGTGAACTTTAATCTTGGTTCATGTTAAATGCTCCCTGACACCGGTATTTTATCCACACCTCTAAATGCCAGCCTGTTGATCTTTGAACCCGTGTGTCCGCACAAATGACTGGCCTTGGTTTAAATGCAGAGGGTGGTACCACTAGTCTTATTCAGTATACTGTATGTCCAAAACAGATGTACGAGCAACCAAAAGAGATGTGAATAAGGAAATACATACTGTAAACCCAAAGAAACTAAATGTCCTAAGTGCAACACAAATTTGTGTTAGTGTTATTAATTAGTAATGAGTGTGATAAGCACAAAGGTGACACTAAACAACCAAAACACAGTTGTAAAACTATAAAAATGAGAGGTACAAGAACCAAAATTAACCATGAAAGGCCCAAAGAGACCCAAGATTACGTGAATTATTTGTAAACCAAACAGCTAAAAGCTATATCGCCCTGTTTTGTGTCTTTTCAGTATGGGTGTCTGACGCCTTTAGGTGAGACGTGGGAGGCTTTTCTCATGTAGGTGTCTGGCTGTAGTTTCACAGTCAGCGGAGATGCTTCTGGTTTGGTATAAACAAGCTAAAACCAGCTTCACCTCAGCCTGCTCAAGTAAAACACTGCTGATGAAGTCTGTTTATTTTCTGAATGGGTTTCATGACACGTCACTGTGAACTGAATTCCAGTGGAATTCAATGAGTGATACAATTCAGGCCTTTTGCTTGAGTAATGTTTCACCGGAGAATCTGAGCACTGTTAGCAGACTGGTTAAACCGGCCAAATTCTCTCTCTTTCCAGCCATGCGAACCCACACGGGCCTTTTCAGTTACTCCTTGAAACATTTCATCATGTTCATTCTCTCTGATCTCTCCTTTATGCTTCCTCTCTTTATTTTTACTCACTGCTCTTTCATGTCTGCTGTCACTCACATGCATGAGCAAAAGCTGTATCTCGTTCTCAGCAATCCTCCTTCCAACACACTGCCTCGCCCCGAACCCGAAGGCCAGCGAGCGAAACCCCGTTCCTTCCTCTCTCCGGCCATCCTCCCTGCTGCTGCTCCACCGGCCGGGGTCGAAGCGCAGCGGCTCCTCGAACACCTGGGCATTCCTACCCATCGGGTAAAGGCAGGCCTGGACCATCGTCTGTGGGGGAGAGCTGAGGGTCAGACGTGTGGGCCTCAGGTGCTCTTCTGAATGCACTACAGGGTCTTTGGTCGAAAGACGGTCGGAGAGTGGACACTCACCCCGGCAGGAATGTGGTAATTCTGGAGAACAATGTCTTTGACTGGATAGCGCTGCACTGTGATTCCCACTGGGTACAACCTGACAGAAACGAGTGCACACACTGTGCTTCATGTTATCTTTGAATTGCCACTAAGGTCTAAACACAAACCAGGGTTAATGCAGTTGTATTGATGAAAACAAAAGCTCTCAGAAATCTGCTCGCAAGCTCAGAGGACAGAGGATGATCCCTTTAAAAATGCATCATGTGATCATATTACATCAGGGTCCAGAAGGGGGTGTCTGCTATGTGTGTTTCTAAAGTTTTAGGAGTCTACAGGATGGAGCAAATGTCAAACTCGGGGTGAACAAGCGTTGAGATGTGGAAATGTAATCTAAAATCTGCCCATGACCAATGACATCATCTCAGGGGTCACTTAAGCAACTAACACTCAGTTCATAGTGATAGATGCTCATCTGGAAAAAAAATAGGGAAAACATCTCTATGTATAAAAATCCAAAATCTCCTCACAAAATCTTTTTTTGGTCAGTATGTCATAATTCTTTTTTTGCCCTCTCAGCCAGCACCGTTTGCATGATTGGGCTGATGTTTGAACCGGACATCCATTGTGTTTTACACTAGAGTGGTTGGTGAATATCTAATTATATTATGATATGATACCATCTGTTTTCCTGTTTACTTATTTCTTTTCTTTTGTGGGAAAGCATCAATATTGTTTAATTAAGAGAGATCAGTCACTGTGATCTTGGTAATAGAGTTAGATTATCTCCTTTCAGCAGCAACTCAATGCTGAAAATGTGGACACATCTTAGAATTGATGTCTTGGCTGCTGTACTGGATCACTTCAGTATCACTACTGCCCTCTGCAGCATGTGCAGTTTCTTGTGCTGGAGGCACAGGTGATATTTCTGTACCTGAGGACCTCTTTCATTGTGCCTTTCAGTAGCGGTGCGCCCTGCAGGGCCTTCTGAGGGTCTCCGCCTGATTGTGCCCACGACATCCTCACCTGCTGCCTGACCTGCTCCTGCACCTCCGGGTTGCGTCCCAGCTCAAACAGAGCGAACTGCAGCGGTACGGCTGTCTGCACATCAGACGGGATGAGAGGCAACACAGACCGAGGCTCAGGAAGACAATCCCCAAAACAAACACACCCACCGTGTCAACCCCTCCGGCCATCAGCTCTGTGACGTTGGCCTTGATCACGTCCGAGGAGAGTTTCCCTTTCTCCATAAGCTGCCCCAGAACTCCAGTGTACTGCTCCCCCGCGGCCACAGCCTTTGGACCCGGGGAGGACGTCAGGCGCTGGTACGCCTTCTGGATCCTCGCTTCCGCTGGAAAAAGCACGAGAAAGGATGATGGAGACGAGTGAGAATGCAGCTAAACCTCCAATAGACGCTTTTCCAAACCGTGACTGAAGATGTGGTCCCAGGCTGTGGCGTGCTGGGTCCACAGGGGAGCACCAATGCGGAGCAGCAGGCGAGGTGGTAGGTAGAGGAGTGGGGGGGTGGTCGTTAGCATGCGCTCCACCGCCCAGATGAACTTTTGAGACTCCAGGGAAGGAGACGAGGAGAAAAGGCCAATCCGCTCCCCATAGATCACATGGCAACTGGCTGCAGGAGGGGGGGGGGGGGGGGAAAGGGAGAGGTTTGGGGGGGGGGGGGGTGTTGAAGGGGCACACTCACTAAACAACACTTCAGACTGATGGAGTTATGTTTTAATGGTTGGAAGCTGAAGGTTTTAGAAATGATTTGCCTACATCTGAGCTGAACACACTCTGTGAGGACCTGTTACTCATTTCAAATAACATCTTCCTCCCCGACAGAAAGATGACATTTCCATATTGCAAATCACTTCAACACACAGAGACGCTGCTTTATTTTCTGTGTGCATCTACTGCCTGAAAGGAACTCCGAGCCCCTCCCTCACACATCCGTCTCCCAGCAAACGTGCTTGGGTTACATTAACCCCACATCAACCACAGGGATAGGGTTTCTTGCGGGCCAATTCTCACTCTGGATTATCTCCTGGTTAGGTGTACTGTGGCCTATTAAGATCAGAGCAACATGACTCGATGTCATCAGGCTCTCTCACACACACACACACACAAGTGTGTGTTACACTGAGTCACAGAAGGATTCACACTTGTGAATGCGGCACGATGCACATCGTCACATGAAAGGAGCAGACCTGCACAAGTAATGCTGCAGCTTTCATCATTTCTATTTTTGCCGAGGCATGCTCTTCTTGACCTTTGAATAGATTAAGGGCAGATGCACCTTGACATGGACAAAGTTTGTTTTCCTTGCAGTGGTGGGATGTTTTAAAACTCAAGTATGGAAAAATGAAGCAGTGAGAAATTTGCTTGGGGAACATTTTTCCCTTTGAAGTATTCAAAAAGGTGACGTTCCCGCACATTGTGTAATCCCTCTGACGTCAGAGGGCATCACAGCCTGCGTCAGACTCAAGTGAATGATTCTAGGAGTAAGTGAGGGAGGCTCGTGGAGTGCAGAGGTTCAGAATTGAGAGAGAGAAAAATCCCACAGACCACATTAATGAGATTGACCTCTGACCTTCCAGAGCAAAGCGGAAAAGGTCCGGACTGGGATCCATGGTGAGAGTGCGTCTGCCCCCCTCTCCTCTTCCCTCCGTCTCCACTCTGGCCTGCAGCATTCCACAGAAGTCCTTTGCCACTTCATCCAGAAGGGGCAGAAAGCGCTTTATGGCCGCGCTCATCATCACCTCCTTGTTGAGCTGCAGACGATCGGTTCGCCACTCCTCGCCATTCCTGTGGAGTCACAGTGGGGCATTAAAATAGACCTCTTTCACTCTGTAGGCCTGAGATTAGAAGCACTTATGATTCTGCTTTTGTGAATAAAAGCACAAAATGAAGAGTTTCTGAATGTAAATTGTAACCAGGCCCCACTCTGGTAGAACAAACCACTGCATTGGACTTAGGCCAACAACACTGTTTCTATTTTCTAAATTTAGAATTGAAAAGTTTTATTGCAAGTAGATTTGAAGAAAACATCCTGCTGAAGGCATAACACTAAATGTAGCAGCTTTAGGAACCTCCCATGATGCACATTTACTCATCTTCCTTTACTCTGAAAGTATATGCATAAACACAAAGAGATTGCTATCATAAACTTGTATCACTCCTTTTCAGCATCTTAGCCCCTCCCCTTTGTACCAACTGTCAGGCACAGCGGTGGAATGGGGATGATATGGGCCTGTTTTGCAGTGTACTGTCACTGACACTGAGCTGAGACCATGAACTTCTCTGTATAAGGTCATTATTCCAGGGTCTGATCTAAAGGCGTGCGGGTGATTGCAAAAGCTTGGATGAATTTGAGTCATCAAGAGGACAGTGATCTCAAACACAGCAGAACATCTAGTACAGAATGAAAAAGACCTTAATCTGACCAAACGCTGGAATATACAGTCTGCCAGTCTGTTGCTCATCTTTAAAAGGTTTTATTTAAATCAGTTTAGGAAATGCTGAAGACCAGAGATCTTGTTTTACTGTCATGATAAGTAAAACATCTGAGGTGAGATGGTGGGATTTTTTTTCCACTCTCTTTAAATGCACAGTGGAACATTTTATTCTTTACTTGAAGGAAAATGTTTGAAAAATCTTTTGCATTGACTGTGGTCCTTAACTGCAGATTAGTTGGAACCACTTTAATGAAACAGCATTAATCATTTCCAATTATAGCAGCAGAATAAATTGAATTATGCTTCATGGCGAGGCACTGATATGAAGCCTTCCTGCCCATCTATGTGGAAATGAGGAATGCCTGAGGCAAGGAGAGCCAAAAGCCCCTCAGAGGACACAACACAAGGCAGCGCTGATAAATATGGGGACAAATAAATCAGGCAGACTTAAAAACAGAGAACTTGACATAGAAATGGGGTGCAAATTTTTTGGAGAGGATGAGTTTCTCCCATAAAAAATATGTTTTTTGGAAGGAACAAAAACATCAACATTTCGTTTTCCAAGTCTACTCTCATGGATGTCCATAGATATTAAACCATGCTCAATGAGACTATTAATTAGCGGAACTGCTTTATTTATCTTTTTTTTTTGTGAAAAACACAATGTTATCTCACACTTTTCCCAGTGGAACTGAAAAAGAAACACGTGTCCCCTCTTACAGCTCCTGCTTTCTAAAATCCCACTTCAAGAGAGATTAAGTTCACACAGTGTTGAGATGTGATTTTTCAGGACTAAATTGAACTATGGGAATTACAGTGTATGTACAGTGTATTACAGTGTATGTGTGTTTTCATATTAGATTTTCACAATATTTGAATGTTTTAACGTCTCAGCACCAAGTGGCACGACATTTTTCTCCCACTTTGACTTCTCTTCAAAAACAATAATTGGACAACATTTCATGCTTTCAATCCATTAGCAAAACTGGCAGAAAGTAACAGACCTCTCCTATTTTCATCTCACTAGCTCATTTTTATTCTACAGGCAGACATTAATGTATTCCCAGCACTCCTAATTCTAACATTTAAGATCTACACTTATGGAGGCTTTACCCGCATAACTGCCTACACGCATGCAAATCTCCACATTGTGGAGTCAATAAAGCATATGTGTGGCACATACTTGAGGAAGACTCCCTTGCTGTGCTTGCGTATTTCCCGATGTGTGGCCCATGGCTGCAGGGTCATCCGTCGAGGGTGCAGGCCCTCCGATTTGAACAGCTCGCTGACGTCGGCCGGCATCAGGATGTTAACGCTGCTCAGAGTGCCCACTTTCTCCCTTTACACAAACACAAAAAGGCCGGCGTGAACACACACGCATTACGCATGCATACAGAGGAGCATGTGTGGGGCTACCTGTAGATTGGGCCGAGGGCGTGGAAGGTCCTCTCCATGTGCTTGTGGAGCTGCTGGAAACGGTTTTCTCTCCAGAACTTGAGCAGGTTGATCCAGCCGTTCCTCCCCGTGTGAGGGATCTCCTCAAAGCTGCGCACTTGGCCACCCACGCCCTTCTTTCGGATCTCTTTCAGCACTCCTTTCCTCCCATCTAATTTGCCTTCCACCACAGTCCCTGCCGCGGTCGCACAAAACCCCCTCCCTGGTGCGGCTCCAGAGACTCTGGATCCTGAAGGGCCCCGGGCTCCGACACACACAGCGAGTCCCAGCGGCAGGCTCCTCATGGTCCGGGCGAGATGTTTCAGATGGCCTCATCCAGAGCTGTGACACCTAGTTGATATTGTCTCTGACTGATTATTCCTCTCCTCCAACTCCAACCTAGTACAGAGCCTTGGATGAGGGTTATCGCTCAGGTGAACTGATACGAAAGGATGATTTATGATTCTGAGAGTAAGAGTTCAAGAGAAAGACAACAGAGCCAGAATGTCAGGCTGATGCAACGTGCACACACCAGGACATGGGCTGGGGTGAAACAGAGAGTCTCCTGAGTTCATAAAGTCTTTATTACAAGTTTTCATCCAACCTGATGAGCAACAGATACAACATCTCATCTGCGTAGTGTTTTATATCTTTCCACTAGGGACCCTTCGATCTTCTGCACACCAAAATGAGCTGACACGGCCTGAGATTCGGCTCATAAACATTACAGAAACATGTTTGGCTCGGTCAGGTACAGTATATGAGCTATAAATAAGTTACGCAAAGTAGCAAGACAGAAAGAAAGAGTTATCATACAAAGCATGCACATTTTTTATCAGTCCATCACCGATGTGACAGTTAAAATGTGAACATGCGGCCCTGAGGTTCCTTACTTGTGTTTAGATCACCCAGCTGCTGGGTAAATCAATGAGAGAGCTACAACTAGCTACGGCTACTTGAAAAAAAAAAAGAAAGTCCTCCGAATGAAGACCTTCCCTCTCATCTTCAACATTACTTAGTATATTAGCTCATCACTCATCATCAGCCTGATACTGCTGTATCAGAATCTTCTCAAAATGATCACAATGCAATGACCAATCCTCACCAAAGACTGTGAGGGGGGGTAACATTTGTCCAGCATGTGGAAGCTGAACAGTCTTGGCTTAGAAATTCAGAGATGAAAAGCGACTGACCGTTTTCTGTGTATGAAACTGCTCTCTGTAGCAGGGCTTAGTTTTAGGGGCCCAGCCTTACATTTTACCAACATAAACCTAACGGTAACTAATAAGATCACATTTTCAACCACTTCCATGCATCTTACAGGTGGGGAACTTTAAAGTCTTCCTCAGTAGTCAAAGACAAAAAGTCGCTGTAAAGTACCTGGGAGATTTTTTTCCTATTTAATTCATTGTCCTATTTGATTCATTGTGATTGCACAGAACTCTTAATGTTCTGTGTCATTGATGGCACAATTGATCCTGAATAAATAAAAAGCTACTTCATCAGTGCTTACAGATTAGATTAGATTGTATTGCTTACTGTAATTCTATTACAAGATTGGAGTTTATTTTAGTAGGCAGAATAGATCCTTTTGTACTGCTGCTCTCCTTTTTTGTCATAGTATTATTTAACGTGCATTTATCGGATTTGTTTTTCCACATTTTTAACATACATTTGACTTGAGACAACTCATCTTTGACCTTGGCAGATGAGTGGAAAAAGGAATTAGAAATATCATAAAAATGGAGATGGAGTCTGGATGTGGGGAATTCAAATTAAAACTTACTCTAACCACAACTAAAATGGTGTCAGGTGGAAGCAGCAGTTGTGCTCCTTCACATTTCATAATTACATGCAGTAGGGATCACATGACTCTACAAGAGTCCCTATTTGTTGGCGTGGGAACTGGCGTCCTTCTGATTTTTCTGCCTGTGAGCGCCGCCGTGCTGACGCGGAGGCCTCGAAAGGCGCTCAGCAGGTTGAAGCCGTCGTCCTTGGATTTGGTTTCAGGATAAATCATCTTTGACAGCTCGTCAGGGAGCGACACTTTCCCGCCAGCAGACCTCAGGTGGTCCCTGTCCTTCCGGCTCTGAATCACAGGAATAAAAACAGGCAGAAGTAGAAGAGGGGTGAAGGGCTCACAAGGATGACAAAAATAACGAGATAACAAAACTAACTGCACTTCATTTGCCACTCAACACCAACGCGCTCCTAATTAAAAGTTCTCATTGGAATTTCAATGTGCATAGAGAAAAAGATTTTGAAGAACGACTTTTGAAGAACGAAAAAAAGCTGCTTGTAAAACAAACACATGGAAATGAGAAGAGGTGCTCAGTTTGTTTGGGTAGATTTTTTGAATATTTTGTATTTGAGATACATATGGCCATATGGAGGCAAGATTTGATGCATATTTTTGATCAACTTTTAGATTTTTCAGAACCTCACTACATCACTGGGAGGAAAAACCCCAAACATCCTGCTGTCGTACCTTTTGTAGTTTGTAATTTCCTACTTAGGAACATATGTGTATCATTTAAGAACTCTAAAAGTACAAATGTGGGACTTTGCGGCCCAATTATCAAAAGTGTAAACATATGTATGCACCACTGAGGAGAGACTCTGTGAGATTACTTTCTATTACTCTATTACTCTAATCTAAAGAGTACAAGGACACACTATTTCTTAAACAGGTGGCTGAAACATGGCGCTTAGAAATAAAAGACCTTTTCTACACAGATATTCCTGCAAAGCTTTGGTGTGGCCCCTCCAAGCTGTGGAAACGCATAAAAACATTTCGTCTTGATATGTGCCTCTCTGTTTCCTGCTCATGCAGACATTCGATCTGCAGCAGTGTTCACAGACTGTCCTCCAGGGAGACGGGCTGTGTGAAAACAGGGTCCTGCTATGGACAAACCGCCTCCATGGTCACTGCACTCGCATATCTAGTTACTGTTTGGTAGAAAGAGTGAACATATTTAGTCACAATCCCATTTCAAATATCAATTCATAGTCAGGGATCTCATGATCTCCAGTCAAAATCAATTTAGAAATGACGCTTAACCTTTTAATGCCATATGTGTTCGGTGTGATATCAGATTTCTGAGACCTATTGCATCATCTTTTTTAGAATAAAAATGTGTAGACTATTGATTAATTTGATATAACACACATGTAAATTATATTTGATTGATTTTTACATTTTTAAATTTGCTTTCTGCTGAAGAGCCAAACAATTATTATAGTTTAAAAAATGTGTTTATACATGCTACCCATTATTTCTTTGGTCATGCTTTATAGGGATGACAACAGAGGACATTTTAAAAAATGGCACCTGTGGAGATGAGGAATATGGGCAAGAATCCAGTTGGTTTTCATATGAAATCAAATTCATAAAATTGAAGCGTGAGTAATCTTAAATACTGTTTTTTTTTTAGCAAAAGGTCAAAAGAGCAGAAATTCCAGTCTGGTTTGACAGAAATGTGTGGGGGAAAAAAGCATGACTTCTTTCAAAGTGTATTTTGTGGAGGAGGCGTTTAATGTGTTACAATTATGATGTTTCCATGGCGCCACCAACCCATTTCAACACATCAGATAAGGCCTTGTCATACCTGTTTCCTAAGTGCGTTTTGTGTGAACGTGCACTGTGTTGTGTTAAATCCCACACTCCTACACATCTGCCAAAAACACCTGGAGCTGAAGCTAGAACGTGATCTCTAATCAGGGGCTCTGACAAACCTCCGACAGCCGGTATTTCCTCCTGAAGTGAGCCCTCATGGCGGCTCTCTCTGCGTTCTTCTGAGCGTTCATGGCCTCCCGCAGCTTTCTGTGAACACAAAAAGAAATCAGAAATCAGCCTCTGCCTCAGGGCCGGGTCGCGTGCTTCCTCAGTACTGGGGGGGGGGTTTGAAACTTTGGAAAGTGTGGCAGAAAAACGCCCCTCTGGAGACTGGAGACGTTTCCCCATCTGGTGAATTCCACTTGGTGGTAGTTTGAATTCCTCTGGTGTGTGTTCTAAAAGCTCATCTGCTATTCATTCATAACGCTGGACAGTTTCTTGTGTGTTTTTGGGCACTTTGGCACCCTGCTAAATACTTTTTTCCCGGTTTATGTTAACTAATTGAAATCATTAGACTAGACGGATTAATTTTACATATTAGAATTCATCAAAGAAAATGAACGACAATGTGGATGATGTAAATTCTTATGGGTTTCGTTTTAAAACTCTAAAGGAAAAGCTTGGGTGCCTCATTTGGAACTCTTTATTCCTGACAGCACCCACTTGCCTCTTCTTCTCCAGCTCTGCCTGGTATGAGCGAACGACTGTGGGGTCCCTGGGGGGTGCAGCCCGGAGGGGGGGGGTCTTCCCCGGCACCTTGCCCCCTCGAAAGCCTCCTCCGCTCCTCGTCCTCCTGCGTTTGGCGCAGAGCCTCCTCCCCTTGGCCCCTGACACGCAGCCGGCCAGCTTCCGGATGGGCGTCCTCAGAGAGCTTTTCACTCTCAGGACAGTCTCCATTACGACCCGCGGCCCTCCGGACCACTGGGATCGACCACACCCCTAATTCCTGGACCGGCGACGGGTGCAACTGTAACTGTTTTCTCCTTCGCGCATGTTGTGCGCCTCTGGCAGTCTCACACCTCGCAGCAATAACTCAGGCCGAGCCCTGCCAAGGACAAGGACGCCAGTCAGACAAGGATCCACTTCCATATACAGATGAGGCCTGTTATCAGCCAGAGCAGGATAAGGAGAAAGCTGCAGCCCACGCAAGGACAAAAGAGGGGGGAAAATACTACACTATAAAAATTCCCGAGGCTATTTTTAAAGTTGTTTGGTTACTCACACACAGTCGGTACCTATGGTGGTCGTCAGTCTCTTTACCCATGCAGGTGCAGAATGAGATCCAAATAAAGCTCCCGGCCAGACGGGGTTCAGCACCAGTGCCTGCAGAAAATCCCCAAAGCAGTCAAACTAAGTGGAGAAAACAAGAATTAGAGAAAAAAAAAAGAGGTCTGTGTGTGTGAGTGCTCTCCGGTCCTCACAGAGTAAAACCACCACGTCCTGGTGTCGGCCTCATCTTCGCTCATTCCAGAGTCACTTTACACTTCACCTCCTCCAACTCCTTCGTACAGATTAAAGGACTTAATGAAGGAAATCTCATTAGCAGGGGCAGAGAATGCAGCGGATGACTCACGTGTGTGCGGTGGAGACTTACAGGCACCGGCTGATGTCATGTTAGGCAGCCGGACATCAGACCCATTTGGGCTGGTCTGTCTCTGCTCTGCTCTAATTAGGATGTAGATGGTAAGAAATGCAGGTCTGGCATGGAAATACACCTGCATTTGATTCCTCTAAAAGCTGGTTTGTTACATTACTGAAGGAATTATTTAAAAGATTCAGAGTTCTTTAAATGGATTTTAGTCAGAATATTGAACAGAGGTCCAGCTCTGTGATTTAGAAGTTTAATGACAAAGCTGTAGTACAGAGCAGCCCACTGAGACCTCAGAGAGCATCATGTATCTGTAAACGGATCAATGCAAACCTGCAGTGCTCACACTGTCGGGAGGGGGTCAGGGACTGGGAGGGGGTCAGGGACTGGGAGGGGGTCAGGGACTGGGCCGGGTACACTGTCCTGATGGCTCCCCGATAGAAAAAGCAGCAAAAATGATCAAACAAGAACTCCTTCGGGCGTGTTTTCAGGAGAAATGGAAGAGAATTCACTGAAATGCTTCAACTGTTTGTGTCTTCGGGGGCAGAATGTCTTTTGTGAAACATCAGGACGTCACAAAATTGCCACAACATCTTATGACATCCCTCCTCTGTCTGTCTTTCTCTGCTTTTGTGGTGACTGAGCTACTCCTCCTACCACTCCTGCGGTACCCTCAGCTCTCTTCTGAGTCCGCAGGCCTCGGAATGACTCCCCCCGTGGAGCACTTACACCCTCTGGCTTACTCTAATGCCCCAGTTGGAGCTGACCACGCATGCACTCCCTTCTACTGACCCTTTTTAGGCCTCTCTTATTCTTCTCCCTCAGCTGTCCTGATCCCTCCAAATTCTGCTTTAAGGAGATCACCTTTGGAGCCCCGCCCTGTCAGGTCGAGGCAGCAGCCCTCCACAGAGCATGGGGAAAGCATGGGGGGGGGGGCACTGAGCCGGGGAATGAGGAATGACTCAACAGGGTATTATAAGGAAGCTTTTTAAAAAAAAAGAAAATCAAACACAATTGATCAAAAATCTAGTAGTTAGGATGAAGCCTGAGGAGCTCACACACTCTTGTGGGTGTGTGGGATCCTTCCTTATCATACATGTGGACATGTGACTGTGTCACTGTGTGTGTGCGGAGGATGGATGGTCCGTCACATGTTGGACGCTGATCCACCTGGAATCCTTTAAGTGGCTTTGGTCCACTCAGCTGGCAGTTAAGCTCTGACACAACACACATCCACACGCAGGCATACAGCTGTGCTCGGACTCTTGTTTTAGAGGACTTACCTTCAACTCTGTGAGGCTTAGACTCACATAGAAAACAACACTTTCCTCATACTTATACTAATATTTGAACGGATCTCAACATTTAAACCTAGTTACTGTGCTTGGGGACGCTGGATTTTGTTTTCCAATTCATCAAATTCCAATTTTATCCAGTTCATACTAAGTCAAAACCCATTCTGAGCATGCGCGCGGCGACCGTAGAAAGAAAAACTCCTGTTCAAAGATGAAAGCCACCGGTCCGAGACATTTGGTTGATACGAGAATCAAAAGCTAGATCCTGATCAAGAATAACTCCAACGTTCCTCTGAAGCACCAGCAGCCAAGGAAATGCCACTCAGAGAAACGATAGGGCCAGATAGCTGCTCAGCTTAATGCTCGGTCCCAAAAGACCTGGGCTTGGCTGGAAGTCAGGAGCAGATATTCAGACCGTCCCCCCACTCAAATTGTCGCCGTGGGTCTTTCTGGTGTGGCCGTCAGTGGTGTTTGTGTTCGTGAGAGTCACGGCCTGACGGGGAGCTTGTGTTGCAAACAACATGTATTTTTGGTCTGCTGATTGGTTTCTGATCCTGTCCAAGCAGTCTAAGGTTTCCAACCCCAGCCGAGGGAGACAAATATTTGTTGTTGCCATGTCGTAATAAATGCATATTTATTTCTTTTTACCATACCCCACCAACACGGTCGCTTAAACTAAGAACAACAAACCATTTTCCGTGGACGGGAGGTGAACAGGACACAGATACGGATACAGAAGATACAAAATTTATTACAAAAACCACCACCTTGGTAATAAGCCGGCTGCCAGCACACGGGGAACCTCGGGGCGTCCTCAGAAGCTGACTCTGGAGGCAGAGGCGTGGCAGAGAAAAATAACCATTTAAAGAGTTCTGCTCCTCGTGGTTTTCCTTCACATTTCAGACAGCGAACACAGGTACACCAGGAACAGATTAACATTAATAATGAAGACAAGATAAACCTTTTTAAGCGGAAAATGATGGGATTTCTGCCCTGTGAGGAGGTTTGCTCTGATCTGTCGCCGTGCAAACCAAACCCAATTCTAATGAAATGCCTTTCATTTGCCAACTTCTGCTAATCTACTCTCCATCCCGCCCCAGAGATCCGCTCTGTGTTGTTCTAACTAAATCAAGCTGTCAGACGCCTAAACCTGCTGCTGGATAGCGGCGGTCCATCTCAGCCTGCTGCTCTGCAGCTCCCCGTCTGTGAGGGATCTTTCCAATCTGCCTCCTCCTCTTTGAATATGGAGCACATTCGACGCCTTTCCGACGGGGTCCGCGGGGGGGACACTCAGTCGACGGGGTTCATCTGCTCAGGTCCCAGCTCCTCCTCCAGACCTGAGTCCTCCCCTGCTGGGGGGGGGGCAGGAGGAACGGGCAGCTCCGGGCGGCGGCCAGAGGGACGCGTCTGGAGGGCTCGTACTCCAGCATCTGCTCCAGCAGGTCAAAGAGCTGGTGGTGCTCTGCACCCTGAGACAACAGGTACTTCTGGGAGACAAAAAAAAAAGAGGGAGACTAGTTTTTGGCAGGTTGGGGGGGCACTTCTCGTGTTTGCGGCCGCATGAACTCACCCTGAGCGGTTTGCACTTGGACTTGGCCAGGCGGCCGGCCTTTGAGCAGGCGCTCCGGTCCAGCCGGCCTCGGTGGAAATCCCTCTGCCTCCTGTGGACAGGCGCAGACGGTCAGCGGCGTTGGGGAGGGCGCCCCGCCGCAGGCCCCCAGAGACCCATACCTGCTCCTGAGGATCATCCCCGGAGGGAGCGGGCCCAGGACCTTCTCCATCATGGCCAGATGCTCCCTGTTGTCGTGAGTCTGCGAGCGGAGAGGAGGACAGGTGATGAGGGGGGGGTGGCGCCCGACGGCCTCCGCAACCGCCCCCCCAAGACGGCGTTGGCCTGACCTGGAACAGGGTGAAGCCCTCATAGTACTCGAACAGGATGCAGCCCACGCTCCACACGTCGCAGGGGTGACTCCAGCCCAGCTCTGTGGGAGGGAGGGGGGAGGGGAGGGGGGGGAGGGGGGAGGATTAGAGCAGCCGAGCAGCAGCGACGGCCCCCGGCCCGCCCCGGAGCTCCTCTCACCCAGGATGACCTCCGGGGCCCGGTAGTGGCGCGTGGAGACCACAACGGAGTGATGTTCATGATCAAAGGTGGCGCTGCCGAAGTCCACCAGCCTCACCGTGGTGTCCTTTATCCTCCTCTCATCGCACTTCTTCAGGGAGGAGACAGAACGTGTCACACAGGACATGACCCGGATCTGGTTGTGATGATATCTGACGGAGGGGTTTAATGATGGAGGATCACAAAGGGCAGACGGGCTCATTACTTTCCCGTCCGGCTGGATTTATGGCGCTTTAGAGTTCTCCGGCTCCATTCGCTGAAAGCACGAAAGAATCGGACTCTTTGCAGAAGTCCTCTCACACCGACAGAGCGGTTTTGGATCAGTCATTCGGTAATAACCGTTTATAACAGAAAATAACGTGACATTTTAAAAACTACCCCCGTGAGGTGAGAGCAGAAAGCGGCCTAAGAGCTCTGAGACGGCGAGCAGGACGCCCGCCGCAGGGTTTAGCTCCCTGAATGAACACCTTAAACCGTGCTGAAACCAGAGCCCCAAGTCTGCGCCAAGCCTATTTCAGAAGCCATTTCTTCTGATTATCGGGGGTACGGCTGTTTTTCTCTGCCACGCAATCCTCTTTTTTACGATTTGGAAGCCTCATTCTTATTCATCCCACAGAATAAACAAATAGGGCCTGCAGTCTTCTGCAGATAAGACCAAAGCTTCCGTAAAAAATAAATAAAACAACTTAAAAGGGGGTGGGGGGGCTCGCAAATCAGCATCTAAATGGGCAGAAACCGGGCCAGTCTACCCCCGCTCATCCCCACTAATTCCACTTTTTCTGCGGGTGTCTCTGACCTTCTGAGCGTTGTACACGAGGGAGTAGTCGGAGTTGACGAAGAGGATGTTCTCGGGCTTCAGGTCGGTGTGAGTCAGCTTGTTGTCATGGAGAACTGCAGGGAGGAAGTGCACAGAGATTTGTCAGGAGCCAACGCCCTCATCTGGTGGCACGCATACGTTTGGCTCCTCTCTTTTTGTAAACTCCTAATGGGGGACGATCTCTGAAAGGAGTGAGGTGCTCTGTAGATAGGAAGCTGGGAAACATGCCCCCCCTGAGCTGAGTCAGTGGCTGTTTTGCACTGTTTTTTTTCCTCTGTTATTCTTTTGTAGCTCATTCTATGACACCACCTTATCTGTAAGACCTCAGCTAAGATGACATCACGTTCAGTCTGCCTGGAACAAGCACGCTTTGCCTCGTGGTGTGCCCCGCTTCACAGACATTAACAACAACAAAAACACATGAATCAAACAGGTAGGCCGTCACCACGGCGACGCGTTAACCTTTGGCTCCAGGTTCCGCGGCTCTGCCTGAACCAACCTGGAAGCGTCTGGGATCGACGGGAGGAAAAAGGTCACCCGGCAGCACGCAGCCAGCCTCGGTCGGACGCAGAGTTGCCATGGCAACCCCCCACTGCAACATCTCCAGGGCTGCTTCGCAGACACCAGGATGAGTTGCTACAGGAAACTGCACAACCTTGACTTTTAAAAGGCGATCACGCGGCGGATAGATTTATTTTCCTGTTCCTGCCGCCCAATATCTCACATATATGTAGTAAGAGTAGTTTTTTTTTTTCCATCTGTAGAAACGATTGTCTATTTTGCAAACATACTTCCTTCTTTTTCGTGGAGGTAAAGAAGAACGCCGTGCAGCACTTTGAACAGACACACTCAGACCTGTCTCTGAGGGAGCTGTGCAGCCTCAGCCCGCATTCACATTTTCACCATCAAGATGTCACCTGTGTTACTTCTCTGATCCGGACACGAAATGAACAAATAGCTGCAGACAAAATCCGCCGTTGTCTGAAAACTTCAACCCAAATCATCAGCTCCATTTTAATGGAGTTTATTCCTCTGCTTTTTAGATTTATTCTGTAACGCCTTTGAGGTCTATTAGATCGAATTTAAAAAAAGATCACATCAGATGTTGCCTCATAAGTAATTTCTCTGAATGCTGTGCTACACCTGAAGCACTGGCAGTGAAAAAAGCTGCCTGTTGGGTGTTTGTGCGCTGTTTTAGAGGATTTAAAGCAGGACCTCCCGCCTACTTCAGGAAACCCTGCTGCTGCTCCACCAGCGGGGCAGCTGCGGAGACTCTGTTCAGCCACATGGGTGACACTGATCCAGGGGCGGGAGAGGAGTGGGAACGCGCGCTGCACTCACAGCTGACGGCGTGGCAGATCTGGCTCGCCATGTGCCGGATCTGGTCCACCGGATACGGCAGGAAGTTGTTGGATTTGAGGAAGTCGAAGGTGCTGAGAGACAGCAGCTCGAAGGAGATGCAGACGTGGCCGTAGTAGCTGAACCAGTCCAGCATCTGCACGCAGTGACTGGCGGGGACACAGCGGGCAGCGGGGGTGAGTCGGGGGGCCAGGGGGGGGGGGCGACACACACTGAGCAGAGCCCTGGACACTCACTGTTTGTGGGGCGGCTCCTTCTCACTGATCCTCTCCAGGACGTTGATTTCCAGTTTGGCCGCCTCTCGGTATTTCTCCATGTTTTTAATGATCTTCAGAGCCACTGGCCTCCCCCCTCTGCGCGCACGGACAGCGGCTTTAACAGAGAAACACGCACACGCAGGCGCCAAGCGGCGGGCTACAGGGTCAGAGGAGCCCCTTACCTGCTGTGGTCCACACACTGCACCACCTTCCCGAAAGTCCCCTCGCCCAGAGTGTCGCCTATCTCATCTGAAAGAGAGGTTGGGAGGTCTGGGGTCAGAGAAAGCCCGCCGGCCTGCAGGCCGTGCGCTCCTCCGGCCTGCGGGAGCTTACATCTGTCCTGGAGGAGGTCCCCGCTGGCGTAGATCAGGTGGCCGTTGTCGGGGTGGCTATTGTCGGCGTGGCGCCTGCGCTGGCCGGCGGCCGGACCGCTGCCGGGCTGTGGAGACAGTCGGACGCCCATAAGGCCCAGTGGCCGGACCCCAACGGCCTGTCTGACCCAAAAGGCCTCCAGCCTCACACACACGCACGCACACACGCTCCAACCCACAGAGCAGAAAACCTCCAGGCCCCGCTTTTGGATTGGAAGCGGTCAGCGGTCAGCACAAAGACGGATGGCTGCGGACACTGACCTGCTGGCGTGGTTTCCTGTACGTCCATGAGGCTCGCACATTTCTACAGGACTCAGATCTGGGGTCTGGCCCGCTCCGTCCGGGATGGGCAGACTTCTGGGAGGCCCACCTCCTCCCGAACCTCAGCTGTCAAACGGACGGCCCTCTCAGCTCAGACGGAGCCAAACCATGACGACTCCCCCTCCATGCCTCACAGCCAGACTGCGGCTCTTCGTCTCTGACTTGTTTTAGTTTTATAGGTTTATTATCTTGTTTATTACCTTGATTTATAATAAATGCAGGTCTCCAGGAATTATCCTGGGACTTTTCTACTTTTTTGCCTGGACAGATTTGTTTGAGAGCGTCACCCGTTTGTGTGAGCAGTCTTTCCAGTGTTAGCCTCCACTCCAAGACCCCAACCGTAACCCTCTATATATTTGTGCATCACTGATGGACCAGAGCCTGTCCTAAAGGAGGTCAATCAGAGAGTTCTGGCCTCTTTGGAGGAGGCGAGGCTCTATTTTCATCCACATTCTGAGGCTGTTATTAATATCAGAAGCCCACAGCATGGGGGTAAGTGAGGAGAGGCTCGGAGTTGGACCCGGGCCACTAAATACACATAAAACCAACACTGACCCACATAAACACACTCCACAAGAGAAGGATGTCTGTTTTAAAATCTCTCACAGGTTTCTTAACAAAAGGGGGAAAAAAGAGGAAATCATGCTGATGCGGAGGAGACGGGAAGAGACGGAAGCAGGAGCAGCGGGTAGGCCTGCGTGATACTCACAGACAGGCAGAGACAAACAGAGTCCAGGAAACCCTTAAACACAGCAAAGAGCTCCTTCTTCCCCATCGGGCCGCAGGAAGGTGGGGCTGGAGCCGAGGGGCGAGCGGGTGGAGAGACGAGGCGTCCAGCAGCAGCCGAGAGGAGGATGAGGCCCCACACAACAGCCAGCCGTGGAGGAAAGGAGCCACGGAGAGGACGGGAGCGCCAACTCTGTGGCCCAGGGGAGGAGGAGAGGAGAGGAGAGGCAGAGGAGATGGGACAAAGCGAAAAACAGCCCCGAGCGTTGTGAGCACAGAGGAGAAGACAGGTCCACACAGACCGGACACAGAGTCGGTCAGACAGGAGGGACAAAGGAGGGAAGCGGAGTGGACTCACGGGGCGGAGAACAGCAGACGAGGTGGAGAGAAGACATGAAATGAGACGACGGACAGACAGACAGACACACAGAGAGCTGAGAGAGCCGCTAATTATAAACTTTGCTCACGACCCCCATGAGAAAATCCTCCGAGGAGAATCAAGATGTGTGAGGAGGGAAGGACGGATCCAGTTTCACCTCTCTTACTTTCTCTCCTCCTTCCACCTCCTCCGTTCCAACATGTTGAGCCGCACCTGTCGGGCTCTGGCCGCCGCCCACACCAGCGGGGGCCCACGCGCTCTCTCTGCTCCCTCCACTTTATTCAACACAGCGGGATCACATGGGCGTAAAAACAGCCGAGTGGAATCTGGTGAGGCCAGCGGAACGCTTTGCTCGCATCAGCAACAAACAGCCCTTTTAAAACCTATTAAAAAGCTTCTCCGCAGGACCTCCACGACGCGCCCACACCCAAAAAAGGGAAGGCGTCTGGATGGGAACCGTGTGAATCCAGAAAACATTTAGTCCGAACGCAAAGGCGGGGAAACTGCAACGCCGCCGGGCTTGTTTTTTTGTTTGTCACACAACCGAGCGCAGGTCCTGGTATCCCGGGCCTGGGAATATGGAGATGTCCCCGTAGGGCTGGTCCTGCTCCGCACAGATCTTCCTGGCCGTCAGATTCTCTGCACAGGGACACAGAGGGCCGGGCCTTAAAGGTCAGAGGGTTTGGGGCATCTACCTTAGCTTTGTTTTAGACAGAGCCTCTAACGTCCAAGCCAATCAGAGCTCCTCTGTGGACACGGGAGAGCCTTACGGTTGGCTTCCCCAAAGGCTACTCTGTATTTTTGAGGCCCTGACGCTACGACTGGGCGGTGAGGCGACGGCCGACCTACCCAGCAGCCTCTGGAAGGCCCTGCTGACCGCCGCACGGCCCGCCCCCGCCGGCAGGAGGGAGTGAAAGAGCAGGGGCTCCTCTTCCAGCTCCTCCAGCCCCGGCATCAACCTGGACACAGCAGGAGAGGGCGGCTGACACACACACACACACACACACATACACACACACACGCTCTGCTTTGTCTGGACGGCATACACTTACCCGGGAGACTCTTCCCCAAGAGCGTCCATCGCTTCGTCCTGCACCTCCGGGATGTCCTGCAGCAGGGACACGGACCTGGAGACGGTGGACCTGCCAACACACACACACACACACCAGTGTGTAAATATGAGGGCATCCACACCCACACACTGATCTGTCCTCTTTTAACCTACCCCTCTCTCTCCAATGAGACTAAAGGGGATATTTCTTGAGACGTCTCCGGTTGGTCGGAGGCCTCCAGTGGCAGCGTGCCCTGAGCTGAACGCACACACACACACGCACAGACACACACAAACACAAACACACAGAGGACATTTCTCTGCAGTTAAACCCCACAAACCTCCCCTAAACCCACAACCACCATATGTACATAGCCAGACCCCATTTCTCCTGGAGTTCCCCCAGCCTCCATTTTACCTGAAGTATCAAACATCTCTGGTTCCATCATTTCTCTCTGGACCTGCCACACACACCAGGATAAAAAAAAACAACAACTAAATAATAATAATAATTTTTAAATCATCTCATGTTCCTGTAAAATCTGCCGCCCCCCGCCAAAAATCCAGTCAACCTGCCTCCTGCTGCCCGTCTCGGGGGCTCACGTCAACTCTCTGCTCCTCGATTTCCGCCACCTCCTCCATCCTCTCCTGCTCCCGCTCCGAGTCAGAGGACTCGGGCCCTCTCTCCCCGGCCAGAAGGTCCGAGCCAAAGAGGGGCGTGATGGTGGCCGCCTGTCTCCATAGAAACCGAATCTCCTCGGGTAGGACTGAGAGGAGAAAAAAATACCCCGGTGGTTTATTTTTGAAAAGGTTACTGGATGAGCATCTGTTAACAGTGTGTGTGTGTGTGTGTGTGTGTGTGTGTGTGTGTGTATGGCGGGGGGGTTAATGTCACGCTTTACATCAGATATTTAGCTTAAACTATTTCAACGAATCAGATGTGCACACAGATAACCCGTGGGGTGAGAACAGGAGTTGGGCGTGGCGGGCGTGAGCTGGTGTGTTTGGGGACGTGTCCGTGGGCAGGTGTTCACACTGACAGCTGCGGGGGGTGTTCAGCAGCTCGGAGGCAGGGGGCATCCACAGAGAGGGGGTGGGCAGCAGGACCGGGGGCCGGGTCTCGGTCAGAGGGTCCTGCAGCCGCTGCTCCTGCTCCTCCTGGGAGAGCTGCGTCTCCGGGTCGAAGAAGACCAGCTGCCTCCTCCTCTTCTTCATGCTGGCCGCGGTCACCTCGGGGGAACCCTCCTGCTGGTGGGATCAAAAAGGAGGGGGAAAGAAAATGGAGCCGGTTACTGTCCGACTCCCGACTCAGTCTGTACGACCCTGGATTGGACGGAGTCCATCTCAGGTGCTGGAGCGGCTACCTGGAGGCTTCCTGGACGCCTCTCGGGCCGCGTCTCTGCGGCGGGCGGCGGGGGCCCGGCGGGCTCTGGGGTGGGGGTGCGCTGGTCCCTGGCAGGTCTGGCGGGCGTGTCCGGCCCCGGCGGGGGCGTCAGGGGGGCGTGCTCAGAGGTGGCCTGACGGGGGGTCAGCATTCCCTCCCGGTCCGGTCTCTGCCTCTCGGGCTCTCCTTCTCCGGGCGTCGCTTCTTCTCTGGGCAACTCTGGAGCCTCTGTTAGAAAACACTCAAGTAAGTTTCTCTTAATCTTTGGGGTTTTGTCTTTGTTTTGCCACAAACCTTCTGGGAAGTGGCCGTCCTGGGCCAGCAGGATGTCTATGATGTCTGGATGGCGGTCGATGAGGTCTTCTCCCTCGAACTGAGAAGAGGCCAGAGGAGGAGGAGGACCATGAGAGAGGAAGAACATGTCTGCGTTTTGCAGGCGGTGGGCTCAGCAGACGCACCTCGGCTCTGGGGATGGTGACGGGCTCCGGCTCCCTCATGGTGATGGAGTCTGGGGACGCCGTGATGCCTGAACACAGAACACAGTGCATCCATTTTAATGGAGGAAAGCAGCCGGTTCTAGATCTCTGGCACCCGGAAAAATACAAAGTCTGACACAAACCGTTTTCTTACCACGTGAAAAACTCATCCTGGATTAACCAGCCGTGGAGAACTGATGAGGAGCTTACTGACCTTTTTTCCTTTATCTAAAGAATGATGCTACAGCGAGCGGCCGTGGTCTCAGGAGCATTTTCCCTCCGCAAGGCCGCGTTATCAACTGTCTTGATGCGCAGCAGCATCAATAAAACAGCTTGAGTCAATCTTAAAATGACATTCCAGTCCCAGAATGAGACGGATCTTTGTAAAGAGGAGCCGCATCATGAGCCCGGAGTGTCATCGGGCATCACTTCAACCAGAACAAGATAACCAGGATCGCTTGTGACGAGCGATTTCAGACTTTTACTGTATTGTTACTGCAGCGTTTTAGAGAACAGTACCGGTTTCCACCTCTGGAGTGGCGTAGGTCTCTGGACGGGAGGCCTCCGGAGGCGGGGAGGAGGCGTCCCGCTGACGCTCAGGGGTCATCTGAGGACAGAAGGACAGCGCGCCGATGAGACGCCTCCCGGCTGCGCCCGGCCTTCCAAAGCTCCCCCTACCTCCATCAGAGCACTGGGGCTGGGCATGAGCTCCCGCATCACTCCGAATAAGGGGTCCAGCGCCCCCCCGGCCTCCTCCAGCAGGGACAGAGTGTCTGGCAGCACCCTGGCCTTTCTGGAAGTCAAACAGAAAAAGCTTACCGGAAGAAGACATGGGAGAATATGAGTCGCACCCTGCAGGAAAACCCTTCCTCACCTGCTCTGGCTTTCCAGGTCAATTGTCTTGGTGCTCCTCTGTCTCAGAATCTGGACCAGGACAGACTGGAGCTCCTCTGGAAGGAAACAGATTCAGCATCCGGGCTTCCGCCCCTGCGTCAGCCAGCCCCCCCCCCCGCTAACAGGTTCTCACCCAGGAGGATGACACACTGGCGGTGGTAGACCAGCACCACGCCGTACTGGAGCTGGGACGACAGGTAGAGCGAGAAGCGGGGCCGGGGCAGACCGGGCCGGGGGGGGGGGCACCCGCTCCAGCACATAGCTCATGATGTCGTCACTGAGTGGGCGGCAGCCGGGTCAACGCGGGAACAACAAGGAGAGAAAAAGCTGCGGGAAGTCCACCACTCACCAGGTTCTGATCACGTTGACTTTCAGGAAATCCCGGCGTGGAACTTTGATGCCCTTTGTAGCCACCAGCCTGAGAGACGGGCAGAGGATGAGAGAGAGTCAAAAACACATGATGACGGCTCTGCCCCCCGAGTTACTCACTCAAACACCCCCACAACAGATCTAATGACTTTTTTTTTTTTAGCTTGGAGATTATTATATATTATATATATATATGGCCCTGCAATGGACTGGCGGACCCAACCCCCCCTTTTTTTGTTTTCTTTTGATTAAAAAATCTTCAAAGCTTTAAAGTCTTCAAAGACTTCAAACACTTGTTTGATTTGTTGTCAAACTTCAGGCCGGTGCACCTGCTCCCTGCCACCATTTTTTAAACTAATACGCAGATAAAAATGGTTATTTAAATGCGTAAAGAAGGGGGAATATTTCATGTTTTCTCCCTGGAGAAAAGTACAAATTGTTTCTATGATTTCCCCATTCAGATTTCCCCTGTTAGATTTCTTTTTTATGAATAAAACTTAAAAAAAAAGAAGAAAAATAAGAAAAAGGAGCCCGTCCTTAAAGATGAGACGTTTGATTAAAAACGTTTTTTAGCGCATTTAGCGGGACTTTTGCTACTTTAGGTTTTGTCTTTCTACAAAAGATAAACTACACTATCAGCGACAAAGGCAGTTATTCTAACATCTCTTATTACTGATCCACAGCGCTTGAATAAATTTAAATGGCAGGTTTTTACTCACCAGATTGTGGAGAAACATCCAGAATGGCGCTTTAAGACAGTTGGGTAGTAAAACATCTTAGTAATATGTGAGATAGCCAGAAGAACTAGGCAGTGAGGTTGGTTCTGAGCTTCTGGAACTTCTGGGAATGTGTGTGAATGTGGGTCAATGTTTATTTCACTGGAAGATGAGCTGATGGGGAGCCCCGCCCCCTCTGTACAGAGGAGGCAATCAGAAGATTTAAACTGCTCTTCAGCTCTCAGACGACAAATGAGAGAGTGTTTTTCAGGAGGTACAGGTTTGAGAGAAGGGCCCTTTTTTCGATACAAGTGCAGAGGTTTTGTTCATTCAAGAAGCTTTTATTCAGATGTAAAGAAAACATCACGGACAAAAGGGACAATCAGTAAAACATGCCAATATAAAACAAAACAAACCAAAAGAAAAAAAAAAATCAACCAAACATGTGCAATAAAATTAATAGAAGTAAAAAACAAAAACAAAAAAAAAACAGACACAACTACAGTTTTGAGGAGGCTTTTCTTGTTTTAAAAATGGTTTCCTGCCCCGGATCACAGTAGTCTTCCTCGGCACTCTGTGGATCCACAGCAGCAGAGCAGCTCTTTGCCTTCTACGCTGCCCACCTCGTAGTTGTAATCCCAGGTCAGCTCTGTGCCGGCCCGGATCCGCCTGCACCGGGACACGAGCGGGAAAATGAGTGTTTCAACACACACGCTCCTCCAAACTGATGTAAATGCTCTATCACACATCACACTTCCCTATGGCTTAAGACTCATTTGTGTGCGGTGCAGATCTTCCCCCTCAGATTATGGCTACATTTTTTTCTTATGAATTAGTTTTCAGTATCTGCACCAATTCTCCAAAATCTCCTGAATCAAAAGGTCTTGAATGCATTCAGACCTGAGGCTTCAGTTAAGCGCATCCTTTAAGAAAGCTGCCCATTAAAACCCCCTCTGACTAAATCTTCAAATGGCTCTCATTCATCTTGGAACTGATTGCATGCATTGGGTCGGGATGGCTCTCCCGGTACCAAGATTAACTCCAACAACACTCACTTGCTGGCGAAAAAGGCCACCCAGGGGAACCGCAGGTCATGTGTGTCCACGAACACATTCTGGACGAACAGGTTAGGGCTGCAGCTGTGCTGTAAGCCGGAGAGAAGCCAGAGGTGAGAAGGTGCTGACCCCCCAGCCCGCTGTGGCTAATTCCAACGTCTTACATTGAGGTAACGGCCAAGGTTTCCCTCCAGCTTGGCGTCGATGATGTAGCAGGACTCTTCCCCGTCGAAGAACAGGCGGGTGTTTCTGGGGGCGTTCTCTCCACCGCCACCGCTCGGCCCCTGCTGTCCGGGTTTCCCTGCCTGACCCCCAGACCCCCCCATGCCCCCGGACGGGCCGCTTTTCACCATCATACTGTGGGTGTTTTTCAGGGCGATGCCTCGAGTGGACTTCACCGCCACCTGCTTTTTGGTGACGCCTGACGCGGGAAAGATTAGAGGAAACTGTCAGCGAGCGAGCAGAGTGAGAGCGGGATGGCGCCCCCCCCTGACCTCTGCGTACCTGTGGTGACTTTCTCCCTCTCTTTGTTGTCCTCTGAGCCTGAGCTGATGGTTTGAACGTCGTCGCTATCAGACAGCGTCATCACGTCCTGTTTTTCCTGCTTCTTCACTGGTTCCACTTTCATTTGACTTTTTTTTTTTTAAAAACATGTAAATCATACTATTGGTGATTGCTATCATTGGTTTCTGAGTTATTGTTAGATAGAAATATACACATTAAAACTTATTTTGTCAGTTCATACGCACCTCTTGGAGTCTCCAGTTTCCTGCTATAAAAAAATTGTAAAGATAAAGTGACTTATTAGGATCTAAATCAGGGGACATCTGTACATTTTTTCTGCTTAAAATCTCAGATTCATGCTGCAGGAAGTATTACAAATTTTAGTATATGTAATATGCTGTTGGTCTTGATTATACACACCTTCTTTAGCCCCTGACTCGTTAGCCAAGATGCTACTTTGCTTTTACCCGTCTCTTCCGGCATGGACGGTGGCTTCTCATCATCGGTTGCTTTGGCTGAGACACTCAATCCGTCCTTACTGTCCTGACTCCCTGTGGTAGGAGGGTGGGCAGTAAATGTTGAGAAAAGCAAAGAAATCTCTTACACCAGCAATTAAAGATCATATTTTATTAATACTGAACTATTAAGTGTACATAACAAGTGTAGAGTACAGAGTTGTTTTTTAAGTTTTATAGCACATTCACTCAGCTTTGTGGGGAGAGAAGGTTTGTGGCTCCCCATATGCACAAAAACATGGATAGTAATGCTTGTATACGTTTTTTTTTTTATCTCCTAAAATAATTTAATTTCTTTTGATCATCTTTAAAAGGCTAATCTCTCACAGCACTCTGTTCTCTGTTGCTGGGATTTGGTGATACAGACGTGAAACGGCTGCAACTCTAATCAAGGAGGCGCGCTTACATAAATACACTTCAGCAGAGTCTTTTACAGAAATTTCCCCTGTAACATGGCAAACAGGGACGAATTTAGCTAGAATTTTCAGGAGAACACAGCTTTGCTTAAGGGTGTCCGTCTGCCACACAAACAGCGCTTTTAGCTGAGACGCTGAGCCTTGTTCTCATAGTAGGGGAACAAATCCACAGCTGGCTCACCTTCCTTGGTGCCCTTGAGCTGGCCGCGCGTGGTGTAGCTCCTCCACACAGAACTGGAGCTGTAGTAGCTGTCCTTCACAAAGGTGTCGTCAGAGCTGTCGCTGTCGTCTTCGCTCTTTGAGTCTTTGTCCTCGTCCTCGTTGCTGCCGTCTGAAGAGCTCGAGTTCTGGGCTGTGAGACGCAGAAAGGAGTCAGACATCATATGAAGAACAGACGTACTAACAGGGACATCTGTACTCGCCTGCTCTGGGGAGTCGTCCTCCACTGCTGCTGGACACTAAGGCAGACGGCTGGATTTTTATCCTGGACACATCCACGCCGCTCCCCTCGCTGTCTGAACAGTGAGCCTCGCTCTCATAGCCCTCCTTAAAGTTCTCCACGCTCTCTATGTGATCCAGGTTAGCAAAATACTCGTCGCCCATTTCTAGGCCTTCTTTGTCAGCAAAGTCGTCAGTCAAGATTTTACCTGTTGAAGTGGCAGGGGGGAAAAAGCAAGACACTCATGTCAAGCAAGAGGTCAGTCTGAGTGCGTTTCCCATCCCCACTCAATATACTACCTCTAGTGTATACTTATAGTACCTCACCAGCATAAATGCACACAAACGATCCCTTGGCCACGTCATCCAGACAGCGGATTCCCCAGCCTTTGTTCTGAGTCTTAAAAAGTTGAAGTCGGACCTGCAGGCCGTGCTGGACCAGTCGGTTAGTGCACATCTGAACGCAACATTTGCACCGTTTATTACACTCGTAGATCCTAAGAGGCAGCAGAAAAAGAACAGAGAAGAAGAGATCATCACCTCTAAAACACAGGAACCAAATTAGCTGTTATACTCAAGAGTAATTAGCTGCTTTTGGGGTTAGGGAGGGTCAGAGGGATTTAGGTCTATCAGCACAGTCCACAACCAGCTGGAGAGCTGTTGGATCTCTATGTTTGAACAATGGCTGACCCTGTGGGAAGGCACTCCTCTAATCGTTTGTACACATATCCGGCGTTTTGGTTGACCTGTCCTCCGGGTGTACACGCTGTGGCCTGAAGGGTCAGCTGGTGGCACGAGCATTTGGATCTGTAATTGACACACGCCAGCGTCACAGACTTAATTCACAAAAGATGTGTATGAGAAATGTCAGACGCATCAAAAATAAAGGGGCAGCTTCACTAACTTGTCTCGACAGCCGTCTGTACAGTCACACCCAACCAGGAAGTCTGCGCTGGTGTTGATATAAACCCCATCTTCAGGAATACGCTCTTTACCTGAAAGAACGAAGAAAAAAAGCCATTATGTGCAGTTTGGTTTTTTTTTGCAGGATCAATGTGATTTTTCAGATTCTATTATGAGATTGGGTTGGTTTGTTTCTGGTATTTATAAGTGCTGCCTAAAATGATATCTCATGAAGTCACTAAAATCAGCTTATTGTCGACCTTTGGACACTTTCATCTCAATGTGTGGTCTCAAAGGAAAAGCTGTTATGGAGCAAAACAATCACCAAATCCATAAAATATTTCAACCTACATAAGAAGTATTATTGTTTGCCCTTTTAGCAGGAAGACTGACGTCAGTGTCTGACATCGATTCCTAAGGGAATCAATGTCAAGTTCTACAAGTCACAAGAGGACCATTGATTAGAGTATTCTTAGTATAAGCTTCCTTTTGTTTTGTTTTTATACATATACATACCAATGACTTCCCCAAACCCACAAAAATCACTGAAATCCTCATGATCTGATCCATCAGCGGCACTCCAAAGAGACTGTATCTGTATCAATCTGAGCGTGGTCCTTACTGTATGCTACTTTGGGAGGTGAGGTGGTATCAATCTCATTCACACAGGAGAGTGGGATGTCCTCTTTTCCACCCGTGATGTCAAGAATGTAATAGAAGGGCCTCTGTGGCTGGAAAGGCCGATCGACAAGCACGTAGGGGTCTAGACAGAACATCTCCAAAAAAATGAAGTCACAGCGGGTCTGAAAGAGGTAGCGCTGGATCTCTGCCATGTTACGCAAGCAAAGTCCACATGGAGCCTTGTAGATCACATGAAAAGACATCTGGGGAGGTGGACAAAAAGTGATGGGAGAGAAAAGGAGAGGTTGTTCAAGGCAAATTAAGAAAACGTACAACTGAAATGCGTCTGTCCACGTGCCCTCAGGAGCTTTGCTGTTTGGGTGTACCTTTCGGTTGACTTTACGCCGCCCTGTCATCCGTCTGAAATCATACAGCAGAGGTGTGAGGAGGGGGTTCTTCCCTCGGTGCAGGTTGGATTTTACTGGTCGGACGCGATTCAGGCAAGCAGCCTGACACGTGTGTGCCAGGTAGAAGATGCGGTCGGTTGGGGCTCGGTAAGAAGGCTGATGGGGGATGGTGGCCATTGTGTGCGCCATGGGAGGGGGAGCCGTTTGCTGGGGGGGCACCTGTCTCTGATACTGCTGAACGAACGTGGATGTCGGAGTGCTCAAAATTCTTCCACTAAAAATAAGAAAGAAGGTAAGAAGATGTGAGTAATCCCACCAACAGTTCAGAAAAAAGGTCACAAAAACTGTTAAATAAATTGCCAAGAATAAAGAAATATATGCTCACTCAATTTGATACCAGCATAGGTGAGAAAAAAAATTTGTGGGGCTTGTACTCCAATGTGCTATCCTGAAAATGAAATGTTTTACTATTTTGTGACTGATGTCTTCAGTGGGCATCAGGTCTGCTGAGAAACTGGGCTCTAATAGAGTCAGAAAACAGGAACTTTTCTGATAAGTCTATGGAAAGTAAGAAGTGCCTGACTATGGGAAATTATGTTTTTTTCTTTTTTGCCAGTTTATATGTTGCTTTCCACATGTTTTTTTTTTTTTTACAGTGCTGCATTCAGAAAAAGTGTCAATACAAAATCAGTCGGAAAATCTTCCAGCTGTGAGAAAGAAAGCACGTTAGGTGTCTCATATACACACACATATACATATGTAAAAACAGAAATCGCATTACCACCCTGTTTCAAATAAAGGTCATCAGTTTCTAGATGATTTTCAAAGCATATTCTGTCCATGACGGTTTATTTTGTCTATACAAGTAAAGAATGGAAAAATCTATTTTTTAAAACTACAGCTTGCAAGCTGCAAAAACAAACACATATTTTAAAAAGTAAATAAAAAAATCAAAAGGGGAGTGGCAATAATGATGTGACTGCCATCAAATTCACTGGCACAAGTGATCAAAAGTAATGGGACATGTCTTTGAGGGTCCAAATGGTTTGAATGGCCTGCATTCCATATCTATTCACCCAACACACACAAACTTTCAGAGAAAAGGTAAGCTCACCCTGGGAAGGTGGTGGAACTGGTAGATGTGGCCTGCAGGATTTTAGAGGCATGGGTCCCTCCAACCCCCGGGACAAATGGAGAAGTACTTTTCTTTGCCATCTGGTGTTTATTCCTTTAAACAGAGGTCGGAACAATACATATAAATAAAAATTTGATAAAACCATCCATCCAAACTTTGAAACTGTCCACCAGGAGTAGAAAAACTATTTTATAAGAGGCTTTTTTTAACCCACATTCACTCCAAGTAATCATTTTATCAGGCATACTTACTCAACACGTGGAGGCTGAGAAGTTTGTGTGATTTGCAGGGTTTGATGGGTGAGCTGGGGCTGCTGAAGGTGCTGAGAGAGCAGGAGCTGCTGGGGCTGCTGGCTGAGCTGGGTGAGCTGGGGTTGCTGGGAGAGCTGGGAGAGCAGGAGCTGCTGAGGCTGCTGGGAGAGCTGGGGTTGCTGGGATAGCAGGAGCTGCTGAGGCTGCTGGGTGAGCTGGAGCTGCTGGGTGAGCTGAAGTTGCTGGGGCTGCTGGGAGAGCTGGGGTTGCTGGGTGAGCTGGAGCTGCTGGGGTTGGTGGGAGAGCTGGGGTTGCTGGGTGAGCTGGGTGAGCTGGAGCTGCTGGGGTTGCTGGGAGAGCTGGGGTTGCTGGGTGAGCTGGGTGAGCTGGGGCTGCTGGGTGAGCTGGGACTGCTGGGTGAGCTGGGGCTGCTGGGAGACCTGGGGTTGCTGGGAGAGCTGGGGCTGTTGGGTGAGCTGGGGCTGCTGGGGCTGCTGTGGCTGCGGCCGTTGTTGAAGTGGTGAGGCGGTTGTTGAAGGCTGAATGGAGGGGGCCTGTGGCGATTTGACAGGAGACGCACCAACATGTTCCACCCCGGTGTACTGAACTACTGGGCCTTTACTTCTCAACGCACCTGAGATTTAAAAACAGACAAAGATGGCTGTTAAATAACAAGCCAACAGGGGTACAATTCAGGATTTTACTGCGAGAAGCAGAGGAGGAGCCCAATGAAAAATGTAACTTTGTGCCAAATAGAGGCATTTATTTCTGTGGAGTGTGCCGCGTTACCCATGTTAGGCCTCGTCCTCTGCTGGCCAGCCAGCTTCTTCTCGTGGGTGTTGGCTGTTGTCATTTTCAGGTTGAACATAGGCTCCAGTCTGGTGGATCCTCTGTAGATCCACTCACTCCTCTTGTCATCCTGTTCAACACCAGACAACACATCAAATTCAGCCCATAAACTGCCGCAAGTTATAAGCTTAAAGCTTTAGATGTACTCTAGTTTTAATCTATCCAGAACAGTAAGTGTTACTTTGGTTACAAAAATCATTGTCTGTTACAAGATGAAAGGAGAAAACTAGTTCTTTTAACACTCTTTAAAATACATTTTGTTTTCTGGGTTTCATCTACTGAAATAGAGATTTTAAAGATACTGAAAATGGCATACCAAAAAAAGAATCTTAACCAAGCTGCCATCCACTTCTTCCACTTTGCTCTTCCACCAGGTTCCCTCCCACTCCGTCTTTATAATCTGGCCAACCTTTAGGAGCACCATTGGCCTGCTTGGATAGGCAGATATGTACTCCTCGATGAAGTCACGACAAGAGGCGTCTTCAATGTCCTCCCAGGTATGTTTAACTATCAAAGCAGAAACAACCTTTTTTTTAAATCAACCTGCTTCCCTCAAATTGTGTTTTATTAGTTTAAAAAAAAAAAAAGGACAATCTGAGAAATGAACCTACGTGGTCTGCAAACTGGGTAGAGTTCCGGCAGAATCACATATGAAGCATAGCCATCATCAAAGAAAATCAGAAACCTGAAACACACACACACACACACACACACGAGCCGTTAATAATCTAATACAGACTGTCAGCACTTTAACACCTCTTCTGATTGGTCTCTTCCCACCTCATGCGGTTCTTGTTGTTGGGCATCTCAGCTACGATCCCCGCATAGAGCCACACCAGGTTGCCGTCTTTGTACTTGGCGACCACACGAGCGCCGACGAACAGACTCTCCAGGGTTGGGTTATAGTCAAAGGCCACGTGATTCCCAGACAGCAGACTTTTCCCTTTATCAAACTTAACTTTATACTTGTAAATGCCATTTCCTGAGCACAGACAAGAGGTATGGAGCAATAGAGTCAGCAATGGGAAAAAAGTGTGGAGCACGTCAGACCTGGAACACAGGATGCTTAAATAGACTTAAAAGAAGAGAAATGAAAACAGACGAAGAAAACTCACCGACGGGATTGATGGCAACCAGTGTGCCTCTGTGCCACGTCTTTGTGCGCTTCTTTCCCAAAATATTCATCCCGACTTTGAGCTCATCCTCCTTCACGTTAGGGTTGGGCTGGGTCAGTGCCTGAGACGGAGCTTGGGATATGAACACTGCAGGTGAACTCTGAATGCCTGAATGGTGGGAGAGCCAAACTCAGACGTCAGTCCTGCTTCCCGATACGCTGGGTACACGCGCCTCGGTGTGCGCTCACCTGTCTGCGCTGAGGGCTGAGCTAACGGTCTGAGCAATGGAGTCCCGGGCAAAGGCTTGCTGGCAATTTGAACCAACTTCTGGACCTGCTGGGAGGTTTTCTGCAGAACTGCGGAGGCCTCTTTAAGCTGGTGTTGCAGACAGAGAGCAGCTGACAGTAATGAGCAAAAGCTGAAGAAGGCAGATTTTATCCCACTAAAATAAACTTTTTTAAAAATTATTCTGTAGCTTTGATTTAATTTGAACTTTAAACCTTAAGAAGTCCCCTTCGAGGACCTGACTCTAGTTTCTTCCCCCATAGCTTATAATAGCTTATCTATTATGTACACTGAAACTATTATCCAAGTGTAACACTGTATTTACTTTATTCAAAAGATAAATTATGGCCTAAAAAGGTTTTGCTGCCTTTTTGATATTTATGCATCTTTCACTTTCAGTCCGGTCAATTTGGCATACTTTTTCCAGAAAAGTGGTTTGTTTGTTTCCTGACAGAATTTAGATTTTTCTCTTTCAGATGACAGTGATTGGCTTTAACTTAAGATATGGAGTCAAGTTTAAAAAAAGTTAAAAGTCACTCAAGAGATAGCCTTAACGGATAGAGAGAAACTTAATTCTGTGCTCTCACCGCTGGGTCTTTGGCAGGAGTTGAAGTCTTCTTTGGAGGAACCACTGATGGAGCAGAAATAAATAAAAAGAAACCTCATTGTTCACACAGCACAGACTGGAAACTCAACTTTTCACAAAGCAGCACCACTTACAGCAGCCCACAGCAATGACGTCATCATCATCGTCGTCATCGATCTCAATAACCTCAGATGGCAAAGTGTTTCCTCCACCTCCCTCATCCTCTGAGCTACTCTCTCGATAAACAAGGCCATTTCTTTGATAGGCTGCCTTGACCAGCTTCTCACACTCTAAGATGGACCTATGGGAGAAAGGGGAGGCAAGGTGTGAGCCGGTCTGTGTACACAACAGACCACTTACTATGCAAAAGTCAATCCGTTCTCACTGATTGGCGTCACTGAGAAGCATCTCCGTCTTTGCCTCCTCCTCTTCTTTCTGCTCCACCCATTCTTCAAGTTCTGTCAGCTGAGCCTTTTTCTTCTGCACAATCTCACTCTTCTCTACAGCTTCTTCGATCCATTTCTTCAGCTCATCCAGAGAGATACCGAGCTCTTCCTCCAGGCTGGGGTCCCAGCCATCCACATCCATTCTGAGAGGGGAACACACGCACAGAAAATGCAGTCAAATAGTATTATTTTTCACGGCAACACTCGCGTTACCTGGCATTTATCCATTAGCACAAACTCATACACCTGTGGCTGAAGAAGGACAAGTTATCTTTTCTGTTTAAACTGTGGCAACAGAAGAAAAACAAACCAATAAAAAGCTCACATTCCTAGATCTGTAACACAAATGACTATACTACCATGGACTACCAGGCCGTTTAGTGGTCCCTGCTTTTATTAAATGGCATTTTGTATCCGAGGACCACGGTCAAAAAGACTTCTTGCTAAAACAACTGATCAGAATTCAGCAGCACAAAAGGTAAACTGTGCTGGTGTACAGGCAGACATATCCACTGTCAAAATGATGCTACTGTTCAAAATCGCAATACTTATCCATTCAAACTTTAATGCATTACAGTATCTTTGCACAATTGTTTTTTCCCTCCCATGCTGGTAAATACTGAAGGCATTATATTCTTTAATTACTCCACCTAAACTAAGCTTTCCAATAATTTCCCTCGTATGTGTGCACATCACTGCTCAACATTACCCTGACATCCTGAATGATGCTGTTTCAGACATCTCTTTTGCATTAAATTCTTGGCAAAAGGGAAGAATTACTGTTATAATGTAACAAAGATTAGGTTAATCCTTTAACACTTTATAGGCTGAAATTGACAACTGAAATAATAGTAAAGATGCTTCAAGAGTAAAATTAAAGCCAGTCTGCAACTTGTCTAGAATATCTACAGCTAGAAAATAAAAAATAAAGTATAACAACAGGGTGAAAATGTTTTATCTTATTGTAAACCACCACGACTTTACAAACTCTAATAAGCAAGTTGAGCAGCCAGGAGACAACAAGCTGCATCTTGATGGGAGGGAGCATGCTAGCTCGTTAGCTTAGCATGAGCAAGGAAAATGTCGCAAATGCAGAAGAACTGATGCAAGTGGCCTAAAAACAAAGACTACTGTGTCATATGGAGCTGCTCATGAAGTAATAGACTGCGACACCAATGTTCAATCTGAAAACCACTCACCCCTCACTGTCTTCCATCCTGTCTGGCGTAGATATTAAATTAGCGTTTTGCTAATGCTACCGGCTAGCTACAATGGGGATGGCATGCTTTTCATCCCAGGGTATCCGAGGTGGGCGGTGTTAGATGACAGAGAGGACCCTGAGGAAGAAGAAAGCTCCACCCACCAAAGGGGTTTTACGGATTCCTTTCTCTATATTTTATTTTTTGCTCCCAGTTCTCACCCATATTTCAATGACCAAGTCAGGCCACATAAAGAACATGTTCTCTTGAAAATGTTACAGAAAAAAGGGAGCGTTTTGTTGAATAAAACAGGTATTTTCTTCTTAATTAAACTTAAGTTTAAACCACAACAGTAACACAGCCGTCACAGAGCTGTAATACATTTGAGCAACAAGTAAATTAAGCGCATGATTCTTTACATAAAAAACTATATATATATATATATATATATAATAGAAAACAACTATGAGCATCAGTTTAACAATTCAATGAAACCAGTACTTTGTTAATGTGGAGGAGATTGGACTTTTTTGTTTTTCAGAGAAATTCCACAGTGTTAATTTTGGTAAGATGAGCAGATGAGAATTCCTGCAAAAATTACATTTAACTTTATTTGGATATTTGTTGTTGTGGTGGTTTGAGTGACAGCCACCATGATAATCAAAGTAATTCCCTGTTTGCTGTTTAATGGGGAAAAAAAAGTAAATAAATTCAGTGAAACAAATATGCAAAACATAAAAAAGCCCACACACCACAACAGAATAGAAAATATGACATGTGAAGACAAAAAACAAACCAAAAAACAAACCAAAAAACAAACCAAAAAACCTCTGCATTCCACGAAAGAAAAAATTCAAATAATGAAGTACACATTGCATTGTCATTTATGAATATACTGAGTTCTGTGAGATGTTCCTCTCTGAAAAGCTTTTATTCCTTAAATATTTCTCCTAAAAAACTCTCTTCTGCTGCAATATTTAAAGACTCCTTTAAAAATCATGTTCTTCCTTAAAAGCATTAAACCAAACATTGTGTTGTTTTTATGAAAATGGCTCCAATGTGTGCACTTACATTAAGTAGAAATTGGGAGAATATTCAGAGAAACAAAACGCTTCCTCAGGCGCAGTGCAGTTTTGTTCCTCTTTCTCATGGCGAGGAGTCTGAGATGGTCCGGTCCCTCCTCATTCCTCCTCTTGCTCCTCCTGGTATGTGGACGCAGAGACGGCGCTGTACGGGTCCAGCACAAGCTGAGCACAGCGGACGATGGTCACCAACAAGAAGAAGCAGAGCAGGAAAAAGAAGAAGAGGGCAAAACCAAGGTCCACATCCACATCGAACCTGGTCGCGGGGACAACTGGAGGGTCCATGCCGGGGAAACCAACGATTCCAAGTAACTAAACAACGCTCATCTCCTCTTCAAGCAACTCTTCTACTCTTTATTATTCTCCCAGTACCAATGCGTGTCGCCTTCTCACAGAACAGAAATAATCTGGGGGCCACACTGATCCTCATTTGGCACCTGTGTCCTCTATGAATAGTTTAAAAGGAGTTTGGTAACGATCAGGCAGTTCTTCCTGAGATTAGAACACCAGCACATCTCCTCAGGAGACAAGGCGTTTTGAGGAGCCGCCAATTCAGCAGACTCAGGATCGGATGTAGCCACACAGATTTGTCTTTTTCTTATTTTAAAAAGGTGTGCCTTTAGAACCACTTTGAGCCCTATATTGATCCAACCCTCTGCTGACTGAAAACTGTAGCAGCGCCTTCAGGTAAATGCCAAATAAGAGTAAAGAATGCCAAAGGAAGAGAAAGAGGATATGACACCTTAGTGGTAATCCACTTGAGAGGGGTTGGAAACTGATCCTGATGAGAAGGAAATGCAGATTGCTTGTGCTCTGATGCCACTAACTGACACTCAAGAAGTGACAATATGCTAAACAATAAAAAAAATAAACTTTTCGGGTTTCAAAACGTGTCGTATCTTGACACGACAGAATATAATTTGTCCAACTAAAAGTTGAACCCGCTTCATACGGCTTCATTAATCAGATCTCCCACAAAGGTTCTGAAAGAGGAACCTGATCCAGACAGATACCCACAGATCACCGGGTCTACACCGACACAAAGGAAAGAAGACCGATACGGGCCAATCACAGCTAGCTTTTGTTTCCTGGCATAAGCACGTAAAACTCCGCTGAGGTCTTAAGCACACGCACACTACAGCTGAGTCTGAATCTTACATGAGTGTGATTAGTCGAGTGCTCTGCTGCACAACTGTTGGGAGGCTATAAACGACGTTGTGATTAAGGACTAAATTACAGAGACAAAGAGAGGCCAGCTCCTTCACTGCTGACAATATAACAATTTAATACAAAAAAACAAAACATTTCTTTCTCTTGTTTAAAATTTCATAAACATATACAGTATATTCATATATATGTGTTTCTAAAAGTGTGTGTGGGGGGGATACAATGATGCAATCAGAGGTTTTCAGAAAACAAAGACAAACACAATCACCAACATACCATCCTCTGGGAAATGAAAACCAGATAGTTATCTAATAGACTACACACAATCACATAATCTGTCACAAATGCTACGCACAGTCATCAGATGCCTGTAACTTTAAATTCCACACATGTTAAAAATGAAGGACGCACAACCTTTCTTCCGTCACGGAAACCTACAAAAAACAGACCTCGTTGGCAAAGGTTGGGTCCTCGCCCAGCGTCACACGCAAGGAAAGAAAAAAAAAGTGAAAACGAGAACACTGACAAAATATTTATGGACATTTTCAACTGTAGGTCCACTTGTTTTCAACTTTCCATTTGAATCCTTAATACCCTGATCATACCATTAAAATACTAATCAGAGACGAGCAACGAATAGGCAAAGAGATCTAAATACTTACAAAACACATCCATCAAATCAAAGATTACTAGCATGAATCCATCTTAAAATAATATCATTCAACAAGGACACAATGTCCAAAAAATGGCTTTAAAAGAACACAACTCCTGCATCTTAATTATTGCTGTCTGTAATAGATTTTTTTCATATATTTCTTTTACAAAAGAAGTACAAAAAGCTTGCACCTACAGGGTAAAGGAGGGGAAGTTAAACCGAGCAATGCAGAAACTCTAAGCACAAACATGCATTCTGTAGTTTGGAGACTTAACCAAACGGCACCTTACGAAATGACATGTATCCACTGTCATATGTGTTCTTTAAGTACATCATTCAATAAAGAGACTTGTTCTCAAAAAAAGCAAACACAAAAGAACTTATAGGTGAAGCCACCCATGTACATATCATTTTCCTAGAATTCTACATGACGTAGAAGCAGTCCTTGAAAGTCAAAGGTCAGTCATGCAGACATGCCGCGGGGTTTCAAACTGAGGGTGAGGACAGCGTGCAGCAGCTGGGAATTAAAAACTTTCTAAACATGTGTATCCCTGCTTTTTCCTGAGAGTTGGGGTCACTGACTGGATGGATTGACCTACAAGCTAAAGGGTAAAACAGCCAAATATTCTCTCAATCGATGCCTGAGAAAAACCACTGATACATCAGAATACAAGGCCTTTGTGTGTACGTGTTCACCAGAGTTACTGTGCAGTCTATTCAAGAGTGATTGTGCGCTTTTCTTTTTTTGTTTTTTAGTTGTTTTAAACATTTATATATGTTTATATATACTGTATATCACATATCTACAACATAAACTGTTGTGCTTTGGGCAGTACTAGCAGGAGAATACTCTGACAATGGCTGAAATATTGTAAAAATCATCTTTTAGTCAGTAGCTGTTCTGTTAATTTTCCTCCCCTACACATACACACATACATACATACATACATATATGTATATATATATATATATATATATATATATAAATCTCTTCATCTCTAACTGGCTTGTAGTTGTGCAATTAAAGCCACACGGACCAAGGGAAGAATGCTACTCTCAGGAGCAGGAAGAGCAGAGGGGTGGAGGATCTGAACCGAAGAGAAAACGTGGGCAGAATCAGGGAAGAAGACGTGGGGTGACCCAGCAGAGTATCCAGCAGCTCATTCGTTGTATGGTGGGTACATGGGAATCTCAAAGTCATCGTTGCTGAAATTGGCCGGCTGGTCCAGCATGGACAACACGTCCTGATTCAGATCAAAGACAAGCAAACTGAAGTTAAGTGGGACATAGCAGTGGAGTGAAACACACAGGGGATGGAAGGAGCTCCGACTACTCACAGGAAACATGTCCTGCTGGTTGCCCTGAGCGTGGGGGTGCTGCTCAGCATTACTCTGAGCATGCTGCTGGCCTTGCCACTGAGGCCAAACTGCCTCTGCTGCACGAGAGGGGAACTGGGCTCCAGACTGAGAGCCATCTGAAGCGGAGCACAGAGGAGTAAGATTGTGTGGCAGGGTAACCCGCAGACAGACTCGTGCGGACACAACCTACCATAACCGTTGGTGCTGAGGCTGGCACGAAGGTTCATTTGTGAGTAATTTGCCCCGTTGGTTTGGGTGGGAGCAGCACCTGTGGGCATCTGGCCAAAAGTGTTGGAAGAGCCACCTCCAAATCCTCCCATGGGAGGAAACTGTGGAGACATGGTCTTTGCCATCTGGGGGGCCACCTGCTGGTCAGAATAAGAAGCGAAAATGTCTTCAGTTTCTTTTAAGACATTGTATGAACAACGATTGGCATAAACACGATCAGAATTTTTTCCCTGTGACTTATAAGATGCAGTATGTGTTGTCTTGCCTGGTTATTAAACTGTGGCCTGACTCCAGCCGCAGTCCATCCTCCTGCTGGTCCTGCGTGAAGGGGGCTGCTGGTGCTTGACGGGGCAACCGACTGCTGGGCTCCATTTTGGCGAGACATCTGAGCCAGCATCTGCCCTGCTGAGTGTGTTGGCTGTGCCATTTGTGGATTCATGTTAACTGGTCTGCAGAGAAGATTATTAGGCATGAGGGCTCTGGTGTGTGAATGTCAAACACGATCTCACAAAGTCACGGGATTTTATTATGTTGGACCGCCTTCAGCTTTGACTACAATACACATTGTGTGTGGCCTCATTTAACTAATTCAACATTTATTTGTGTTGGATTCAGTCCTTTCCAGCACATTCCAGTGGGGTTAAGGTCCAGATCTGTGGTGACCAGCTTTTTTTGTAAATGGCTGACATTGCCCTCATCCCCCATCAATAAATCATAAATAGGATATATACTATGAAAATGATAATCACCTTTTCCTGGATATGCATCCACTTCTAACACACCAACCACCCACACTCCTAAATTATACTTAATTTGCACTTCTCCCTCTGCTTATCTGCTCTTACAATAGATGTAGCACTTAATGCTTAAGCCAAGATTTCTGACGGGACTAAGCTTATATGTTGTTTCTCGCTGGCAAGTTGACAAGGCTAGAGCATCTGCTAAATGAATATATATAAACAGCTGTTTAGGGAACTGCGAGTTTCTCAGCGGTTATGGTTGCATATGAACCAAAATGACTAAAACAATGCATGCTGTGTCTGCTCCAGCCTAACGTGCAACCGTCCCCACATGCAAACTCGGTGGTAGGTTACGTGAGTTTATTAGGGTTCATTTATTCATATTTCAGAGTTTACAGAAGATAACAATCTCAAAGCGCTGATATAACAACATGATCAGCTCAGATCTCCAGATAGTGGGATACGCTCTCTTAGATTACCGTGTGAGAAGGAGCGTAAAAAATGCTGTTCGATCTGTTACACTGAGCCTTTAAACACAAAACTGCTGTCTCACAAGGACTAACACAACAAGATGAACCCACTCACTTTGCCTAGAGGTCTTGCACATATTGTACATGTAAACATGTGCACAGTTAGCCTTCCTACCTGTATGTATCATTGGAGCGACTGGGGGGGAAGTTGTTGGTGTAGATCTGAGTAGACGAGGTGGAGGTGGAGGACATGCCCTTAGTCTGATCTTGACCCTGGAACAGGGAAGGGTAGAGCTCTGGCTTCTCTATGCTTTTACTGTGGTCCGGCCCTGCCGCCGTCACTGGCTGGACCGGCATCTGAAGACCGAAAAGGTATCAGAATCACATACACAGAAAAGAAAACAACAACCCGAAAGTGGTGCATTAAAAACACGGTGAGGAAGGTTTAAAACAGTGATTGTGCTCCATTTTCACAAAATGGAAACAAAAGAAAGCAGCAATGTCTCTTAAAGGGTGGCATCTAAGAGAATCACTCCTCCAAGTTTTTTTTTATATTAACAATACATTTTGCCACTTTTCTTTAAAATATGCAGAAGTAATTTTCCTGCAGTCGTAACAGTAGTAAAAATAAAAAAATAAAAAAGAACTATGAAGGTTTGACTTTGGTCAGAATGTCTCAAGTTCTAAAATAACTTAAATAACTTATGGTGAGCAAATTAAAAATAAAGTATTGCAGCTGAATCTAAATGAGGCTGCAGGCAGTCGGAAGGAAGCTCTGATAACAGAACTCTCTCAACCTCAGGATCTGTTTTCCTGGTGAGCAAACAATCAACATCCTGCCTGTGTTTCCATAAAAAGCCTTCATCAGCCTCTAAAGCAAAGGCCCAGGGAGAAGCCGTGTTGGTCTGTTTCCAATCTGGCTGTACATCTACATCTCTGTGCACAACACATGTTTATTATCAAACCTGTGAGAGGGTGATTGGTCCAGCCTCATACAGTGCGTCTCTGGTCCCTCCTCCCTCCAGGTCAGCCTGCTGCTGCTGCTGCAACTGTCTGAAAAAGTAAGAAAAACAGAGAGAGCTGATTTGAAGCCTGCCCAAAATAAACACATTTCCATGCTCTCGGCTGATGAGTGAGAAATCCCAAACACCTCTCCACAACAAAAAAAAAAAAAAACACACACCCCGTCACCTGTCACCATGGAAACATGAGGTGAAACACGAGAAGAGGGGAGAAGTCTGTTACAGAAACACACTGCTAACATGCTATGCCACCTATGTTCAAAGTTTATGTTCAAACCACATAGGAGAGAATGAGAGGACATGCTTCGGTTTTTATTTTTTCCTTTTTAAACTACTATTCACAGCAGAAAAATGAAAAGGAAGTCACTTGGTTTGGGCTACAAGAAAAAAACTAATAAATAGAAAAAAAAAAAGAAAAAAGAAGAATTGTAGTTTGCTAGAATCAGGAGTATCCCATGAAGAAGCAGCCTCTGTTGTCCCATGCAGGGGGGAGGAAAGTCGCTTCAGCCTGGTCTCACCTGGTGGCTATCTGCCCTGGGCTGAGCACAACAGGATGGCCATTTGGGCTGCTCTGACCCAGGTGCGGGGGCATCGAAGCCCCTGGGGAGGAGATGGGAGTGAGAGGGTCCTGGGTCGAGTTTCTGCTGCCCCACAATCATTGATGGGCGCAGAGGAGAAGTGTGGGGAGAGAGTGATAAGTCTCAGTTTTATTAAAATGTGTTGTCACTGAGGTGTAAGAGGAACTGGGGACTGAAGTAGATTAGTATGCATCCAGACAGAGGGCTGTTTCACAACAGGCACATTTCAAAACGAAAATTGTTTCATGGTGCGTTGCCTTCAATTGTGTAATCATGCAGCCAGTTTGTACTCACTTGACATTGACGTTGGTACAGATGATGTACTCAATCTCCTCTGAAAATGGGTTCTGGAAGGTGAAGGAGCTCGTCCTCATCCAGATCCACTCTCTTGATTTGGCGCGGAAGCGAAACATCACTGACAGAACCTGGCCCTTCAGCTTCACCACCTGAGGTCAACGAGTTCCAAACGCTCACATATACTTGTGTTTTCATAGACAACAACCAGCAAGTTTACGCACACACAGAATTCAGTGAAATATCAAGTTACCAAAATAAGTGGACAGCATTGAAGTTAATGACTGTCTCGTTTGAGAGAAAAAGTTCCCTTTAAAAGCACAAATGTACACACGACTCTGGCCGAAAAATGTTTAAAAATAAAAATGCAAGTTTGTCTACAAATGATATACATCTAATTCTGCATCATGTTTGCATTTTATTCTTTTAATAATTGTTTACCTGCTGGAAGCTGTCACTCAGTAAGCCTTGGTCTTCAGGGTGGGCAAACTCTAGAATATTCTTCCCCAATAAGTCCTGTGTCACACAGCAGATAATGTCACTTCTGCACACTATTTGACCTGAACAATAAAAGGAAACATTGCCTGGCAAGGATCAGGTGGGGTTTACCTGGGGCTGGTAGCCCACAGCAGCCAAACAGCGGTGGTCTACAAAGGTGAACATGCCGTGGCAATTGTGGCGGGAGATGAATTCTACTGGAACACTGATACTGTTGAGGTCAGTGTCACCTGGGCAACAGGTAACCTGGAGCAAACGGCAAAGAATAGTTCTGAATACAACAATTTAAAAAAGCCCAGATCAGAGTTTAATGAGATCAACAAGTCGAAAATTTTAAAAACCAAAACATGGTTTTCCAGTCCAGTTCTTCAGTTTCACTCCAGAACAAATATCAACTCTGATCCAGATCATGTAAACTGACCTGTGGCCGTCTTTTTAAGAACAATTAGTTTTGGTTGATCATGTTAAAAGGGCTACTTCACATTTTATCTGTTGACGTTATTGATCTCTGACATTTCATAAAAGTGTGTAGAGACAACAAGAAATGTGTCAAACCAATATCAAGACTCACATTTGCAATATTCAAAAACCTGTTAACACCCCTATTCTCATTTACATATTACTCACAAAAAGAATGACTAATGAAAGAAGACTTTCATTTTACACTGTTTGACAGGAGCCATCCATCCATCGTACCTGTAATCTCCCAATGGCAACTAGACAGTAGCGACTCCCCTGATTGTTGTCAGCCTCATCATCCGTTAACGATACACCTTCAATGCAAACAAAGGCAATAAATATTCTCTCAAGAAAACTGTCTTTTGGAATTACTTGGTTTTTAACATTTTTACATTGACCATGAGTCTATAACAGAGTCAATGTAACAAAGAGCTGTGCAGATGACCTGCTGGGATTACTTGTTTTACCTGCTGGGGGCCAAGACTTGATGTATCCTGTACAGTGGACCACTACGTACTGGGGCTCCCCTTCCTTGGCTGTACCCAAACCATTTCTAAAGTGAAGGAAGAAATTCTAAAGTGCACTGAAAGTTGAAAAAAGAAAAAAGGAAAGAAGAAAAATAAAAGCTGGTTTTCTGGCCAGCACATGAAAAACTGTGGTTTTGGTCACCTGTTTCTATTTCTAAGGAAGTTGAGTCTATTCATCGACATTGGTTCCACTGGACATGTGCCACACCTGCAAAGAGACCATCACATCCACAGTAACTTTATGTGGACACATGCACCAGTGTGAGAGAATGAAGTGAACAATGACCTCTGTGGAAGTCTCACCTCATCCTGCAGATAAATGATCGACGGGCTCCCATACTCATTCTAGCTGATGACTGCTGACTCTCCTTCTTGACCGTTCCTGTCTTCAGGTCCAACATCCTCCCTATACAAAGCGAATTAGGAACTAAACTTAAATGACCTTTCGCTCTTATTTTAATTTTAAAACAGAGATGGGATATTTCCCCCAACTTATGGAGGGACTCTCCCACTATGGGGTGGGTGCACACCTGTGTTGTTATTCTCTGCAGTGGACAGCTGCTCCCTGAGCTTTTCTTTGTCGTCTGGATGGAGCTGGTCATAAAGAGACGAGCCCAGCCACTCAGATTGCGGCTGGTTGAGGACAGGCGTCAGGGAGTCTGAGACATAAACAATGCGCCCAGTCTCACATGACACCACAAACAGAAAGCCATCAGCTGCTTCCAGGATGAGGTGCTTAAGCTCCTACAGCCATAAAAAAGAAACAAACCAACAGAAACAAAAGCAATAAATAAACAGTGACGTGTCTTTATGTAATGGTAAAAAACAGAATTCATGAATATATCCATTTCCCCAAAATCTACAATACCTAGTTCCCTATACATTTTGGTCACTCAACACTGCAGACAGTTTGTCTTTACCTTTTACATTTATTGCTCGCAGCTAATTCTGATTGTTTTTAACTCTTTACAAGCAGCAAAAAGGTCTCACTTCAGATAAGAGAACAATATCCCCTCAAGTCTTTTCTAAAATAAATTATTACAATTAATTTTGGCCTGATTAATAAAACCTCAATGAGGCTAATATTAAAAACAAAGAAAACCAACAGATTGTAATAAAACTCTCATTACATGATGTACACAGCTGACACCAACAAGCTGTCAAAGTCAGTCTTTAAAAACAGTGACTGACTGAATGAGATAAAAAATAACACAATCTTAAGGTGCTACTTTCAGTTCTCCCTTATCCTGTTTTTACTGATCTCAGAGTGCAAATATGCTGGGACTGTGAGCCTTTTAAAATAGATTACTTAACCAACTGGTAATATGCTTCCCCGTTTGAAACTGGTCTACTCTGAGCATACCCTCTGTAACTCACATCTGACTTTAATTTTTTTTTTTTATCTGACGTTTGGCTTCATTACTCATACCTGATCAGTGAGAAAGGATGGTTTGTATGATCCATCTGCATTTGTGTTACCACTTCCTCTCAAAGACTTCATATGGGAAACTGCCATTCGTAGGATGGTGAGTTTGTCTGGTTTCCGCGCAAGTGCGCTGCATGTGGGCACCATATCTGACAACTCTGTGATGTAGGCAGTCATTTTGTTGCGCCTCCGCCTCTCAATCTCACTGTGATTTTCCCTGGAGTGAGGAAACGAGGGTGGAAAAGGTGGAGAGAAAAGGAGGGGTTGATATGGGACGGGGGGGACAGGCAAGTGGAAAACATGGAATAGAGTTTTAAATTAATGCTGCAATGCACGTCTACAAATCAGGAAGAGGACCACGAAAAAAAAAGAGGGTGAGAGAAATAATGAGATAAAACAAAATACAATTATGTGTGATTTATGAGCGTCAGAGGGCAAGAAAGTCTGGCTTTTTATTTCCAGAATAGATGATAAAAGAGAACTGGTGCAAGAAGAGAATGAATCTTTAGTTTTCCTGAGAGGGGGGGGAGACAAAATAGAAAAAGAGAACAGTTTCTCAAGACGAACAGGTTACCAGAGTGTAAGAAATTCCTGACTCACACCGAGTGCAGTTAGTGACACATAACACTTGCGGGTTGAGAGTGATACCAGTTGCTTTTTTGAGAGGAACCAAAAGTAATGCGCAGAGGAGCACAATGTTCTCAGAGCTTCTTGTGCTGTCAAAATGACCGTGTGCTGGAATGCCAGCAGGACAGGATAGTTTTTGATAATTGCATTCAGTATCAATATAGATACAAGCAGGGGAGGGAGCCTCCTCGGTAGTACATGCCATACCTGGCTAGTTTTTCCTTATCTGCAAAACTCTGATCTTCCTCCAAAAACCTGGAAATTAAATCAGCCTACTAAAACACAGGCTCACAAGTCACTTCCAAATTAAAAAGAGGTGCATGACCGGCCAAACAACAACAAAAAAGAGGGTGAAAAAAGATTTTAGAGGGTGAGATTTTGGGGTAAGCACTCCAACATAATTTTGCCCCTTAAAACTCCCTCCTCTATTGCCCATTTCCAAAAGTTTGTCCTCCTACCTAGCAAAGCGCTCTTTGTCATTACTGGAGCCTCCTGTTTCATCATCACCTCTGAAAAAGAATAAAGAAAACAGTGTTATCTCGGCAGCAAATACAATTCAAACAAACCATTTCGCTCTACAGCCTACAGCCATTTTTAAGACAATACCCAAAGAAGCTGTGTGTAAGAGTGTGAATGTTAACATCAGTCAGACTTTGTGTAAAGTCTACTTTGGCAGCTTCTGAGCACAATGTCCACAGAAGGTGTCCACAAACCGATCTATGAATATAGATGTTAGACGTCTGATGAAATGATGGCATGCCCCCGTCCTTACTCACAACAACTGATGCTTTTTAGTGCATTGCTCACCAATCACAAATCCCTCATATGTATGCATCATTACAGGTCAGTCATGATTTCATCTGCTTTCCCTTGTGAGCCAATCACAAAGCACTGCGGGGTACTTTCTGCCTTGTATCCAACCTACTCTACACTCATCCCAGGAGCCACACCTGAGCACTTTCAGCTCTATCATCATCTAATGTGCTCTACGAAGTGTGTGCTGAATTTAGTAATGAAAGAGATTATCCAGAATTCACATGAGAGATTTAGTATTAAAAATAACTGAGACAATGATACCTGAACAACTTGCTTCCTTCGTCGTCGTCAAAATCCGACCTGTAATGCCAAGAGTTAAATTGGAATATTTAAATGTACTCTCACAAAAGCTAGTTGAAAAGCAGAACAACGGACAAAAAAATACCGTCAGTGTTGTCATATGAAAAAGTTTGACAGCAACTTACGGGGCTCGTCTTTTGTTGGTCCCTTTCGGTACAATCGCTCCGCTACTTGCTTGGGTCCCACTTGCCCCCATTCCCAGATTTAGGTCTGCCAATTCTATTAATAACACAGCGCAGCGGTAAAGGCTAATGTAGCTGAGATGACAGGTGATTTTCTTCTACGTCTAAAGCACTAAAATGGAAACTAAAGCCCTCTCTAAACCTTAAACAGCTAGGTTAAATTACACCAAAGCATAAATCCGTGACGTTTAAGCCCACAGCCCGTATGTAAAACATAAAGATCAACATCAGGCAAACCACATTCATGACAGAAGTTTTCACATAGCTAAGATAATCACGACACAGAGCTAGCCTTAGAGCAACAAAAAAGAACCATTGCTTAAACATCTGGATCGTGTTAGCCGACCCCAGTTTGGCACATAATTTACATTTAGTTAGTCATGTCTCCTATTTTGGTCGTTCAACAATAACCAACAGCTTACATTTCAAAACTAATTTATGTATGTATACAGTCACTTAAAGTGAGCAGAGAGAAAACACTTATGCAATAACTAGCCAAGCTCGGTGTAGCATTAGCTTCGTTGCTAGGCTAACTCAGCCGATGCTGTCACGCTATGTTTAGAAAAGTGTCCGCTTGAGAAAGGGTTGATAAAACCTTCATAACAGAGTAACATTAGTTAAATACAGTGAAGACTATGTTATGATAACTTTGGGAGTTCTTACCTGGATTTGAAGACGACATATCCGTATTGAATAACATAAACAAATAACTTCTGCTGCGAAAGAAAAAAATAACACTCCCCTTGACTAGCTAGCTTTTGGCTATCCAGTGCAGATATCCATACGCGCTCTCACTCTCTGTTATAAACTCGGCCCAACGCCATGACTAACGCAACCTCAGAATGGGCAGAGGGTGCTATACTACAAAACTTAACGATTATAGCCGTCACAACCCGTTTTCCTGCCCGTTTAAAGCCCCCCCCCCATCCGAGTAAGATGGCGTTGTGAGCGACTAAAGCTTGAGCTACATTTGTTCCTCGTCTTCCTATTGGACAGCAAGCAGATGGATACGAGTGACGTCACGTTTTAGAAACCATTGTTTTCGTCCTGGCACGCGGTTCGGGAACTTGCAAATGTGCTTAATTAGTTTGTGGGTTAATTTAGGACAAATAAGTCATAAATGCATTATATATATATAATGGTTTATGAGTCTGTGTGTATATGATGGCTTTGGCGTCTTAGTGTCTGTTGTAAGCATCAGTCACTTATATCTTAAACAACTGTTTGGTTTGCTTATCTACTTGGAGGAACTTTAGCCCTCTTTAACTGTGCAGACCATCTGCAACTCTGGTGGGTATCCTCTTACACAATCTGTTCATTCCAGCAATTTACGTTTGAAAAATGATTACATTTGGGGTCTTGCTTTTCAAATCCCTTGACTCTTACTGTCAGCTCTCAGTAGTGGCTTTGTGACCTCTACCTTCCTGAGGAGCACTAAAAAGTGTTTCCAAGATTCTGTGAAATTTCCTTTGTTTGTGTTGTGCTACACCTACCCAGAAAAACTTTGCAGTAAAGATTTTCTTTGTTTAAAGGGCTCCGCACAGTGATGAGAACACAGCACCCACCTAGATATGATTGGTTTCCTAAGATGTAAAAATGTTCCCAAATCAATACTTTGCTGAAAGACTTCGTTCTAAAACATACTTTTCACATTTTTACTAATAAATCATTTATCACGTGGCAATAGTAATGAAAAGCTTTTAGAATTTGTAACTTCTTTTGAGCCACTCCTTGTCAGATTTGCCAAGTGCAGAGTATGTTTATCCAGTTGATGAGTAGAAATCCCAATTAATCTAATCTTCTAGTTACTTTTGGAGTACACTGCTGTCCTGACATCTGAGCCTTGCCCAGTCCTGGAGGCATCAATGCCAAAATGTGAGCGCCCAACATTAAACCACCCCACCCCATTCTTACTTTATCAGAGATGGGGATGTGATCCCAGAAACCCTTTTTTTCTTTGTTCATTTAATGTCAGGCATATTTGTTATGTATTATACTACAATTTGAGAAAAAAAGGTTATTTGGAATCATAAAGTCAAATTAAATCCTTATGAGTGTTATCCTAAGATGGATCACAGATGTGCCGATATGTCAGCACATCTGTAATTGTCTGTGATTGTGAGTTGTATCTTTGCATACAGAACACATCACCAAAAACAACAGCTTCAACAGTGTTTTGGTTGTGATTTATGATTTTCTTTTATCATTAATAACAATACTTAGGCATCATTAAAATAAAACAAAATAACAGTAAAAATGTAACACTGCAATTGAGACACAGCGGTTTCTTTTGTATCAGTGGGGAAGAACACTGCTGGTTGGTCGGGGTAAGTAATGAGAATGTGGTGGTGGAATGAGAGTGAGTTTGAAAGGAAGGTTGATCTGAAAGAAGAGAGGCAAGGGTTGAATGAATCAATGAGGAGAGAGTATTTTTGTGTCCTAAGAGCTGAGGGCCTATGAAGTGATGTGAGTGGGAAACCGGGAAGAAAAGGAGAGGACATGAAGACAGAGAGCTCCCCGTTCGTTACAGATAAGGCACTGGAATACAAATACATACAAAGCATGACAAGAACACTGAAACAGCTGTAATTTTTATCAGCGAATCAAAACTAGATCGCGAGATTCATTTCATAAAAGATCAAAGACAATACCTGTAAACGCATTTCTCACATTGAATCATACTTAAAAACATCAATTTTTATCAACACTAAAATTTCTTAGCTGGGTAAACAAATATAACCTCAGCTATTAGGCAGTGAACTGAAGAAATCTGGACTGTTTTTATTCTTTGCAAAATTCCTGTATGTCAAGAAAGAAACCCAATTTTGCAACGAATCACCTTTCAGTGGGTGGCATCATCAATGTGGTGTTTTAAGCTTGAGTGACTTTCAGCTGTGATTTCTCAACCATAGGCTGAGCTGAGTGCCCCTTTATGTGCGCTAAACTTAGCTCTGGCAGAAAGGAGTCAAGAGCCGCACCTTTTCCACAGAAAACAACACTACTGGAGGCAGAAATTGTACTAAATAAACCTCAGCAAAGATTAAGACTGAACAGAAATGAGATTTCTTGTCAGACTGAACCCAGAACACTTCGTAAATGGACCCAGCTGCACTGGAGAGCAAAGACAGGCAGTCCTACTGCCAGATATTACTTCAAATGTTTGTGCAAAGACATCGCAATCGCTGAACAGTTACGTAGGTGCATAGACATAAAAAGAGGGAAATCAATGCCCATTGTCTGACCTTCATAAAACTCTTTTTTTTAACTTTGTTTTGTTCTTTCTTTAAAAACAGAAAAACAGAATAAAGCAGCACACTTTCAAAGCAGAAAGCTTCCAAATGGCTTTTCAGCAGCCACCCATCAGCTGGCTCTAAGGCACACAGTTAAAGCATGAAAGCTAAAGTAAAGGCAGCGTTGCCCCGCCCCACTCCCCTGTTTCTCCTTCACACGTTGCTCCTCTCCATGTTCTCCCCTGTCTCACGGAAGGTTTGTAGGACTAACAAACAAAGTCTATGATACAGTTTCTCTGATGACAGCCGTGTCACTGAGTGTAGTGTCTATCATCTGATGGATATCTGTGCCCTCTAAAAGTACGACTGATTAAGTGTGTGTTTGTGTAGTCAAATTTCCTGCTCACTTTTCTTAGTTTTAGGGAATAATCGCCCCTCCCCCCCCCTCCGTCTGTATCCCTTCTTCTTTCTTTCATATTTCATCCCTGCTTCTCATCTCTTCCTCTGAGGGATGTGAGTCCTTTCACTTTCATTCATCCAGACATGAATTTGCTTTCAGTCCTTCTTCCTGTGGTTGTTGTTGTAGACTGTATGACCGTTCTGCACAGGTCCATTTTTCTTCACATGGTTTTTATCCTTTGCCTCCTCTTCCTCCTCCTCTGATTCATCTGTTTCATCTTTGTCACTTCTGTCATCGTCCACTTTTTCCTGAAAAATAAAAGCTGTTAGTCGGAGAGGCTCTTGTCTTGGACTCTTCCACGTTGTTTTAAAGTCATTATACAGATTATACACGGACATTTTATGAAAAAGTACTGGGTAAAAAATATGAGTCATCTTGGTGTTTCATATTATGATTTGATTCACTAACTCTGCTCTCACCGAGCCCCTGTTATTCCACTTTGTGAGCACAGCAGGCAGTTAGTGATTATCAAGTAACCACAGTGGGGTATTTCACAACTTCTTAACTTTTCTAGTTCAACCAAAATATAGTTGTTTCAGTGGACAGTGAGAAACACTGAGCAAAATCAGTGATAGTACACCATCGATGTCACATCGATGCATCACTCACATCTACGCCTTTCTCCAGGTTCCAAACTGAACACCGAGTTCAGTCCTTTGGTTTTACAAAAAAGAAGTAAAAGCAGAATGTCTGTTTCTTAGATTAGATTGCTTACATTGTTGGTAAGGAAGCGGACTGCAATGCGAATGATGAGAACGGCCCAAAAGATATGAAGACACTGCAGAATCATCAGCAGTCCATTGAAGAAGTAGTAGCCAAAGAAGGGTTCGTAGATAGTCACCGGGTATACCCAGGTACAGTAAATAATCCTGAAAGAGACGGAGAAGATCAGGGAGTCACACAAGTCACACTGAGACAAACAGAGGACACTATATTGCATTGTTCAACTTTTGTTTATGGTGTGTGTGTGTGTGTGTGTGTGTGTACCAAAAGGGGAAGATAATGAGGCGTGTGATAATGAAGACTGCAGCAAATACGATGAAGATGTAGTTACAGGCATTTCGCCACCCAGCATAGTTGAACATCTTTGCAGACTGCCAGAAGAGAGAAAAACGTACACAACTATTGGTTATCATGATTAATCCACAAAAACCACCAGGGGGCAGTGTTTGATCAGGGCAGTGGCACCAGAGGACTCAGTAGGGATGCTGAATCTATTTTTCTAGATGAAAGGATAAATAATACCAGCACAACTATGGGGACACCGGACTTGTCTGCCTCACCCGCACATTTACTGGGTTTTCCTTCAGCCGGGAGCACAGATCATTCTCTCACTCACCTACTGTAAACATATGAATTGACGTGTTTTTTACCTCTAGGAAGTAATCAGAGGAGTCGTGCACCAGCATGATGAGAGTTCCAGCACGAATGTAGTTCACACACCAGGAGAAACTGATGAGGAGGATTGTCGCAACATGGTGAACTATCTGCTCCTTGAAGTCCTGAAGAGAACAGGGTGAAGGGCAAGCACATGTTTTTTTTATAATGACAGAATAAACGAATACAGACATTTTACTCAGTGTTTCTTGTTTTAACAAGGCATCTGTGCATGCTGCTAAATCCTTCTTAAGAGGTATCTAGGCTAAATTTTTGAGTTGGAGGAACACACTGTGCCTATTTTGAAGGGATTTTTTTTCTGCGCAGTGCTCAGCTGACCCGCCTGAGCAAAGTCCAACCAACACATATTCACACACACACAAAAAATACACGTGTAACAACAGTCTAATGTCCACTCAAAGTCAGTGATATCAGATAATGTAAAAGTAAAACGTTCTTGCCTTTAAGAACATCATAAAATAAGAAGCACATACAAAGATAAACAGCTTCATGCTGATTGTAGTTTACAATGTATTATCAAGTGTTATTTCTAAAGGTGCATCATTCCTTTCCTCGGCCATTTGTCCTGGGAATCGACTTACTTTGCGTTTAACATCTGAAGCCACACTGAAGAGCAGAGAGCCGTAGAAGCCCAGCTCGATCATGTAGTACCAATATTGAGACGGAAGGAGAGTCTAAAGTAGAAGAGACAGACCTTTCATTTAAAAATCCATACATTCATCTGCACAAATCTATGCCGAGATATAGAGCTAGAGCTTATTTACATTATTGAATAACCTTTTGAATATTCTCGAGAAGAAGAAGAAGAAGGCAATTACAATGTTGACCTTTAAAATTAAGAAAATGTTCGGTACAACTTCCCAGAGCTCCAGTTTACCCAATTCCATCCAATGTTTTGTTTAAATAAAACCTACAGATGGGAAAGAAGCCGGCACTTATTGATGTACGAGAGAATGAAGCCTGTTATTTTAGGCGTTTGCATTATTTAATGATAAAAACTTAATTGGAATTGGAAAAAAGTTGTTTTTTGCTTGTATTCTAGTACTGTTCAATAAAGTTTTTTTTTCCAATATAATACACTCTATTTTTTGCTTTGCATCACGTTATATGATGATAACCGGTCTTCATAAGCAGACAAATGATATAAGAATAATTAGAGTCGATGCATTCTATTTCTTTAGCTTGAAGTAGTAAGGATGTTGACTGGAGGCGTGAATTTAATAGACAGACACCCTGATGCATTAATCTATCACACTCCATCCCAGAGACGTACCAGCACTGGAAAGCCCTGCCACATCTCCTTCAGGTCGTACAGCCAAGGTTTCTGGAAGGAAAGACAGGATGGGAATGAAAGAGCAGAGCACAACGGGGTATTTATATCAACTGACTCAGCACGGGGATGAGTCAGTGCTCCCCTTCTGATGGGATAGAAAGATGGGCGAGAGACGAGGTCATCACGGCAACCATGGAAACCGACAAGTTCCCAACAAATGAAGTGTTGGAAATAGGGGCAGGAGTGGTTGAGGTTAACATGGCGGTACTCACATCGATGAGGGCGGCCAGGCCAGCAATGAAAGCAAGAAGGTAAAAGGTAAATCTCCAACTGCAAGAGAACACACAAATACGACACACACTTTTGCCTCAGTCAATGGGGAGAGGGTGATAGACACATTTTGCACCAGCAGATGTTCTTTTATAACTGCATTACACATTCTCAAATTCAAACTAAAGCAGCTGTTTGAGTCAGCGGCAGGCACCGGGCGGTGTGACCCGCAGGTGAACTGCCTGGAGAGTGTCACAGCAGGGCCCAAAGAAAGCTGACCAAACACAGGCAGGCAGGCAGGCAGGGAAAGCTATGGGACGGCATCTTGCCCGTTACTATCCCGCCTCAGGGGCAGTGAGGTGTAGGTGGGAAGAGAGGAGGAACCGTGAGTGTGAGAAGTACAGCAGAGGGGGAAGTAAGGGAGGAGGACAGAAAGCCTGTTGTTCGCACACACACAAGAGATTGATTCAGACGAAAAAATGTCATTATGTCGCAACCAGCACAGTGAAAGACACACCATGGCCAGGGAGTGACAAAACATGCAGTCACATGCACGTCCGGACACGACCACACGCTTCATGTAAAGAGTCCGAACAAAATCTGTCTCAAAACAGTGCAAAGAATCAGTCTATCAGAACAGTGAGTTTTCTCTTTGAGACAGCTGCCACCACCTGAGACGTATTCATGTACATGTATATATGTATGTCCACCAGCAAGTTATCTGTCTCCTCCAACAGTCTCATCAACATAACCGTTGGAAATGTGTTTAATACAAAGGCAGAAAATGCATCAGGGGTGTTGCTTTGATGAGGCATGCTCTCCGGCTATCGGTTTCCCTGGGAAAAATGGGAGTGGGAGGGAAAAGGGCATGCATTTAAGCGTGCTTTTTACAGGTACATCTGCTCGTGTATCAGTCCTCGTGACGCAGGCGGTATCGTGCTGTCCGGTGAGGCCTTTAATCGCCGCCTGTCCGCACATACACATGTTGGCATTGCTAGCTGATGCCCACCATTCTCTGTGGCCATGATTTATCATGCTGTTGGCTTAATTCAGCGCCTGTCAGAGTAAACACTCACACGTAAAATGAACAGAGTAGTGACAGAGCCCCTGACAAAGCCGAGGCCTCCGTGCAAATGAGCACTTTGAAGGCTGGAGTTGTGCGTGTTCCTGTGTGTGTAGAGAGCCGGGGCAAAAAGGCACAATAGTGACAGTGTGACATTGTAACCAGTGTATGTTAAAAATAGAGGGCTACTTTTACATCAGAAATGTGCCTTGCCTTTAGCTAGAGTAACACCGGGGCCAGCAGCTGTTTTGAACAGCTCTACATTTTCGCACAATACAGCTTGAAGTGTGTGTGTATGGGTGTGTTTACCTGGCCTCTCGAAACTTTTTGAGCAAGCTGGGTCTATCCTGGTTCCTCCGTCTTCTGAACCATCGCTGCACTTGTCTTTCCGAGTGGCCTGTCTGCTTGCAAAGACTCGCTACTGAAGACTGAGGGCCACACAGAGATCATATCTTAGTATTTGCCAACATGTAGCATGGTGCTACGTCTGTGCACCAACTTGAGAGGACATCTACCTGGGAGGGGTTTTTGGTGATGTTACAGTAGTAGGACTCCAGTGTGGGGTTGTGTGGGACCTTGAGCCGCACTGTGTCTTTCACCCCAAGAAGTGAGGCCAGGGGGGTAGCCACCGTCCTGTGATCACAAAAAGGCACACAGGGTTAAACAGAAGGGAATTTGGAAAATAATCTGATGGAAATCTATTTAATCAATGTGTCCAATTTAACTAACTCTAAGTGATCATGTAGAATGAGTGTTTCCATATCGACAAGTCAAGGATGCAAAACATTTTCTCATTAACCCTATTAGTCTGAGCAGCCTGAACACAAATTAAGTAATGGAGTGGTGGTGGAAAATCTGCCAAATAACCCGACAGACCTTCAAGAAATCAAAGATAGCAGTAGTGATATCTTTGATTTGTGATATGATGAACAGATAGAGGAAAGCAAGCATGTGCAGAGAGAAAAGAAACAAACTGCTTAACAAACTTTATGACTTCTTTTATGTTCAGGCTGCTCTGATCGATGCGGTTAGTGAGACAAACAGATTAAATTGGGGCCTCATTTTTAGACTAAAGTTGAAATATTAGGGTACAGAGTACAAGTAATTATTCAACTTTAGGCTTCAAAGAAGACAAGAAGATGAAAACATGGGTTCTGTTTTGCTAAGACCTTAGAATGAACGCTTTTCAAAACAAAAAATAATGGGGAAAAAGGAAAAATTCAAATGAAAACAGAAGGCTGACGCTAAAGCAAAGACAAAATGAGAAACAATAACAGAGCTAAATGTCTGAAGACAGAGAAAGCAAAGGCTTGAATTAGACAGAGGTGAGGAGAGCAGGAGTTAAATAAATGTTCTGACCTTTCAAATATCTGACGGATAATGAGGAATACCAGGGCAATGGGAAGCGCCACCCATAAATCCTGGGCTTTGGCGTATACTCGTCCATCCCGGTCCTCCAGGTCAGCCCAGCCCAGACCCTCCGGAAACCACAGCCGCTCCTGCCAGAACCACTGTCCCAGCTCCGACAGCATCCTGAGAGGCAGCACGAAACAGGACTCAGAACCCCTTTCACGGGTTTATTAGGCTCTGAAGATAAAGCCACGCTCATTACATAAAACACACAGATTGGTGACGTGATTAGAAATGAAACCTTACAGCTCAAGCCCACCACCTTCTGCACTCCCAGCAATCTCCCAAGCGGCTACAAGAACTACATGCCTTTCTGCTCACTGGAAACTTTGCTGTACGTTTTTCCTAAAGCATAAAACAGAGCAGAGCAAGCATGCAAGGAGCTAAGAGGGCCCACACGAGGGAGGAGGAATAAAAACCAACATCTGAGCAACTCTTTCCCTTCATGCTTTCAACACCAACTCATGGCTGATGGCAGCTGCAAATGCTGCTTTTTGCTCAGAGGGCTCAGAAATAAATATTTCCGCCGCGGGAGTGGCAGAGACGGAGCGAAGGGGTTGCCGGGGAGAGAGAAGGAGAATCTGAGGGATGAGTCATAATTCATCCATAAGTACAGAGCAACAGGGGGCTCCCCCCACACACTCCATCTCCGGAGTCCCCGTGAAGAACTACAACAGCTCCCCTCCCCGACCGCTGCAGCTGCAAATGCCAAAGCTCTGTAACCGCCTCACTTCCACTCCCATCCCCACCCTGCTGCTCCCCGCCAGTAATCAAGAAGGATTCCCTCTTTAGCCAAGAGAGCCAGAGGCATGTGCACCGCTCTCCCTCATGACTATGTTTAACATATACGCCCTAAAAGACACTGACAAAGCCTGCGCCAAACGCAACACTTTTCTTCCGCAACTTTCATTAAAACTGAACCTTGAATTGAACAAAAAAAAACGTGATTTGAAAACCATACCAAGAAATAGCAACTTTTCTTTGCACTGCTGGTCTCTTCTGGTCAAAGTTCTCACCAAAAAATGAAAAAACAGTGTTCTATTGTTGTTTTCTGCACTTTCTCCTTCTTCTTTTTTTTTTTTTTACAGTCAGGATAGGATTTCACACCAAGTAAAGGCAAAAATACAGCATTTATCAGTTTTTACTGAGAAAATGTGCCGCAAAAAAAGGACCCCGTTTAGTTTGAATCCTCAGTGAATTTTTAGAGGAAAGACGAAGCCGCTCAGATCAGACGGCTGACACCAGCGTGTCATGGAGGGAACCCTAACAGCGAGCCAGATAGTTGCAGCTGCCTAGCAGAAGGTGTCATGGTTGAGAGTTGGTTATTTTCCACATCGTGTCATGTTAGTCATCAGGGTCCGTTTCCTGTTGCTACAGCGCTGCTGCTCACAGACAGGGCTGCCCCTTCTCTCCCCTTTTTAAAAATGTTGCCGCGCATGGGAAGGCTGACACACTTTCCCTCAGTGTAATTTGCCAGCTCTGCCACTTCACCACTCTCACCTCTGCCAGACAGAGGAGAGCCAGATCCAGTCAGCCCTTGCTGAGTAGCATGTTTGTTTGCAAACCTGGCTTCATAAAAAGGCTGTGTAATCTGAACTGGAAACAGATAAGAAAATGAGCTTCTGAGCACTAGCACACGAGGTTCAAAGGCCAGCCTGAGCTGTGTTTGCCATGTTAAATGATTTCACATAATCATGTCAGAAGATAAACAGTTAGCAAGTGTGTCAACTGTAATTAGACTGAACATGCTGTACAAACACACTCAGCTGTAAACACTAAAGAAGAAAAAAGTGCCATGAAATGAAAAAAAAAAGCCTTTTCATTCAGCTTTCCTGCTGAGGTATGTTATGTGAATTCAACATTTTTCGGGCCACTTGTTCAGGGCATCCGGTGAATTCAGCGTGTTAAAGCTCTTTCCCCCTCAGCTTTACCAACAGCACATGTCATTGGCCCACCAGGTCACATGACCAGACTGACCATTTCAAAGGTCCAATAACACAAAAGAATGCCTCTGACAAGGGAGCAAGAAAGGAAGTTTTCTCTATCTGATGCTCTCTTTCTGACTGGCTTAACAGCGATCCGACGCCGAGCTGGCAGAGAAACGCTCCGGCTGTTGCTGATATGCTCACAACGCTACAAGACATTTCCTCCCAAAAAACATTGGTTAAAACAGGGGCCTCAGAGGAAAAACTTAAACAGATCCAACTGGAACCTGGTACAATGTCAGGGAATATTTAGAAAATGTAAACATACTGCCACTACACAGGGGAAGCTCTCCAGCTTCTCTTATGGTGGAGTTATACTCGCTGAGTGCTTTAGTGTGGGACAGGAGGCCAGGGGACCATAAGTCATGAGACTCTCGCAACGCACTCTGACTGTGAGTCACTAGTAACATACCATCTGTGTTTGCAAAACTACCCATTTACTCACATCCATCCATATTTAACATGCTCTCTGGCAGCTGAATCATTCAAGCCACATCCTTAAGAAAAAAAAGACCAGGGCAAAGTGAGGGCAGACAGCTTTTTACTGCAGATCACAGCTCTCAGGTCTGATAAATCAGACAAAATGGCACATTGGCTCAAGAGTAATTTCACAAAAAGTCACGAGACCGGAGCGGTTCGATAAGTCAAAGACCCTAAATGAAATCAGGGAGTCAGACACCACTGCGCTCTCTTCTGCACTGATACCCCACCCAACACAGTAAGGGCTGCAATTCAAACGATCACACAAACTCAGACTGATGGGAACATTTGCTTCTAAGAACTGCCCCCACTGAGGGTTACATGCACAGTCCAGCTGATGGACAGCAGGTGCTCTAACTTTCTCACTGGCAGCTCATCACACAGGTAAACGTGGCTGAATTTGTTGCACAAGCCACGTCATTAATTTGCCTGAAAACCTTTTTTTTTTTTGTGTCAATGACGCTGTCCTGGGTACAAAATCTTGATTTTAAGAGAGCAAAGCCAAACTCTGGACCAAGAGGCGAGGCGCAGTCTGTTCAGTTTGCGCTTCAGTCAAAAGTTCTGACATGCTTCAACGTCTAATAAAAGTAACAGGAAGATAGGCAAATGAAGGCAGTTTTATTGGGAAATGGGAAACATTTATATACACTGAGGCTTTGCTGTTTTAACAGAAACTTGTAAAAAAAAAAAACGCACATTTAAGCTGTGGGACGCTCTTAGACCTATCCAAGTTAAGTAACCTACACATGGAGGGACAAATTAGGTTACACCCACATATTATTTGTGTTGGTCGAGGTGCCATTTTTGACAATTTCACTCTGAATTACTAATAAACATGAAATTAAAAAGTCCTAGTAACTACAAGAATATCTTTCGCTTTATTAGGTTTACGTAAAGGAGCACTCCCTTCTGTAAAAACAAGTGGCTATGAGTCAAGGGTTCAACCCTGTTTCACCCTCCATTTGCCTTTAAATTTCAGAAATGTAGGCAATACTTATTTATAGACACAAGAAACTAGAAACGTAGAAACTTTTAAATGAAAACTTCCTATGTAGACCTCCTTCCAATAAAGCAAAAAATAACACACCTGAAAATAATGCTAAATGCACATTACAGATAATGCTGGTATGGGTCATGTTCAAGAAAGAAGATTTTCTCAAATACTCATATTTACTCACCACTCATAGCCACTAAACACAATGAATACGAAACCAACAAATAGATTAAATACATTTCCAAATACAGATGTACATTTTTCATATCCATCCATCCATTATCGTAACCGCTTATTCCCTGATGGGGTCGCGGGGAGAACTGGAGCGCTTATCCCATTGGTCAATGGGCGGGGTACACCCTGGACAGTCCATCAGACCATCACAAGCCCCCCCCCCAATTTTACAAATATCAGAGAATTGATATGATGTCCAAACTGTGCACACTTTGGGATAAAAGACCCCTGTGGAGAATGGCATGCTTTCTGCACATGGTTTGTAAGCTGTAATTTAGGTCATGCTTTTGGCATTTTGAACCAGAATGTTTTGCAATAACAACTTTGAAAAAAGACAGACGTATGCTTCCCATTTGAAGCTTCTTTTGGGGGGGGAAATAGATGACAGTTGATCATGTCAACTTGATTTTGTTTTTTCCATTGTTGGACATAGTGATGAAAATAACATGGGATTCCATAATTTCACAGCTGTATCGTTTAAGTGGAAGAAAGTGTCACGTTCACAAGGGTTAACTGAGCTGCCTTTTCTCTCTAATCTGTTGTGTTGTAGGTTAAGACCACACGAAAGCCAACATCTGTACCTTTGACACTGATATGTGACACTCATGAATCATTGATGAGAGTCAATCAGTCAGCAAATTGGTGTGAAAAGGCCAGTTCAGCGGGTGTGTGGGCTGATATTCCTCTGTTCGTTGCCGGCCAAACTTCCCTTTGAGTGATCCCAGCAACTCTGGGCTAATTACTCTCTCCCCTCCAAAGCTATCATTTCTGTGAGGAAGTGATTACTCCAAAAAAACACACAAGAGGAAATAAAAGAGGAAAAGATGCAATCATTGAGCAATGATAAGTGAAGTTCCTTTCAGTCTTGGTAGGGTTAATGTATGTATTCTCAATCAAGCCAGTCGATGTTGGAAACCAATGCTGTTTAAGCTAGATTTACAAATCCTTTCAAGCTTAGAAATAACTGACAAACACGTTCAGTCACATAGGGCTAAAGCAGATAAATATTTAAACATCTTGAGGACCAACCAACCCCATGTCTGCATATGAAATATTCATCCCCTAAACTGCCCTTAAGTGTCGCCTGTGTGTAAATCTTTGTGCCTTTAAGTATCTACTAAAAAAGTTTGTTGGAAAAGAAATACTGAATTTTAAGAGGTGTGCAAGAATTTAAAGGGGCACCCGTTTTAATCATACACATGAGCCAAATTAAAGGAGAAATGGTTGGTTACACTGCCCCAAACACAATCAATACAGATCTGAAGAAAGTTACATTTTCTGAATAATATACTAATTGCATAAAAGGATGTTTACGTACAAACATAACCTCCCAATATTACCTATTAGCTTTACATAGATTTGACCAAATTGAGTCTTCATAGTGGTAATTAAAGGGTCATAAACGAAGTAACACAAATGCAAGTTTTAAAAGGATCATTTAAAATTCTCCAGTTGTTATGGCAGCAACTCGTTGTTTTGTTGGAATTTAAAAATGTTTTTTTTTTCTTAACGTAATTCTTCTATGTTTAGTCTGTGTTCATATTAGCTTTAATGTAGCTACGTAGTAGCGTACAGCACGTTGGACACAACAATGGCGCCAGAGGTCCCAGACACGAATGACCGTGTTTAGAAAAGAAAATGTTTTGTCAACTATAAAGTTTTGCAACCGGGAAATGCATATGTGTACGTGTTCTTCGTATCTATGGTAACCTAAGTGATAATGAAGCGTTATCTGCTACTAGGTTGTAAACTTTTTCTGTTTCGTTTTTTTAAGCAAATACTAACCATTCAGCCATGTACCAGCGAGCTTGATGTCCTTGCGTCAATTGACTTTTAAATATTTTTGTCGAACATATTTACAGACTACAAATGTTTTCACCGCTAAAATCCCAAAAGTTGTGTTCGATTAAATTAACAGATTGCTACATGACTGCGTGATGACGTATGAACTGAGAGGATGCGGAGCGTGCGTCTGCCGCAAACACTCACGCGCACATAATCGAACGTTTATTTGCCGACATGAAAGTGAAACGGTACTTACTTTGGTGTTTTCTCTCGTAACAAAGCTTAAAACGCGGCGTTTCAACCTAGGAAACTCAGTATATGTCTTCTTCTCCAGCGTAGTCCGCGTTGTTCTCAACCAGCGAGAAACCTAACGGTCCCGTTGTGAGTCCAGCCCGCTGGTTATGCTCAGAAGGGCGCAGTTAGTCCAGATCCGGACTGATTTTTACATGTTTCCATGGACTTTAAAGTGAATTTCCCCCCCCCCACGGTTGATTGATAGACTTATGATAATCGAGAAGGCAGCGACAGACGGGAGGGATAGTGTGATGCTGCAGGGCCTCGCGCGGCTTTTCTCCGGCTAACGTTCAGGCTTATCTGTCTCCTCGTCGTGTACGAGCTAATTTCCCCCCCTCTCTCGTGTGGAGTCGGCGGGGTCTGTGTGGGCGTATGGCCGGACAGAGGCGCAGGTCGGACCGGCTGGAGAGGGGACTGAGGGAGGCAGACAGAGGGAGGAGTGAGGGGGGATAACGGAGAGGGAGGGACGAAGATGACGTCCAAGCACATGAGAAAGCGTGGGGCTTTCACACACGTACACTCACACACATATCCATGTGCTGGTAAAACTTGGAGGAAAGTTTTACACCATATATGTGCACTGGCAGTCGCAGAACTCACTGGTGTCTGGATCATGTTTGTTAGAACTATACACCAGATTATGTAATCTCTAAAGTCCATTAATGATAACACTCATGTTGTTGGCTAATTTCTCCCATATAACAGGCTGTGCTGTAGTTGACCTTTGACCTTGTTTGCTTGACAACATTAATGGCTAATTGCTCGTCTAATTTAACTTATACGTATGTACATTTTACATCATGAGTTTAACTTTGTTCCCTTATTTTAATTTGGGTATTTGATTTTATGTTATTAGCATTATATTACTGTGCATTGGCACTTAAAATTATATTATTATGCGCTGTGTTTTAAGTGTTAACCTTTGCGCAAAAAAAAGCGTAACATTTTTTGCTTGACCTTATTGTGACCCATTAACCTTACAGAATGCTTAACAGGGGGCAGAACAGCACACAGTGACTTAAGGTCATGCTAACCTCCAGGCTGGAAAGGTTTGCACCAGATAGGAACAGTTTACTGATGCGAGGCAGTTCAATAGCGCAAGGTCAGGCAGGCTCCGTTATGTCTTAGATCAATGGACTGTTTTGGAACCCTTTTGGATTGTGCTTAATATTACGTTTAGTTTAGCAGCGAGAATCATATCAAAACATTAAATACTAAATCTGAAGCAGATTAGAAAAAGAAAAGTGGGGATTTTGTGACATATCAGAAGCAGCGTATCGTATCAAAGGTCAGTAAAATAACTTTAAGCGTAAATCCCCATAAAAGTGCTGTATATTTATGGTGTCTCTATCTCAGGTAAAATTTCCAGTCATTTCCAGTTCAATAATTAGCTTCTGATTAAATATGTTGTGCTCAGATCAAATTATTCATGGCATGTTTGCCAGCCTCAAGAATCGAAGTCCCGAAGGGAGGAAAATAATCGACTAGATATTGAGTTCCTTGAAGTGAAACAAATACAGCATTTAATTCTCATATCTATCAGAACAGGAGTTAAGAGCCTCCTAATGTGAAGTTAAGTGTCACCTCTTTAAGTGCACTCTCGTTACGCCCCCTTCTGGTTACAAGATGGACATGTGAGGTTACAGATCTCCGAAAAGGCGGCTGTGGGATATGTTTGACAAGGAACGCAGCCTCCTTTGGGCTCTGCTTCTCAGCGTTTTTTTTAGCCTTGTACCACAGTCTGAAATACACAGATTTGAAACAGAAACCCCTCAGCCACCATGCTGATACCTGGCCTTGTTTGGATCATGTTTTGTTGCACATAAAAATAAAAAAAAAGAGGTAAACATGGAAAGAGGAACTTTCAAGTCAAACACACATGAGACAAATTTGATCATTTAGTATGATACCTTTTATTTAAGCTTAAAAAGAGAGTGGATCAAAAAACATTATTCAATAAATTAGAAATAAATATAATTGCTGTAATAATTAATAGATACATTATAATTACTTGATTGCAAGAGTCTGACAGAAACAGGCCCTCAAAAGTTTTTCTCTAGAAAATTCTACACTCAAAATATTGCCTCCCACACAAGCCGTTTCTCCCAATAAACAAAATAATTGTTAAATTAGTAAATAAATAAAAAATAGTTTAAATATTAAAACCTCCCAAATATAAGTGCAATCCCTCCCCTCCCCGGTGTTCCACCTAAAATCTAACTAGAAATTTAAAATAGGTTTGTGATTTCCCATTTTACAATTTGGAATGTAATATCCTTTTATGGAGATGATGATGTCACTAGTGGTAATAATAATAGTAATAATAATAATAATAGTTATGTCGCAGTGTCCTCTTCAGTGTTTTATCTAAAGTAGTCTTCTTTTTGCATTTTTTCTTGTTTTTTAAATGCTGCTCTTTGTAAACTAAACTATATACAGGTCTTTACTTCTCCAAAGTCTCTCTAACCTACTCATTTAGTTGTCTTTTTGTGTTTTCTTTTTTTTTTTTTTTTAATATGAAACATCGGTCCCTTTATATTCGTCATGTAATAGACATGGTATAGACATGTTAAAGTCTACTGAAGTGATATATCAGCAGTTTGATCAGTAGCCTCCCCGCAGATGTGGTCTGAGCTGTCTTTGCTGGACTAATCACCTTGTTCCACACAGACGGGTCAAACCAAGCCCTCCTCTTTATAGGTAAGTTACATGTGTGAAACGTGTGTATGTATGTGTGCGTGTCAGCAGGCATGTGTCTGTTTGTGCACTTTATGTACATTTCGGTCTTGTACCATTTGAGGTTCATTTTTGCAAGTGCATGTTTCTCAGTGTGTGTGTGGCAGCTCTCCGCAGACGCTCACAGGTAGCAGACAGTTTGAAAGCACAATGAACCCTGGGATTCCACCTCAGCTGGACTCTGAGAGGTCACCTGTGAGAAGAGGGAGAGTTGGAGGGTAGAGGTAGTGACACATGAACAAGGAGGGGGGGACAGAGAGGGAGAGACGGGCTGTTAGAATGATAAAAGCACTGTAGCACTGTGTGGGTGTCTGATGCTCAGATTTGGTCAAACATGCCCCTCCCAACAAACAAGATGTCTCCTGGCATGTCTGGAGCTACTGTCACCTTTCCTGCATCGCACTGTACCCTCAGACGCTCCTAGCTTTCCTTTGTTACAGTTTGAAGGCATCATTCACAGGTTGGTAAGCTCTTTTCCACAGCGGTAAATCATGGTGCTTTGACACATACACACACAGTGTCTGAATCATGCAGCTCAATACAGTGAAAATCATCTCTGTGTGTCCTTGTGCAACTTGAAGTGTGTGTCGGGTTATAAGCATGTGTGTGTGTGTGTGTGTGTGTGTGTGTGTCTATAGAGCTTTCGGCAGATGTGTTTATGTGTGTCCAAATGAGCATGTGATGCACTCATGTGCCTCGAATCATGGCAAGCAAACACTACTACCAACATGCATCACTCTCTGGCATTTGCAGTATAGAAATTCTGGGTGACAGTTGAACCTTAATAACGTCAGGACCGCAGGTTTTAAGGGTTCAGAAAGTTCTGTTATTGGCCCATTATGTGGCTTTTATATCCACGAGGACTCCTTATGTAAAGGTTTCTGGAAATAGAAGCAGAATGCTTTATTTATGATGCACGCTGCCATTTGATGGTGCCTCCACACACTGACCTGACAGCAGCTTCACTTTTCCTCCTCTTTTGTAAAAAGTGAGGGTTTGTTGAACGGTTAAAGTCACTTCCCACTGAAGGCATCCTATGTTCTGTCTGTTCTTTTCTCCCAGAATTCCTATAGTTGAAGGCTGTTCTCCAATAAGCAAGAGGCACTTGTTTTTCCACCATGACAACCTTATACACTTTACCTTAAAAGACGAGCTAGAAGAGGGGAGAAAGGGAGGTTGGGATGAGAGAAGCAGATAAACCTTTTGAAAGCAAGAAAGGGGGAGAGAGAAGAGGATGAGGAGATGGCGGGAGAAGTTCGGAAGAGGTGGTAAAGGAGGGGAAGAGGAAATTCCACAAAAGCAGTGATAGAAAATGGAAGGAAGACCAAGAGAGAAAATGAAGGAGCCAAAAACTAAAGTGCCACATCACAGTGAAAATTAAAAACAAATCACAGTCCGGGATTATGAACTCTGCCTATCAGAGTACAGCTCAACAGAATGCATGCTCACCAATAAATAAAGAGAGCTTTTGTCGGTAAGATTAGATAACCTCATCTGGCTCCTCTCCCATGCCTTAAATCAGGTTGTGACCATATTGTCATGTATACTTAGATACTTGTAAACATGTCATGTCCTCTTTCCATCATGCCCTGTCATTGCATATTGCATAACATAAACTATCAGTTTGACCAGCAGAGGGATTTCATGATTTCTGCACTGCTGCTCTAAATTTCTCAACCAGTCAACAATATCAACCTCTGGACCCTTTTTCGATACAGACACCAATACAACGAGGATTATTCTGTCCTGTATTACACCCTGGCGGTGTAACACAGACACATACGCACACATAGATGTCCACGCTCACTATTTTGCCCAAACCATTTGTTCAAATAATAATGACACCAAACAGAACACTACAGAAACTGATCAAAAACAAAGCTTCCAAAAAATAACGAGCATTGCTACAGAATTGATCAAATTACTATGTAGTGATTAAGTGTATCAAATATCCAATCCAATCATTTTATTCAGAGAGCAGTCCCGGCTATTGATAGTTATTGATCAGTATGTGCACAGGTCAATACAAAATAAAGTCACAATGCACCAAACACAGTCTGTGATCACTACAGCAACAGGACATGCAGGTCAACGCATGGCTGGTTGCTCGAGGTGACAGAACAAAAATTGCCAAAGGCAACCAACACAGGCAATCAATCGCCACAGCAACCCAAACACAGGCCAACCAATGAACTTACAACAATGCGAGAGGTAGGGGGGATCAGGGCTTTATCGGTCACTAGGCAACCTTTGCCATAGCGATGGGGTCCTCGTGAATTATGATTGGACGGAAGGATCTTGGGTGAGGTAAGTTCCCGTTTCAGGAAAAAAGATCAAAACAGCAGGAGAACAGAAAATAAGAGTGTGAAAGAAAATAAAAAGGAAAACAATATTTTAGTATTTTCACTTTGCCTGAGATGATTAAGTTGTTTCCATGAGTAACCCAATGCATTTTCACTGCAAGTCAAGTTTGTGATGTTAACTTTTTACCCTCTGTTAGCACTGAACTTTCAAGTGTTAAGTTATTTTGTCCACCTTCTGTCAATAAGCCATTTTTATCCACCTGCTTCCCCAATATATCAATACACCTCAATTCTTTTTATGGTGTGGCACTCAATGCCTCCTCATCACCACCTCACCTCTAAATATTTGCTCTTCCCTCTCTCAGTTCTCACTCAGTATGGGCGGTTGGCATCTTTGGGCCTTTTGAGCTGCACTTTAAGTCTTTTCATGCCGATCTGGAAACCATTCATGGCCTGGATGGCGGCCTGAGCACTGGCTGGGTTGTCAAAGCTCACAAACCCTGGAGGAGACACATGAGGAATATCGCATGATCCTTTTTGTTCCCCCTCCTACTGCACATGCAAACAGTAACACATTTTTCTGCACACATCGCAGCCTCTGTTTCGCACTCGTCTATGCTCTTAAACACCAACTTCCCCCTTCTCACCGAAGCATTTGCTTTGATTAGTAGCACGGTCCACAAACACCTTAGCGGATATGACATTGCCAAAGGGCAGGAACATCTGCAGCATCTCGGAATCACTGAACTCCTGAGGCAGGTGGTAGATGAAGATGTTACACCCCTCCGGACCTGATGGGCACATTTTCATATTAGGAGAGAGAAGAATGATCTCATGCTGTTCACCATAAAAACTGGTGATAAAAAAAAACTTTAAGCAAGATCACTGGAGACAGGGGTGTGTCCCCAATCAGGGAGGGAGCCACCTCACCTTCTCTTTGCTGCTGTTGCTGGGGCTGTTGGTGTTGCTGGGCAACCAGCGTTGGCTGCTGTGGAAATGGCTGGCCAACCAATCCGTAGGCAGCAGGATACGCCGCTATTGGAAGAAACAGAGAGTTGCAGCGACTGATAGGGTAAAAACAACAGGTGGCAACATAAGTGACCAATAGAGTGGCTTCCTTTGAAGTGTAATGTCTCCCGTTGAAGGTGAAAACTATTAACTGAGACAACAGAGTGGAGAAAGTGACTAAACAAAGACGCCGTTAATCTGCGTCTAGTGTGCACACATCACATCGAGCCTTTAGTCCATGGCTGTGAACTATGTATACAGATGGTGTCTCCGTGAAATCAGATAAATCATAGAATTAATTACCCTTGAAAATTTTTCATCCTTGAAAGTCAGAGAGGAGAGAAATTGCTTTTCATGTCTGTACATCTTCATTTAAGCCCCTAACTGAATTGCTCTCTGCAAAAAATTAATGTTACTAAAATGTAATTTTCAACACACAGTCTGCCGATGTAAGTCTGAGCATTTATTCCTTTTCCATTATTGTCAGGATAACCAGTACATGTGTGTTTAGTGGAGAGGGATTTGCCGGCACAATATAAACAGTGTACATGAGTATATGTACATGTTGTAAGAGATTAATTTGACTTAAAAATCCAGATCAAAATGACAGCTGGTCAGTACTTTAATATGTTTAAACACCAACCTGTGTAGTGTTGCATGCCTGCGTAAGCTTGTTGTAGTGGATCCAGCGCTGCTGCTGGACTCTGGGCTGAACAAAATCATCAAAAGCAATGGGGATGATATTAAAATCGGTTTGGCCAGTGCAACATCTGTGTTACATATGTTGTATTCTTCTACAGTTCAACATGTACCTTGATATGGGTGAACGCCATTAGTGTACAGTGTTTCAGTCTGCTGTCCACTGGTGGGAGCTGGCACGTTGCTGTAACCATTCACTCCTATTGGTGGAGGGAGAGCTGGCACAGGTGTAGCTGCAATTGCTGGTGGGGTATTTGTACCTATAGCCATAGATCAAACAAAGACAGTTATCCCCTATCACAGCAGAGTTTCGTGACTAGCATCCTTATTTATTCCTTACTGAATAAATTCAATAACTACACACAACTTATATATACTATAAAATACTTATAAGTGCTTTGGAGTATGAAGGGCACACGTGTCCAACTATACCCGAGGACGGCGTGATTGGTGTAATGGGTGTGGCGATGATTCCGTTGGCATTGAGTGCCGCCATCTGCTGCATCTGTACAGCAGCAACTGTTGCCACAGGAGACAAGTACGCTGACTGGGCAACCAGGGCTTGCTGTTGGACAAGCTGTACACGAGGAAGGAAGCAGAGGGAAGAAAGGGGCAGAGAAAAAGAAAAGGGGGGGTTAAATTGATATGGGAAAAGGAGCAAGAAAGACAGAAGCGTAAGAAAAATGAGAGGAAGGGCCAGAGAGAGGGAGTGATGGAGGAACAGATGAATAGAGATCTAATTACAAGGCCATTATGTCCCGAGTCAGTGGGTTAATGGTTGTGTGTTGCGGGAAAGCTAATGCCAGATGACGTATGTTCTGTTGTCTGGGTAATAGCATTAGGCCCAATTAGACCACTGATAGCCTCTTCAAACTTATTACATCCTTTCATAAGCACAGCACTCCCCTTACAAACTGGATGTGTCCATGCGGTTGTCGTACAGACAGCATTTGTGTTTGTGCTTGCCTGTGCGTTGACCGCTTGTGTGTAGGCATTGTAGGCAGGGAAATTGAGGGTCATGGGGCTGAAGATGCCGAGCTGGGAGGCCACCTGCTGCATCCTCCTCAGCCCCCGCTCCTTCTCTGTGTCAGCAAACTTCACCACCAGACTTGATGATGCCCCCTGTGAAAATAGAGGAGACAATGGAGGTTCTAATTCTAATTTTAGCAAGGTTTTTTTTTTTCTCAGTCCCTTAAATCTTCTCGTGTGCAGGTATGCGTCTTTATGTTTTTAAATACATGCATTTAACTCACAGGCATTGTGCGGCTCCCATGCAAGCTATTGATGGCAGCTTGAGCCTCAGTATGTCCTTGGAATTTCACAAAAGCGCACCCTAAAACAAAACAAAGTCAGTAAAATGGAAAGTACTTCTCAAAGAAAGGAGGATGGTTATGTATCCTATTTGAGAGTGCTTGTGTATATGCACTTTTTTAAACTTACCTTTGCTTGTGCCATCTGGTCCTCTCAAAACCGTGCATTCATCTATGCTGCCAAAGGGCTCAAACAGCCTTCTGACATCCTCATCACTCTGTTGTTTTCCCAGCATGCCCACAAACAACTTCCTGTCCTCTGTCGAGCACAGAGAAATAAGTGAGATGTGAAATCAACTTTACATTCTTCTGTTTGTAGCCTGAAGGTTGTTGTTGATCTATAGGAGCTACCATTTTTTTCCACTAGGGAGCAGTATTGACTAGACTGGTATTGCCAGATTGGGGTAGAAGTGTGTGTGTTCTCAATGTGCCTGTATAAGTAAGGGTATTTAGTAGCAAGTCCCAGAACCCGCCAAGCTCCCTGCTGAGCGCTTTCCATCTCTGTCTGATCCAACTTGACACCTTTTATCTGTCACACTCTGCTTGTGTGTAGGCAACCCTTCTTTAAACCCAGAGACATTTGTACAGCACTGTGACCACATTTAAATGGCTTTTCACAGCACTTACATATCGTTTGTGGTAAGGAATTTTGATGCGATAGTAAAGGGGGCCAGAAAGTACATCATGTTGATGAAGAGCCCTTAAAAATGTAGAAAGAAAATGTGTGCGCACGGGTTTTACCTCCTCGGCCTTCACTGTCAGCTGGTTTCACCTGGATTGGTCGATTCATCTGAGGGACAAACAAACAGGACCATAAACAACTGTTCATATGCTTTAGGAAGATAGTCATTTCAGTGGCAGGAAATAAACTCATGACTTATGACAGTTTCCAATGAAATGGGAAACTAATGTAAAGCCAGACCTCAGCTGTGGAGACATAGTCCACTAATGTACACGCAGTGCCTTATCATCATAATACCAGTGTGGGTTAGTCAGTGTGGCTTTTAATCGATGAGAAATCAAGGCCAGCAGTTGACATGAGTGTTTGGATACGTCTTTGACAAACACACAGCCTAACTACCTCTGATTTCTCTTTCATTCAGTCACAAACACACACACGTGCACACGCAGGAGAGCACTGGCGGGATTGAGAAGTGACAAGATTAAGAATGCAGGCCAGCTGATCTGGATTACAGAAGAACGGCGGATTAGATGGGAGACGAGAGTAGGCTGCAACACAGAGAAGTGGAAAAGGAAGGGGGGCAGTAGTGAGAGGGAAAAGGGATCGTTTTGTGGTGTGAAATTATGGGTGTGTAAAGGGAACAGGCTCCGTTAGCTAAAACGACAGACCTAAAGAAAGCGAGTCAAAGGGAAAGGCCTGGGGGACCCCAACTGACTTCAGCTGCCTGAAAGCCGAGAGGAACCCGGGGAGTAAATGGGAATACAAGAAAAAGAGGAATGACAAGAGGAGAGAGGCAGAAAGATACTGGGAGTAGATGGTTAAAAGCAGAACTGCCCCAGAGAGATGATTCAAAAATAATAGAAAGAGAGGGAGGAGGGAGGATGGGGTGTGATTCAGTCGTGACTTGCTCTGTCTAAAAAAATGTCACGACTACAGAGACCCACTGCCAAGGGTGCTGCTACATCTTAGCAAGCACACATTGTGAATGTCCCTGCCATTCATGTCCTCTGATGGTCTGTCTTCCACATACATAAAAGCACAAAAACATACTACACACACAGTGCTTAGTCATACCACCGAGGCCGAGACAGAGTGTTAATGCCATGGGGGAGAGGGTGGGAGGAGGAGGGCTGCAGAACGATGGCAATGAAACGAAGGAGGAAGAGCAAAGAAGACAGAGAAGAAGAAGGAATGGATCCAGGAGAAGGATGGAGGAAGGAGAGGGGCGGATCACATCAATATACTGAGCAAAGAAAAATTATTCTCGAGTTGGCTCTACTGTTTTCCAATATCTTTGAGATGATGCAAAAACTATAATAGAATGTAATGAAAAAAGTATGAAAATGACTAATCAGTCCCTCACTTAAAGTAAGAAATGTGATTAGAACCAACTGATAAATACTTCACATCTAGGAGATATTATAGGGAGATAAGTGAAGGGCATAATGAGAAGGCGAGAGGACATAGAGAGAGGAGGAGACCAGAGTGGGATGGGAAAGGATGAGGAGGAATGGATAAAGGACCCAGTGGGGTGTTAAGGCAATGTAATGAAGCTGGTAATTGAGGAGAGGGCAGAGCAGAGAGAGACTGATCCATACATTTGATTAATCAGCTCTTAGCTGTCACCACAAAGTTATTGATCTAAAGCAAGGCCATCACACACACAAATGCAGCCACTTCAGCCCACACTTTTCTGTTAAACACACACACGTAGCAGAGCCCCGGAGGGAATGATGTATACTTTTTACCCCCACTTCCATATGGGCACAAGCTGTCAGTATAAACATAAACTTGAACAAACAAAATGCACCTCAACCGTTTTCTGTAACCATCTGTCCATCCATCCTATCATCCATCCATCATAACCTAGTCCTGATGTTATTGCTGTCCATCCATGGTGCCATCCATCTTGTGCTATCAGCTCATTGATCCGTCCCGTCTTGTACATTGATTTCGGATTCTGTTGTAGAGTGGGCTGATTGTAGCAAGATTTGTGTCCACTAACCTTTTCTCTACCCTTGCATCCATCCATCACCTCTTCCATCTCTGCCTTCATTAGGCCTAATCGAGCTCGTCCTTGCGCACGTAAAACAGAACCAACAGAAAGCCCTGAGGCTATTTTGAATCACAGCTCCTCAGTCTGAGCACGCGCGCGTGTGTTGTGAAATTTGTATCTGAATCACATGGTTTGAATTTCAAAATGTAAGATTGGGTAAGATAAAAGGCAGAATCTGAAAGAGATGAGGAGAAGCAGCAGGTGAGAGGTGCACACGGCTGCCTCACAGACGACACAATGGCATCGGAAAATTGGCATGGTAACCAGCCCGTTGTCATGGCAATCGTATGACGGCACACTGAGTAGGTAAACAAGGATGCTGGTTGCCAAGGGCGACTGCTATGCTCTTTGGGTAAACAAAGAATTAGTGCTGGAGAACGGTTTGCTGGCTTTGTCCTCCCAACACATTTTCCCTCTGAGTTGTGAAATAATAAAAGGAGATTTTAGAATGTGTTAAAATGCATGAGAACAATGAAATGACTGGAGCAGGATATTTATGTGGAAAAATGAAGGGATACGGGCAGGGACTTGATGCAGAAGTAAGTATGAGGTAGAGGGTGAGGGACGTGAATCTATATTGCAGTGATTACAGCTCCCTTGAGCCTGAGAGAAAACGCAACCAGGGACTAACATAGTTTAGTCCCTGGTTGTGATACAGACTGTAGTCCAGTCGTACTTTGCCTCTCGCCTTTAATCCAGCACACAAGAACAGCCACACAGTGCTTTCAAGTCGAATCATCCTCTAATTACTCACGTTCCAATTAAGACTTAATTAACAGTAACCATCTGCAAACGTGTGCGTGTACAAGGAGCTGGCTGACGCTGGCGCGTGGTTTGATTAATCCTGCTGCAGAGTAAGAGGCCGTCGTTGAGTTCCTACATCTCTGAGGAAAGCGAAGTCGCATGTGAGGCGACGTGTCAGGGCATACATGCGATATATCATGGGAGTGGGAGCACGCATGAGCACTTGCACTCAGTGGAGGCATGTCGAATCACGCACGCATGACCAAATCCTCATGCAAATACAGGTCCATTTGCATGCTGTGATGACAGCACAAATACACTCAGCACGCGTCACTCATCCGTGCACACACAGTTAGACACTTCACTTTTCCCCTCTCTGACAGCATCCGCCCTTTTGCTCACACTGAAACAAACACATACTACACACATACAGTTAATCTGACTCCCTGCAGTAATGCAGAGAGGATTGTACCAGGATTAGAGGATATTAAATCCTTGGATTATCCAATCAAATCGTATTTGACCCCCTCCCCCACCCACACAAAATCAGAGGAACAAACCACACTGACTAACCCGCGGTGTGAGGACTGGCGGAAGTGTGCGTATGTAAATCTGTGTGGAACACGGATTAATACAGTGATGAATCAACGTTTGAATTTTTGCCGTGATGATTCTTTTTTTGGAATCAAAACACCGGAGGCCAATTTTCCACAACACTGAGATGTTCATGCAGACCGATCAGTCACAGCATGACAGTACACACTCGTGTGAGCGTGCATGTATGTGCCACACGAATACTCACACGATCCTCTTAAACGTGCCATCCCCACCAATTCCCATGTCCACTTTCCAGAGAACTTAAGAAAGGAAAACTATTTTTATCCCCTCTCCACAATCCAGCATTATTTCTGCCTCTTCCTCCATCCTCTATCCCTCTATTTCCACTCTCAGCTGCATAATCCCTCCATACTGCCTGATGATGTGGCCATCACAGCTTTCTTTTTATCCTTTTTTTCTGGTCACTCTAACTCTCCTCTGCTGTTTATATCTCGGCCAGATGCTTTTTTTGCTCATGAACTAAAAAAACTAAATCAAGCTAGTTGCTACATTTATCCCTTTAATAGCTCTGTTTGAAAAGAAAGTAGGCTTTATATCTAAATTATGTAAAATTGTAATTTATTAGACTGATTCTTATGTTCTCCAATATAAAAAGTAAATTACTTTTTTTTACTGACAGCTAAGCAAGCTGACCAAACTCAGTGAAATAATTTCTGATGGCATAGCTCCACAATGATGATGCTAGGAAGAATATGAGTTTATCATTCTTTAAACAAAAACCAGTATATTTCAATTCACACAGCCGGAGTAGACAGAGACATTTACGATTTCAAAATCTTTTCAGAAGTTGATCAGTTGAACATAAACATGGTGAGATTTTTTTATACTAAATATTCATAAGAAACATCATTATAACTTTTGCCATCTTTACACGTAAGTGAATCTGTCAGAGAAAGCCCAGAAATATGTGTTCTTCTGATCAGTTCAAAGGTATGTTCATATGTCAGCATTACACCACAGACATAACACTCGGGCTCCCCGATGAGACTCTGGATGAAGACATTAAAATGTGAGAAAGACCAAATGTGTTCAGTAAGGTGGAGCAGCCTAGCACCACAGCTCCACCTCTCAAGTTAGGCTTTGCATCCCTGAGGTTGCCAAGTAACCTGGCATCTTGTTCAGCTCCGTTGCCTGGTAACTGCCTGAAACCATAATAAAAGCTCCTGGGTGGCCCATCCCCCTGCTCTCATCTCTTCATTCTGCTTCTCTCATTCCATTCTTCACACCTGAGAAGTCTGCACTCAATCTCCTCCACTCAATATGTTATCTGGCAGTTAACCCTTCATCCGCCTCTTGGGTAAAGCATGGATTAGCAACATATTCCCTTTTCTCTCCTTTTTCTCTTTATCACCTCGCATAGTAATGACATCAAACCATGCATACAACAGAACTAACCATGCTGTTGATCCCAAGAACATCATGCTGTCTTTGTCAAACCCCAATGAGAGCATTTTGCATGCAGCAGTGGAGCACTCACTGAAATTTGATCCTCTGGATTTAGTCCAACATAATCCAACAGCACTATAGCGGATAACCATTAGACCTATGCGCTTGGACCTTCTTTCTATTTCAGGGAGTTTAAGTCCTTTGGGAAATGAGCTGGTGAATTAAAAAGGATGCTCAAAGCCATACAAATTCATGATTGCAGAAATCTCATATTCACTGAGATTACATTCAGTACAGAACATGT